ACCTTTACGGCCGTCCATTCAGAGTAGTGACGGATCATCACTCGCTGTGCTGGCTTGCGAACCTCAGAGACCCCTCCGGACGACTGGCAAGGTGGAGCCTACGTCTGCAGGAGTACGACGTCACTATCGTGTACAAGTCCGGTCGTGCACACGAAGATGCGGACACGTTGTCACGCGCGCCAGTTGAGCCTGCCGCTCAGAGCTTCGAAGAGGACTGCCCTTTCCTTGGCTCCGTAAGCGTAACAGACTTGGCTTTACGGCAGCGAGCAGATGCTCAATTGCGACCTATCATTGAACATCTAGAGGGCCGCAACGTATCACTGCCCCAGCATATAACTCGCGGATTGTCATCCTTCTGCTTACGACAGGGCGTGTTGTACAAGAAGAACGCAGCCGCCAGCAACAAAACTTACCTGTTGGTCGTCCCCGCAGAGCTGCGTGAGGAAATTCTATTTGCCTGCCACAACGAGCCTCCATCGGGCCATCTGGGCATCACCCGAACCATCGCTAGGGTACGAAAGTCTTACTACTGGCCGAAACTTGCCGCTTGCGTTAAACAGTACGTTCAAGCCTGCCGCGAATGCCAGCGCCGAAAATCCCCATCTGTTAAGCCTGCGGGATTACTTCACCCTATCGAGCCACCCAGAACACCCTTCGATCAAGTCGGCATGGACCTCCTGGGTCCGTTTCCCTTGTCATCTTCCGGCAACAAGTGGATAATCGTCGCTACAGATTATCTAACCCGCTATGCTGAAACTAAGGCGCTTCCTAAAAGCACGGCTTGTGAAGTTGCTCAGTTTTTCATCGAGAGAATTGTATTACGCCACGGTGCTCCATCCTGTGTCATCACAGACCGAGGAACAGCGTTTACAGCAAGGCTCCTTGAACAAGTTTTTCAGTTAAGTTACTCCACGCATCGCAAGACAACAGCGTATCACCCTCAGACAAATGGACTGACCGAGCGGCTTAACAAAACGATGACTGATATGCTGTCTATGTACATAGACGTACAGCACAAGACGTGGGATGAAATACTGCCTTACGTAACATTCGCGTATAATACCGCTACGCAAGAGACCACACGATTCACTCCGTTTCGTCTTCTATACGGTCGGGACGTTCAGACGATGTTGGACGCAATGCTCCCATGCGACATTGACAACATCGAGAATCTCGACGAAGATGCTGAGTGTTTCGTGCAACGAGCCGAGGAAGCACGTCAACTAGCCCGCGTAAACATCAAGAAACAACAAGGCGTCGATGCACAGCGCTACAACCGCTGCCACAGACAAGTCGATTATAAACCAGGTGACCAGGTGTTGGTTTGGACCCCTGTGCGCTGCAAAGGTCTCTCTGAGAAGCTTCTCAGTCGGTATTTTGGCCCGTACAAAGTGCTACGACAAGTGAGCGACGTCAATTACGAAGTCCTTCCGGACGGAAGCCAACCACCCCGACGCCGACAGCTACGACCCGAGATTGTGCACGTGGTGCGGTTAAAACCGTACCACACACTGTGACAATGTCTTTTTTTTTTACGATACACGCTTCGTTTAGCATCGAGGCGATGCTCTTCGGGGAGGAGGGGCAGTGCCGCGCGCTTGATCTGCCAGCGCAAAAGAGGCAGACGAAGTGGCAGTTCCCCTCGTGCCATTGTTCTGTTTTTGGCTGCGCTGAGCCGACCGCTCTTCGGACTTTTGTGAGGACGCCTTAAAAACGTCTCCTGTCTCTTTAACGTGACAATATTATGGCCGGGCTCTGAAATCGCATGAAGGTGACGTGGGCGAGATGCAAAAGGCTGTGATGGCCACATACCGCCACATCACCTCCACTGATGAATGCTCGGACCACAGTCTGTGCCCAGCTGGTGAAACTTCATGGTGTCGGCACAATGCCGCAAAAGCAAAGGGTGAGCCCGACCCCAGGCATGCCTACAATCTACCGAAAGACGTGGCAGAGGCATTACTACCGGTTTATACCCGGCTTTCGGAAAGAGCCCTGCTTCAGAGGTGCGAGCGCGGCAAAACGCAGAACTCCAACGAGAGCCTACATTCGGTAATCTGGAGTTTGGCCCCCAAGGAGCACCATGCGTCCCTGTTCGCTGTTGAAGCAGCTGTTGCAGAAGCAGTGCTGCGCTTCAACACGGGCAATTTGAATTCTGCAACGGCAATCTTAGGTGAAATGGACATGAATGCGACAAGTACTGGTGCCAGGAGAGCGAGAGAAAAAGACCACCGTCGCAGCATTGTCTCCAACAAGAAAAGAACAGCCTCATTGGAACTCCGGAAGCTAGTGAAGAGGAGGCATGATCACAGAATGCATTCAGACTATGCTTCTGGTGCGTTTTGAGGTTGTCTTGTTGCATCTTCTGCAATAAAAATGTGTGCCCACGTTTTTTCTCGATTTCTCAAAACGACAATTTTCATGTGCTTCACATTATGCCGGAGCAATATCTCTTGTTCTATCTGGGTTATCATTACGATTTCTTTTTTGTTTCGAAGATAAATGCAGGGGATGTGTCGTAAAGTAAGTTTTATTGTAATAATTTTTGGAGAAAATTCTCTAAATGGATCTTTTGTTTCAAGTGTAGATGGGGAAATTTTTCATGTCATATTCAACATCCCACAACTTTGCTTCGAAATAGCCCAGAACAATGATTTATACTTTATTGCACACTGTGAACATACCGAATTGGTTCTATAGGTTGCACATCAATACCCAAGTTACAGTTAATTAGCTAATTAGGCCTTAATTGAAAAAGTCGCAGTTCATTATATCTTTAAAACTAATTGTCACAGCAAAAAAAGAATTAGATTTTTGAAATCAGCAGTAAAATCTACATAGGCTCTGCAAATTTGACTGAAGTACTCGCAAAAATAAAAGAGTTTTTGGAAGGTGTAGCATCCCCCCTTAAAAGTAGTACATTCATTCCAATTGAGTGCAATTTTGTGAAATATCCAATACAGCACCATCATTTATCCTATCGCAGGCCCATAGCCAGCAATTTTTTACAGAGGGACCCTTGCTGAAGAGCTTGACTATTTTAGGATAACACATATTTTCATTACTTATTTTTAGGAATTTTTTTAAGGTGGAAACGAGACCCTTAGGGCATACCCACTGACTATACGCCTGTCCCAGAGACAAGCCAGCCAGTGAATCCTCAAAATACCGGGGATTTGCAATATACCAACTATTATACAAAATACATTGTTTAATGTTTTCACCTAGATGTCAAAAAAGCACTAACGAAAAAAATGACGGACCCTTAAGCTTTGTCCCCTTCATCAGTTGAACGCAGTATCGATATCCTGTCCCTAGTGCGTACTTCAACCACTCAGTACAAACTTTTTATTGTATGATGTCACTCAAGAGCTTTAAATTGTGGATTACTGCAGTGTTATCAATAAAAGTTCAAAGTGGCTTGTGTCAGTGAAGCTTTCGCATGGGTAGCATGCGTATGAAATGTTTTCGAACTTGCGATACACCCGCTACGTGTTCTTTAGGGAGTACGCGCAGTAACATCTGTGCCTTTTATATTAGGTGGCCAGCTTTAAAACCACGAAGACATCATGATAATCATACGTTCTGATGCCCGACGGCAATGTGTGCTTGTACCGCGCAATATTACTGCAATATTACATGTTGTATTGTGGGAAGTCTACACAGGATGCGTGAGTTTGGTAAAGGCTGAAAGTTATTTTCACTGCATTTTCAAGTAGAGGTTATTTTCATATTTTCACTGTATTTGCAAGCAGACGCGTCTCTGTGTGTTGAACATCTACTTGCCATGCAAACAGCCTGGGTTCAATCCTTGTGTCGGCCAGGAAATTTTTATTATCTGTTTTATTAAATGCGAAACTTCGGCGACTTTGAATGTGCGTGCCTGCCCTGCCTGCTTATCTATCTGGTCGCTTACGTTTGGGTGCTCTCGTGGTCCCCCCCTTAACTTGGCGTGAACCAAAATTAGCATGGAATGGTAAGATAGTTTGACGAATATGACGCACTGGTCAAGACATGAATAATGTCACAATCCCGTCGCCTACGTCGTCAAACACTTCAGATAGTGCCACATACTCACGGGTGGGTATGTGCCGCAGGTGATAGGCACTTCGTATCTACCCAGAAACGAGGAGAACACACATGAGGAATTTTAACGTGTGAGCATTAAGCAATATCCGACGTAGGTAGCGTCGACCCAACGAAAGCATAGAATAAATGTCATTGTTAAGAAAAGGCAGTGTTGGCCACCCGACAAATGCAAATAATAAATCTTAGGGTCCCAGCAGGAATCGAACCCAAGCATTCAGCGTGGCAGTCAAGTATTCTACCATAGAGCTACGCCAGGTCTCGGAACTACTTTTCAAATAGACGCTAATCTTCGTGAAACGTCAATAGTAGTTGCAGTGCTGCCTACCAAATGTTATAAATATTACATATGTACTCCTTTCATACAGCCGTCACGTCGGGTTAACGTCAATTGTGGTGAGGAGCCATGTGCTGAAATTGATTTAAGTAGCAGTGTCAAGGGCCAGCATCTTCGTGAGCATCAGCGCTTCATATCAGCTTCTGGTGTTGCTATTATGCATGTTCCAGTCGGCATCGTTGCACAAGTGCAAACAACTGGCCATATAAACGTCTGCAGCTATTCAACATATGTCTGCACGTGCAACATTATACATATATTTAGCGTCATTTCATGAGGTTTCGATCAAAAAAATGCAACATGGTCACCTTCTCTCCGCGTGTTTCGCATAAAGTTGATTCCCAGGTACGTGGGATTAGCCGAATTTTTTCGCAATGTCACAGACAATATGGTGATCTTTTGCTCCCAAGTAACGAAAGCTAGAATTTCTGTAAAACGAGCTGTTTAACACTATTATGTTAATACCAATAGTCTAAGCAGCTGCTCCCATGCAAGCTTCTATTCCTAGAGCTCACAGGCCAGAGACCCTGTCAATAGACCAACTTTTCTTTTAGAAATAATAAGACGTGTACTGTACCTGTTGCGACACGGTCCAAGGAATCAAGTCACCGTGAGCTCGGCGTCCACGAGAAAAACTGTCAGACACACTGGACTTTGATATGCCACCTTCATAGCAAACCTTGAAGAAAAAAAGAGATGAAGAAATGTTTCATCTAGAAGTAAAAAATTTAGAAAACGTTTTTATCAACCTCTGTAACGTGCAACACTTCACCAGAAATTCGTAGGATGGTGTGAATATAAGTGGCCTGATAGTGCTACGTAGGGTGGTTGAATAACACTAATAAAGGGGCGGTCTGATTAGGTGGTCGGATAACACTAATAGAGTGCTCTAGCAAGCTGAAGGAAATGCACACTGCGATAGTGTGGCCTTATCTGGCCTTTGGAGGGCTCTGGAGGCAGGTGTGCTTTTGTGTGCTTAGTGAGATTCATCCTCACCAAGTAAGAGGGTTCGCAAGTGTCCCTAGATCTTACCAGCCACTTCAGAATAAATAGAACTACACTCAAGCCTCATTACAACGAAGTTGCATCTGACCAGAAATACTGTGTTATATCCGAAAATACGTTATAAAGGTATATTTCTGACACCATACCTATTGCAAGGCTATTCTTCATTTACCTCGTTACAACCAATAATTTGTTATATCCAGGTTCATTATATCGAGGTTGGAGTGTATGTACAAGCAAGAATAAGTTTCATACTACTCTTGGTTACCTGCAGAACACAAAGCACTTGCGGTAGTGCCTTAGAGCTTGGGTGCACCGGGGCCAATAACACGAAGAGATGATGTGCTGGCGCATCCGACAGCAACTGCAGGTCATTGGGCGAGTTCTTGTAGTGTGAGGCTACGTACAGGGACACCACCTGCTGCAGAAAGGCCTCAGAGGCCTTGTGGTAGCTGAACAGGGTGTCCCTGTTCACGTAAAATGTGCCAAGCAGTCAAGGAACCAAAACTGACAAAAATGCTTAGACTAAGCTGTTGCACCAGCATCGTATTAGTACCACAAAGGAGGCTTAAGCTGCAGGTTAGCAACAAAATAGCTATGCCTTAGTGTCTTTTACACGGTGTAGAGCCACCCCGAGCACCGTTTCAACAAGTTGGCATAGACCTTCTAGGTCCATTTCCGAAATCTTCAGCTCGTAATCTCTAGTTAATAATTGTGACGAACTATTTAACCCGTTACTGCGAAACAAGAGCACTCCAACGCGATACGGCAAGCGATGCCGCGGACTTCTTCATTCATGCTGTCTTCATCCGCCATGGTGCATCGATTATGGTTCTAAATGACAGAGGCACGGCCTTTACCGCCCAATTACTGGAAGAAGTGATGACACTCAGCGGCACCGTACATCGCCGGACGACCGCTTACCATCCGCAAGCTAACGGCTTAACAGAACGGCTCAATAAGACCATCACAGACATAATCTCCATGTATGTCGACGTGGACCATAGGAACTGGGACAGTGTCCTCCCTTTCGTAACTTTCACATATAACACCACCGTGCAAGAAACTACGGGATTTACACCTGTCGGCCTGCTTCATGGCCGCGAAGTTACTACGATGCTAGATGCCATACTTTTACCTGACTCCTTTACAATCACCACCGAAAGTGCTGACCAGTACGCGCAGTGCGCCGAAAAAGCTCAACAACCAGCTCGCTTTCCCATTCACTCTCAGCAAAAATACGATGCTCACAGCTACAACCTTCGCCATTGAGTAGTCACCTACCACCCCAGAGAAAAAGTATGGCTCTGGAGTCCCGTACGCCAACGCGGCCGCTCTGAGAAACTCTTGCATCGTTATTTTGGCCCTTACCGTGTTCTTCGGCGCCTCAGCGATGTCAACTACGAAGTTATCGCAGAGGCCAGCGCACCATCCTCCCGTCATGGTGCACAGCCGGACATCATCCATGTGGCCAAGAAGAAGCCGTATTACTCACGCTGAATACTTACTCTTGTCTTCATACATCTAAAAGCATCAGGTCGATGCTTTTGGAGAGCGGGAGTAAGTAATGGCACAGGCATGTAGTGGGTTTCTGGCTGTTGGGTGGCTAGTTTCATCATTACTTGTGCTGAAGGACTGGCCCTAAAGAAAGACGACGACGAACTCGCACTACTCGATCGAAGCTGCTCCGCTGGTTGCTGCACTACTACTTGTACTCATTTCATTACCGTGACAATATGGTGGCGTAATATGGGAAAAGAGCAGCTACACGAAATCTTCAAGCCAAGACATCATGACAACATTCGCACATAGCTGTTGGTAGCTCAAAGAGACACCTAATGAAAATGTTAACTGAAACACGGCCGGACCATGGACTTTCTAGACTAGTCCATGTATTTCTAGTGAAAACAGTCGACGATGAGCTCATCTCAGCAATGGTACCAGGCTTTTCTCACTAGTGAGATGAGCTGACTTCATATTCGTGTTTTGGTGTACTCTGTTAGATGGCAGCACATATTCCATCATCTAGTGAAAGAAAATGGGAGTTTACTACTTTGGATCATGCCTGTAGTGTTGAGAGGTTTTACTTTCATTAATACAATAGTATGCTTATTCTAAAAACAAAGAACATTGTCAAAGAACCTTGTCCTGAATTTCTAGCAGGAGTATTCTTGCTTTATTCACATTCGCTCCCTTGTATTCATGAACAAGAATAAAGCAACGAAATTTCACACGACAACTCATTCAGAGATCCCCCCGCAAGCATGTGCCGACTAAAGAAGAAGTACTCAAAACTCGAATCTCAAGGATATAGTTGGCAGTCCTGTGGTGGTGGGCAGCCGGAGACAGGTGGTACAGTTGCATCCAGACAGAGAAGCTGGTTGAGCCATTTTTCAACAGCGTCTCCAGGCTTGTATCTGATGGACTCATTCAGCGACACTTCATACAGTGTTCGCCCTGCAAAGCAAGACATGGATGACAATGCAAACCCCTAGCAGTTATAGTGCCATGGGTGGACTCATTCAGCGACACTTCATACAGTGTTCGCCCTGCAAAGCAAGACATGGATGACAATGCAAACCCCTAGCAGTTATAGTGCCATGGGAAATATTTGTCAGTAGTTAAAACAATCTTATTAGAGAAGTAAATGATGTGCCCCTTCCCCACCCTACCTGTCAAAATGAGGCCCATAGAGAACATCAGCTTACCTCCAACAGACTTGCTGTTATCATTTGATGCAACAACAGACTGTTGTCGGAGCTGCTGAATCAGCTTCAGAGACAAAGATCGCCCCGTGCCTTCATACCTACATGCGAAATACAGCAGAAAATGCATCAAAATACAAACCTAGTTGACATGACTGCAATCACAGAATGGCTGCTGATAGCAATGCAACGACAGTATCACAGTGATTGCACGTACCTAGCAGTTCTTGTTCCTAATACAAATTATTCTCGCAGACAAAGCGATTAGCTGTGTGTGAATGATCCCTACACTATGATGCAAGCAGCGCTAGCACTGAATTCAACTGTGGCAGGCAAGGAAATGCTTCTGCACTTATTTGATCCACCAAGTGGCAAGTGCATCCAATAGTGTTTCCAACACAACATAGGCATTCATAGAATGCTGGTTGTCACAAACGACTTCAATTTTCGGATCATCCGCAGCCCATCTTCCAAGGAAGGGCGCTTTTGTGTTGGGAGGACGACATCCGGCGACTATAATGACCCAGCGTGGCGCCGGCTCGTCTTCCCTGCACCTGTACCGAAAGGGGCACCGGCGGTCTAAAAAAGAAAAATTACCCCCAGATGAGACAGGAGCAAGTGCACGCCCCTGAAGAGGTTTGAACTGCATCAAAATAGGCAGTTGACGTACAGCCAGCAACAAGTGCGGCCGTCGGTGTCGCGAGTCTCGCGTGGGCGACGAGCATGGAATGACCCGCGCAACGTATTGAGACGGCTGATATTCCGTGCACCCTCGTCGTCTACCAAGCCGGCGAGACCTTCAGCGGCACCCGTCAACTCCCCTATGTGCACCAAGAGCTGGCCTGGTCTGTATGGAACTGTTTATTGTGACTTTTTTTTAATCGTTAGTTTATTATCACCAGCCTTTTTTTTTAATATTTGTAGTGTGCGCTGCGTCGCACGTCGAAGCTCAGAAGCGCGAGCCTGAGTTTTTTTTTTCTTTCTCTTGTAAATTTTTCTTGTCTCTTTTGTAGTTCCATCTTGTTGTTATTTTATTAATGTTCCGCATATTTGTCTTTAGTCTGTATCTTTTGTAGTGTTTTTTTTTAGCATATTTTGTTATATAGCTGTTCCTTCCATCACGCATTAGTGTTATTCCTCTCTGTTATTTTTGTTAACTACTGCCTTTGCCCTTGTTTCAATTAAATGCTTGTTTATGTGTAATCAAACTCCGTGTCTGCTCTACAAGTGCATCGATCAGGCTCATTCATCACCACACGTGCAACCCGCGCGGGTCGACCGACCTGCAAATAAATTTGAAATGTGCTACTTCGAGGCCTCAGGCGTCGCAGGCCCAAGCGTAAAGTGGAAGCCTGCGAGTCTGCCGCACGTCGGTGTTGGATCGGCGAGGTCTCACCCGAAGTGCGTGACACTGGTACAGTGAAACCCCGTTAATACGTACCTGCCGGGAACGGTGGCAAAACTATGCCCTAAATGTACTACGCATTAACCACTGCAGCCGCCACCAACAAAGGAAGAAACTCGGTGCCACGGGAAATATTGGCTACAGTGCCCACTGCGAAGCCATTTCTTTTTTCTTTCCAAAATACAGAAAAGCTTCTTACTCTCGCACAATCGCCCGCACACTGGCAACGCCGATGAACATTTCAAAATTACAGGTGTATCTGCAGCTTGCTACAGAGAGAGAACGGGCACATTCGGCTGTCCTTGGTACAGTTTTTCCGCTGTTTGCTTCTTAGCAAAAACTGAGTTTTTTTTTATGTGGTACATTCGTGGAAAGCCAAATCGTTTACTGCATAGCTAGTTGCATACAGCGCTTCACTCACTCTGCGCACACCGTGACTGCCGATCCGCTTGCTGTAAAGTACACCCTCTCCGCTTCAGGTCATACACAGATTCAGCGAGTAGCCTGCTGCGTTAACACGGCAACAAAGAGCTTTCTGCAAGCAATGCACTCTCCGTAATGCTCCAGCAGTCCTGGCAGTGGACGGAGGCGCGTTTGGGCTGTCACTAAATAAAAGCGCCCAGCATGGTAACAACAGCGCTACGCTCATTGTATGGTGCGCGTGTTGGCATAACACAGCAAGGTTTCTCGGTGCCCGCAACCCGCAACGCTGAACTCTGTGACAGCGAGCTGCTTGCGTTTCTGTAAAGCGGTGCACGCTTGAACAAGGTCCTGAAAAACAAAGCGGCAGCGATCGGCGGCCCAGCGTGTTCAGGTAGTTGCCTAATGAAAGCATGCAGTAGGACTAAAGTAACCCTATGCCACACGGGAGCTCGAGCAGATAACCGGGGATGCTTACTGTGATAAGGCTTTTTGCCGGCGATAAGTCGTACCGGCACGTTTTTCAATGGTCGCCACCTCACCTTCCTTTTTTCCCCAATCATTACTCACAATGTCATAGCCGCAATCGTGTGGAAGTTGGAATAACTTATAGGTTGATGTCCACACTTATCAACATGATGGAAAACCTATCACGGCTACATTGTGGCGTTTGCAAGTTCAGCGGTGCAGTAAAATTCTGTGGTGCAAAATATTATCGTGGTATGCAGTTAGTACGCACTAACCCTATAGGCTAAGCCGAACACTAGCGGCATAAGCGGTCGGCGAATGCATTAGTCTCTATGAGACTCGGTCGGGCATTCGTGGCAACTTCGTTTTAACCATTAGTATGCTTAAAGCGGGTACGCACTAACGAGGTTTGACTGCATACTGTACCTGAACACTTAAACTGGGACTAAATCTATGTGAAAATACATGGTAGTCCACTGCCTACCCATTGATGGTGGAAGAGAGAAAGACCAGGTAAGAACCAAGGAGCTTCTGCACCAGGGGAAGAGGAATGGCCGCCGCTTCATCAATCACCAGAAGTTCAGCTTGCCCGAGCAGGTGTGCATCTGATGGGTGCACATACTGAATGACCTGCCGGTGGTCCTCGTGATGACACCGTTACACGCACGACTGCCTTATTCAGCTCAGGATTGGTCGACTGCACCACTTCGTAGTCCTGGTGCTCCTGTCAAAATAACACACGCAATAGGCATTTATGAGACAAGCATTATAAAACACTAGCCATTGTCTGTTTACTGGTCATCACAGCTGCTTCAGTTGCCATAACAATTATTGCAGAGCGAAGAAGCTAAACAGAACTACATAAAAAATGCATGCAAAAAGTGTCATTGCTTATGCCTGAATGCAAAATCAAACACAAACTTGAAATTATAGTCCCAAGAAAAAAAAATAAGGAAAAGAGAGTCAGCACGCAAAAGGTGGTTATTGGTTCTGCTTATTTGTGTTTTTAAGCTCGAACAGTCATGCTACACCGGTGTAACAGCTTAAAAAGTTTCTTGAATCAATTATGAACTAACAAAAAAGCTATTCAATTTTTATTTATTAAATTATTTCCTCATTCGTAGAATATATGCTGTTAGTGGACAGTTCAAATGCATTTTTAGGTAATCTGTCCAGCAGTGTGGCATGCACATAAAACTCAACATTATAAAACACTACAAGCACCAAAAATATTCCAGAACGTGACAGGCATACCTCGTACTTAAGTGCGTCGAAGCCCTTGAGAACAAATTCAAACAGTGTTTTCAAGTTCTCTGGGCTGGGTGCAGTCACAAAAATGTTAGAGTAGCCAAATGCCACAGCACCAGCCACTGCCAGGCCCAGCGCAGCCGATTTGCCACGACCTCGAGCTGCCGTCACAGCAACGGTGGTCCGGAAAGTCTTCTCCGTAATGGCGTCGACAAACTTGAGCACTGCCTGTGCCTGGTCACATGTGCTGCAGCAGTTGATGAGCACTCCGAGTGGCTGCGTGTCTTGCAGAGATTCCTTCAACTCTGAGAGCTCTTGCGCCTCCTGGTCCTGAGAACAGTTTGTAAAATAGCCGATTGAGTAAACGCACCCCCTCCAAACTGTTTTTCTGTCATACTTCCCAGTGATATGACATTAGTTATGCACTCTTTTTAGAGTGTATGTTATGATGTTGCGACTGTGCTAGCATTTTCTGATAAAGTCATTTGCAAGGGAGTGTTTTTCCTGTCTAGTGTCCCTTCTTCTAAACCGCACCTAGGCTCCCCTTCACAGTACAGCAGTTACTTATGATTGTATCATGATCGCTCAGTTACCTCTGGCTGTAGTGAAAATAAAGCCTTAGAGACGATAAACACTTAGAGACGATGCTTACAGCAACAACAAACACAACAAAAAGAGGATAGACAGAAATGCGATTTTTCTCTACAATACTGCTCTGTGTTCGACTACCTTTGGAAACCTCATCTACAAAGCAGGGAGTGACTTCAACGAGCCTCTAATAACTGTGGCCTGAAAGCCGTTCGGTGATGCTGAGGTTCGGGGCAGTTGAAGTTTATTCTAAACTGTCTACTATTACTTCAGCCACCAAGAAACTGAAATTAGTCTTAATAATAGTGTACCCACAAGGAAAACAACAGCGTATACAAGAAATCATCTCTTCCTTAGAAAAGCCCACAATTTTCGCCAGCATGAAAATGACTCCTTACATTCTTGCAACCGCAAGACTCTACTAAAAGTAAAAGTGGAAGTGTCATTAACTATATGAAGGGGAAAAGTACTTGTCTCACTTAAATGTAGTCATTAAAAAAAAAGAAGTAAAAGCACATTCTATGAAGTGGGTTCTGTGGTTACGCATATCAGTTAACCAGGTGTGTTACCACTTTTTGCCGTCATAAATAGCAACTGTGCATTTCATACACAAGAGCCGTCAAAGTTCCTCACCTGCTTCGGCTAATGAATGTGGGGAAAAAATGTAAAAAACAATAAGCTATCCCTACACCTAAAAGATTGCAGCACGTTTACCAACACAAATAAACATTACCTAAGCATGAAAAAGTTGTGTACTTTTTAAATTTATGAAGAAATGTAAACTTCATAAACACAAATGCATGCAGTTGTAGAAATGAAAGACTATACTCGGCGACAACTTTTCTTGGCACTGAAGGCAAAGCTACGGAGCCAAATTATGTGCATCCTACCGCCAGTGAAGGTAGTTCCAGAGTAGCGCCTGTATTTTCAATGTGAAATATAAATGTTCCTCCTTTATTTTTTATGTTGAGCTATTTGAGACAGGATGCAGTTCACACCTGTAAAATGTTCGTATTTCTTTTAATTTATCTGTTGCGACTTCGCTTTTTTGAACGTGTGAAAAAGTCCCACCTTTTTACGTGCACATCAAACGCTAAGCAGCGTCTGCGTCTACATGAAACGCTGACTGGTGCCCCCCCATCACTTTCCACAACATTACGAGACGTGCGCTAGAACAGACTACTTCGCGTAGTGCTACATGTGCAGAACCTCTGCCTCTGTAGCTTTCCCTTCAGTGTCAAGAAAAGTTGTCGTCGAGTATAGAAATGTAATTTGTTAATTGTAAAAAGTGTCATACCTCAGCAGCCCGGGATACAGGAGTTATGTTTGCCACATGTGATGACACTGGCAAAATGGTGAGCTGATCGTCGACCACTAGGCAGGACTCGCAAGAGCTCAACGATAGAATGAAACGTTCATTGAAGCGCCCAACAACATCTTTGTGAGCTTCCGTGCGGTATCGAGAATGAACATCCTGTAGAACAACAGTGTCAAAAACAAGTTAATTTTCTGTAGCCATTATTCTCTGCATACATTTTCAATAGCCACAACCTCTAAAAAAAGCATTTTTGATAAGAGAAGTCTGCTGAAATTGTCAAAATGACATGTCACATCTCTTGACAATTTTTTTTTTACAGGCACCCTGCACTTTTTCGTATGGTAAAAAAAAAAGTTGTCGATCGGTCATCAAAGCTTCTAAGAGCTTGTGAGCTACGGCCTGAAATCGACAATTAATTCTTAAAGTCCGCTAAAAATCCTTTTTTCTTCTTTTTGGCAAATGATGCCATAAACCTCAAGTACATGGCCATTGGCTGATTTGGGCACTGTGAGCTGCATAGTTACCAAAGCCACCACAGGATGGCAGGACATGCCTGCACACTCGCTCAGGATGTCACTGAAAAGTAAGCCACACATTTGAAGAAAAAAAAGTTCACAAGGCCATGACGTGTGTGACTTGACTTCTTCCACCTGTGTTGCCCTTCCCAGCTTACTTTCCACCATACTCACCGAGACGAGAAAAGAAAGAAAACGCTCAGACGTGCTACATATCCCTGTAAATCTGCTCATGATTGAAGTATTATACAATATATGCAGCAGTTGATTTGCTAAGGCAATCAATTCATTTATATGAAGGTGCTCGAAGATTGCTTCAAAAAGTGTTGCAGAGTCCTTTCAAGAAGTGTTGCGAAGAAAAAAAAAGCTCACCATAGTAAGCGTGTAAAGCTGCCGTAATGATGTGACTGACTGTAGCAGCAGAACCACAAGGCCACCTCCTTCAATGGTCTCTATGGTCCTAGCCAATATGTTGGGGGTCATGGCCTCAAAGTCTTGAAGGACCAGCATTCCGTAAGTGTTCCCAAGTATCTTATGAGTTTCACTGCACAAGAGAAACACACAAACATTCCCACGCATCTGCTACTAAATAAACAAATGCATTGTTTCTGAATTCCACTTTTCAACATAGGCTGACAACGAAACATCGACTCACTGGTAATAGCAGTAGCGGATATTTGTTGCTGCAATGAACAACTCAAACGGGTCCTCCTCATTGACATCCAACTTGCCACTTTTTATTTTCTTCTGGAGTTGCCTCATTCGCTTCTTCCGGTGTCTGATGAGGAAATGAAAGTAATCGGCGTAATATTAATAAACACAAGGCCAGTACATTCATACTACGCACTAAAGAACAGACAATGAATATATATGTGTCGCGGCTACGCGATTACGAAGGAGGAATTACTTACGAACTAAATCCCAATTCTTTCTTGTAGCACCACAGTACAGAGGGCCGAGCTTTGACTGTCGTCTTCGAGAGCATGTGATGGAGTATGACAACCTTTCGGGTGAAAATATGGGCAATCGATTAGGACAAGCACAGAACGAAAGGATCGAAAAGGTTGCGTTAATGTCCCGATATCCCTATGAAATCGACACAATGCCCTTGATCCATATATGGGTTGCATGCAGCTTTTAGGAATGAATCGGAAGGCCTTGACGGGCTGAAGTAACCAACTTAGCCTGTGTTGACATTCCTAAACGCCTGGATTCACTTCCTTCTTGCGCTTGCACACGCTGAGACGTAAACGCAACGTGCGGTAGCGAAAACAACTCCATGGATATTCAGTTATATTCAAAATAAGAAAAAAAAATTTTCCAGATATGAAAGGCGCGCGGAGTTGCACGCAACTCGTATCGAGCATATTTACCTGGTCGCGCCCCTTTTCACCCACAATGACAAACATCGTTCGGTGGCCCGTGTGAACTCCATTTTCAATGAGCACACGTATCCGATTATCGATCTTCTTGCGAGTCATTGCCGGTATTTATCGCATGCGGCCGCATACAACTAGTTGGCACAACACACACTACACGTGCACGCTGTTAGCGGCTACGCCACAGAACAGGCGATGAATGGAGCTATAAGGTACGTGTGACGTCATGCCCCATTTTACTCTACTTGAGCTACTTGGATATATGTGTGAAAAGCTCCGTAGACCTTGAGTCATACCATGTTAAAAAAGATATACACAGTTAGTTTATTTATTATAATAAATAACAAGAAATTTGTTTATATTAAAACCTCGCAGCATTTTCTATAGAAGCAGTAGCGCGCATAAACACTCTAGTTGCTATTGTTGTTTTGTATCATTTGCCATATGTTACTAAAACGCAAGTTTTTTGTCGCTTCCGTTTTGTCGGTTCCTTTCGGTTTCTCTTGTTCCATCCTTCGGTGCGTGATCCGCATTGCAATGTGGGTCTACGTGGACTGTTGGTCCGCGTTAGCTTATTTGTTATTGCTGGCGGGATTTATATTTACGGTCGTAAGTATTAACCGTATTTACCGCTTGCCTTTAGTGATCCAGTTATTTCATTTCTGACCTGTGAGAATGAGAAAAAACCTCGCGTTGAGAAAACACGGCCACTCGAACTTTTTAAATGCTTGCGCTGCTCTTTCTGAGGGAGTCTCAGTGGTCCCAGCTTAGCGCTTTGCACATCGGTTTTGTGGTTAATTAACCATGTTCTGAAGCTTTTTTCGGTGTATTGTCGCCACGTTTTCGTGGCACCGATCCATCTACTCCAAGTTTTTGATACCGTTGCCGACTGTCAAGTTCATTGCTACTGACGACGTTTGTGTACACGCCACGCTGAACCATTTCTCTCCCTCTCTCTTAATCCTTTCTTGTCTGTAGCTGTGCGTGTTTCTCTACGCCACCTCATCGAGAATACCGTTGATCATTCGGTACTCGGAAGAATTCAATTTCAAAGACCCGTCCCAACCTGGCCAGATTTTTCAGTACCCTCATCTCGGGGATGAACCGAGCATCGAGCTCTCCGTTATCGTCCCTGCGTACGAAGAAGAGAAGCGCCGTAAGTAAAAAAAAAAAATCGTTTTGAAAACTCGTTTTCGAGAGCTGGTCGCTCAATCGTGTAAAAGTAAACTTCAGAATGACTAATTTAATGTCGGAATATTTCAGTCATCGCCGTGTTCTCATCTATTTGATTACCCCCTTTTTTTTTTAATCTTCTTTTCAGTTCCCCCTATGCTGGACGAGTGCCTGGAGTACTTGCAGGCCAGGAAGGTATGAAAACATCATCGTGAGTTTGTGTGTTTGAAGATTAGCAAGAATTTGTCTGCTCAGTGTAGGATAGGTTGAAACACGTTTGCTTGTTTTATTTCCGAGTGGATGGTGAGCTTGTCACCATATTTTAAGTTTCCCTTTTCGCGCGATTTCATGACAGTATCAAATAATTTTCTCTACTGTAGAGAAGAGACCCGAACTTCACCTACGAAGTTATCATCGTCGATGATGGTAGCCGGGATCGAACAACGTCTGTTGGCCTGCAGTACAGCCTCAAGTATGGAACCGAAAATGTGCGGGTCCTGACGCTTGCCAAAAACCGTGGAAAGGGTGGTGCCGTGCGCTTGGTTTGTAATATTCTTTTCTTTAGGCCACAAAATACATGGCCATGCTGTTTCCTCATTTTTTGCACACTCACACAAATCTGTTGTATTGCATCCCAACAAACCCAATATTTTGCATACGTCAATATTGTAGTCTTTATATGGTCTTTTTAACATATTTATTGCAAGGTTTCCTCTATGTACAGTGCATTTTACAACATAATACAAGGAGACTCGTTGCACAGATGCAAAGAAGTTTGTTTCGTGCATAAAGTTTAATATGGGTGATTGAAATGGCCTAAATTTCCAGTGGGGTTCGGAAAGCAATCCGGATGCTGACCAGTTCTCGTGTAGTCAGAAAGCATTTGCAAATGAAACATTCGGGTCAACATTATCCAAAAATATCTGCGAACCAACAGACAGTGATGCCAAAGCGAACCAAAATTTTTCGCATTCCTTGCCCTCAAGATATCCACAGTAATCGAGCAGTAACATCACTACTATTCTTTGACCATTGTAGCTTTCATGAGATTTGGATATGTATACAGAGCGTTTACGAGTCGCAACACATAGTAACCAAAATGCTAACGTTGCTAATAATAGTACAACTTTTAAAACATTTTCATTTGGCAAGAAAATCACGTCAGCGGACACTGTTCTCATTCCAGGGGATGCTTAGTGCCAGAGGAAAGCTCCTGCTATTTGCTGATGCCGACGGTGCGAACCAAGTTCTCTGATGTGGATAAGCTTGAAGAAGTCGCGAATGAGCTACTCAAGCAGGTAAGCGAATAATTTTCCCAGCCCACTGATTACAAGTAGTAGTAACTTGTACGTTAGTAGTAGTGGTGGGGTTTTAAATCACGTTGAGCCTCCCTGCTGTCCTTATTTATTCTACACGCACTTCTCATTCTTCCTGCAGAGCACTAACGTGGTTGTAGTTGGATCACGTGCCCATCTGGAGAAGGAAAGCATTGCCGAGGTAAGTTGAATTTCGATGGTGGCCTCCTGAACACTTAGAATACCTGCCTATGCACACTTGAATGCATGAGTCATGGTAAAATGCTACAGCAGCGTCGACTACACAGTTTTTTTATAGTAGCTGTCATTGCTTTGGTGAAAACTGCTGAGTCACATTTCAACTTATCTATCAAATGGCATGTCACAAATCTCAAACTGACTTTTCATTTAAGTTCCCCGATGAAATCTTGAATGTAGTATCTCTATGTAAGCGCAACAAGGTATTCATTGTAATAAAATTTGTTTTTATTTTTAAAACATGCAGGTGAAGATGTAACGTCGCATAGCTAGGAGTTTCGATACGCTCCCTGAATTTTCGTATCGACTTTCAGCATTCAAGAGATACTATATGGATGCTTCTCAGAGTTCATGATGAAACAGAAATGTAGGTGAAATCGGCAGGAAATTCACGTTATGCACACAAGCCACCTCCCCACAGTTTCACACTTGTTCGACTATAATCGAGTACAGCTCTTAGAAGTCGGTGGCATTTCCGCCTTAAAGGCACTATAGACTGACAGCATAAGCCTCTCGGTTGTTGACACTGTTGACACCACCCTCAAAGATTATGGCCCAGTAGATGTTGTTTTTTTGTCGTAGCGGCGATTGGCCGCTTCATTTTGATAATATGGAAGGTGCCTCTACTGACTTCTTAAATTATATCTAACTATATTATGTCCGAAAAAAAAATGTTTAGTGATGACATTGTGTTTATTTCATGAAGGAGTTGAATCAACATCAATAATGGTACTGAATTGAATGCCTCAGTAGGATAAACTGCAAACAACATCTGTAGAAGTGGGCTTGTACTTTACCCTTCGATTTTACTGCAGCTTGCAAGACATTGTAAACTTGTAGGAGGCTATGTTAAGATACCTCTTGATGGTTGCAACGTCATTTATCAGCTGCTGTTATGTTCCTTTGTTGCAGAGGTCAATATTTAGGACACTCCTTATGTACGGATTCCATTTCCTTGTTTGGCTATTCACCGTGAGGGGCATTGCAGACACGCAGTGTGGTTTCAAGCTCTTCAGTCGGGAAGCAGCAACACACCTGTTCACCTCGCTGCATGTGGAGAGGTGGTAAGAGACTGCACATTCTCCTGCTTGAAAGAGAGAAATTGTTTTTCCACCAATGCTCGATGCACACTGATTCTAACTTGTACTGATTGAACTTATTTCAGGGCTTTTGACGTTGAGATCCTGTATATAGCGCAAGCACTCAAGTTTCCTGTCGCTGAGGTTGCTGTTCGCTGGACAGAGATAGAAGGTTTGTTTTTTTGAATATTATTTTATTGCTCTTTTTAGAGATGGTAATATTTCTCCTCTTAAGCCCATCTAGGATTGAACTGAAAGTTGCACTGCTTCGGGTATGTAGCATTGTTGCATGGCCATCCTTCAATCAAAGGTCCTTCATGGCAACCTGTGTAGCGTAGTGCTACAGAGCTCGAGACCTCAGATTTGATCCCACATATAGAAAAGCTGCATTTCGATGGGGGCAGAAATTCAGAAATTCCTCCTGTGCTTTGATTGGATTACGTATTAGACAACTCATGTTGTCCAAGCTGATCGGCAGTTCCCTCCCCACTACATGCCTCATAATGACATCATGGTTCTTGTACCTAAAACCCTGTATTTTTCGTTTCAGTTTATCAGCTACGTAAATGGCGTACCTGTGTAAACCGTCGTTCTTGCGTCATGGCGTTCATGCATAATTGTTGGTGTAATTAGCTTAGTCACCACCAATCAAGAGTTGTACGCTGTGGTGCAACCTGGCAAGGATTAGATTACACGGGGGTCATGAGGAGCGTCGCTTTCTTCTGGGGCTTGCCACATCTGTGGACAAATGGCTCTCGGGGAAGTCCATTTGGACAATACCGTGGCTTGTTCGCACTAAATTCCTGTAGTGAGACGGTATCAGCTATGCTGCATTCGTGGTGCACTGTGTGTCATGTTCTTTGTTACTACAGTTATTCGAAATTTGGCTCGGTGGCCTCATCATTGTGTAAAATGTTTGTAAATGTGCACATTTGTTCACTGTACTGCAGTGTGCCTTTGTGTCCATTTATTTTAAGACCCCACACTGTGTACTTGCCCCATGGACAATTTTCTTTGAAAACCCTGCAGCAAGCTAATTCATTGTTAAAAAAAACAATATTTACATTTTGTTTCAATTCAGCATTGAATGAGGCTTCAGAAACTGCTATTCAAAACCCTCAGATCATTTTATTGCAAAACTTACTGCATTAAAAATGCAGATGATGTTCTTATTTGCTACACTCCGACTTGCAGGGTCGAAAGTTGTGCCCGTCTGGACGTGGATTGAGATGGGTCGGGACCTTTTTCTCATCTGGTTACGATACAAGATTGGTGCCTGGTCTATTGCAGCACAGCCAAACAAGCTCAAATGAGTGATGCTAGTCTGTGATTTAGTTCGTTTTTATATGCCCCTTCCCCTTTATTTTTTTACACGCTCTTGTTATGTGTACATTTTGAAGCGCAGTATGCTGGAACATGATCTGCGCTGGTAAATAAATGGTTTTCTCAAGATAAATCATGGCGATTTGAACTGGCCTTTGTAATACTTTCTTGGAAAGCACACAACACTATTTGTACCTTGTCAATGTACAAACAAGAAAGTCTACTGCACATTTCATGACTAAATTATCGTAATGTATTAAAGAGGATGGGAGTGCAATTTCATATTTCATTAACTTATGCACAAATTTATCTATGATGAGTCATATTCATATACAAAGCGAATGTGCATTTATGCTTGAGATTTTATTTTCTGACTGCTTGTGTTTGCTAGGAAATGAAAACTAGAAAAACTGTCTACCAGGAATTAATAATGAAACAAAGAATGTCTTGATTGACATCATATGAATAAGAACAGACAATAATGCCAAGGAAAGTATTGGGAATGTTGTTAGAAGTAATTGTAATGTAAGATGTCAAGAAAGAAAAAATATGTGTACAAAAAGATAACTTGATAGACATTCTTTTGTGGCCCTTCTAATGTAAAGGCCTCCTTTATACCTCGCTTCAATTAATGCTGGACATTACATCTAGGCTCTATACATAATTTCATCCTGTTGCTAGTGTTTAATGTTCCTAAAAGCTGGTCACCAGTACAGCCTTACAACCTGAATGTACTCGATTATATGTGATGAAAAAAAATTCTAAACAGGGGATGTGTGCTCAAGCTGACGTTTTGACAGATGGACTTGTATTCCTCAAGGCTAGAACTTATTTTAATAGCCCAAACGGGGATATGCTTTCTAACCACTCCCTTAATGCGAACATATGAAGGGGAGAAGGCGACTGTGGATGTGAGGGGGCGTCGTGACGGATTGTGTGGGTAGAAGTATTCCGCGATAAATAGAAAACAATGAAGCTGGGTTGGGGGGGGGGGGGGGGGAGGCGTAGATGTTTTTCTGAATCAGGGGTGTCTTAACGCACCACCTAACAATGGTAGGTCTCAAATTCCTAGCTTGAACGAGGTTTAACTCATCGGTTTTCTTTTGTATGTAAATCATATATTGAATGGATTCAAAGCTAGCCCTTAGAAACGTTTATACCTGCTGGCAGGAGTGTATTGAACCAAGAAATAATTAAGGTATGGATAATCTCTTGCGCCGCCGGACTGGAAGTATGACTTAGGTGGTCAGAGTGCTCCATTAAAATGTTGCGCCACTGTTTTGACGTCACCTAAAATTTCTACGCATGAATGGCGTCGGTTTGCCAAGAGCAAGACGTCTACGACTACTTAATTAACGTCAAGTGCGAGTCAATAATGCTATTTCACTTTTCGCCGTGAGATTCCCGCAAACGATGACACTATTTGGACTTCGCTGTAGCCTCATCTGGCAAAAGTTGTTTTGAGCAAGATGTTCGAGCAAGGACGCCACGCGAAACCACGAAGTCACAGGGCGAGACGTGACGCGCGACCATGGTGCCATAGCACGCCGTGGTCTCGTGGGATGAAGCTCTTAGCAATGCTCGTAGTTAATACTACTCAAAGTAGACAATGGCTTGGATATACCACGCAGTTTATTAAGGCCTTCCTTGTTAAGTTAGAAGAGCTTTTCGCAGTGGAAATACCATTTAGGACCATGGTTCCAGGCAACTCGCATTGGACCATTTCACATGGACTAAACCAAAAGCTGCGGCGACGAAGACTATCTACGCTGTTATAGTATACTAAGGTACAGAGTTTACCTACCAAACACCAACTACTGTTGACCTAGGCAAAGACCGCCGTGGTCAAGACCGTGCTTGAAAGTGCAAAAGTGGCATTGTCATCATCATCGTGCTCACGATGGCGCATAGCGCATTAAAAAGCTTGTGCGTGTAAACGACAAAAAAACTGAAGTCTTCTTGTGCATAGCAAGCTCGGTGAGTTGTCGTTCGTAACATTTAAATCGACCGAAGGAACGAATCTGTAACCTATAAGTTTCCTAGGAAGCGCTATTTGCTCTACGTGTGCGCGATTACTACGTTTCCCTAGTATCTGCGTTGCATGTGATGAGCACTCTGAAAACAAGTAATAGTTGTCAAGAAGGCCCCAAGTAGACGTGGCTCGTATCCCTGATCGAATCTGTCTTCTTGCTTAAGGGTGAAGCCAAGGGGACGACGAGATGGACTTCCAACATCGTCCCGGTGGTAAGACCGGCTCCGGAGGCGTCGCGTCGTGGTCCGAGTCCAACAGAGACCGGAGAGAGAGAGAGAAACAACATTTTTGTGCATCCGGCGTGCGGGAAGTCCGCGCAGGGCGCGGGTATTCCCTATCTAAAAACTATAGCTAATAGTCCTATAGTCCCAGGCTCTAGATCTTGAGGATGTTGTGCTCTGGCTAGGCATTGGATACTCGGGCTCCTCCGCTCCCGTTGTCCGGGGCGTCGGTTCCCTTTCTCGTCTGCTTTGCCAGGGCCTCCTCAAGCCGCTGGATGGCCCTTCGTTGTGTGTTTAAGTCTTGGGAGCGTATCCATGCTCCCACCTCATCGGGATACGTGGCGTCCTGGCACTGCCCATTCCCATTGTTCACACCACTGTTACACCCGCCCCACATGATGTGGCGGAGGGTGGCTAGTTCACGTTCGCACGCGCTACACTTAGCGTCCACAAACATGTCGGGGCATACGTGCCGGGCCAATGCTGGCGTTAGCACGCATTCCGTTTGCAGTTGTCGGAGCTTCACTGCTTCCGCACGTGACAGTTCACGATGCGGGGGCGGAAAGGCTCTCCTGGCCTCTCTGTAGGCCGCCAGGATCCCTCCGTAGTCGGTGAGGGGATCGAGGTCTTCTCGTTCTTCACCGCTGGTTTCAGGGAGACGGGCTGCCGCGGTCCGGCACGTGATGAGATCACGGGCCACAGCGTCCGCCTCCTCGTTGCGGTTCTCGATGTCGGGAGCCAGGTGTCGTCCCATGTGGGCTGGGAACCATTTGAGGGCGATGGTTGGTCCTACAGCGGCGCCGCGAGCAGCCCGCGAGGCCGCGATGGACGTCACTAGCCGCTCCGTGCCCCGCCAGACCATGCCTCGGGCAAAATTCCTAATTGCCTGCTTTGAGTCGCTTAGCACCGTGCGCGTGCCCGGCCTACCTGTGGCCAGGGCTATCGCCGCCTCCTCTGCCTGGCCGGCTGTTCGGGCGCGCACGGTGCTTGCTGTTAGTAGTTTACCGGTAGTGGCGCTGACCACCACTGCTGCGAAGGCGTTGCGTCTTCCCGAATATCTTGCGGCATCCACGTAGACTGCGCCCTCGTCTCTCTGATGTTGACGGGCCAGCGCCACTGCTCTCGCCGCTCGCCTGCCCGCGTCCCTTTCTGGGTCCATGTTCTTTGGCAGCGGGTAGACAATGATTTTCCTCGCTGCCTCATCGCTCAGGGGGACTTGCTTTTCTAGCTCCCTGTCCGGTCCTGCGCCCGGGCGTTCTCCAGGAGGTAATAATCCTACCCGATCGAGTAATCCTCTGCCCGCGGCTGTGTCGCTCAGGCGGCTCAGCTGCGAAGCTCTCTGGGCCTCGCTGATCTCCGAGAGCGTGTTGTGTGTTCCCAGAGACAGCAAGGCCGTTGTCTTTGTGCCTGGTAGGAGCCCAAGAGCCCCCGCGTAAGCCTTCCGGATGGCAGCGTCGATCTTGGCTCGTTCCGCGCCGGTCCAGCGGTGAAAGGCCCCCGCATATGCCGCGTGGCTTATAACGAAAGCCTGCAGCAGATGCAGGAGCCCCCTCTCTTTCATGCCCCGGTAGCGGGACGACATTCGCTTGACCAGGCGCGCTGCGATGCCCATCTTGGTTGTGATGTTCTTGACCGCCGTGGCGTTGGTTTGGGTGCCGTCCACGAACATCCCCAGGACTCGAAGCCCCGGGACGTGCGGGATCTGCATACCGTCACTGGTGCGCACGATGATGTTCTCGGCCGCCTCTCGACTTGCCTTCTTTCTGTGCCTCCCAGGTGGTGGCAGGATGAGTAGCTGTGATTTTTGTGGCGAACACCGCAAGCCCGTGCCCAAGAGTGCGGACTCCACGGCGTCCACCGCCGCCTGCAGACCCGCCTCGATGTCTCCGTCGCTTCCACCCGTGGCCCAGATGGTTACGTCGTCGGCGTAGAGGCAGTGTCGTATCCCCGGGCCTAGCGCCTCCAGACGCCTGGCCACCTCGATCATGACAATGTTAAACAGGAACGGGGAGATGACCGAGCCTTGTGGGGTCCCGACACTGCCCAGCTCTCGTTCTTCGAGCTTCGTTCCTCCCACCTCCAGCCTGGCCGTGCGGCGAGAAAGGAAGGCTCTGATGTAGTTGTACGATCTTGCGCCCAGCCCCAGGCGGGACACCTGAGCCAGGACCGACGAGTGTCTAACGTTGTCGAAGGCGCTTTGCAGGTCCAGGCCCAAGATCGCTCGGTTGTCATTCTTTGGAGTCCCGCCCGGTGGGTCAAGGACTTCTCGTTGGATCAGGAGCATGGCGTCTTGAGTTCCCAATTTGGCCCGGAAGCCAAGCATTGAGTCCGGGTAGACATGGTGCGCTTCCATGTAACGGTTCCACCGGGTGTTAAGAACGTGCTCCAGTACCTTTCCCACGCAGGACGTGAGCGAGATGGGACGCAGGCCCTCTATACCCGGTGGCTTGTTTGGTTTTGGCAGCAGGATCGTCTTTGCTGTCTTCCAGGCCTTGGGCAGCTTGCCGTTACGCCAGCATTCGTTGTAGTAGCGTGTCAGTGATGTGATGGCTGAGTCACTCAGGTTGCGTAGAGCTTTGTTAGTAACTCTGTCGGGTCCGGCGGCCGAACGACAGTTCAGGTCCTGGGCCGCCTGCCTCACTTCCCATTCCTCTAGATCTCGGTCGAGGTGGAGGTTCGGCTGGCCGGCGTAGTCTGGGTGATCTTCGTGACTGGTGATGGGGAGGTAGCGCTCGTTGAGTCGCTTGAACATCTCCTCTTCGCCCAGTTGACGAGCGGTGGTGTGTAGAATTTGGGCCATGCGTGTACGTTGGTATTCACAGCTCTTGGTCTCATCCATCAGTTGCCTGAGGAGTTTCCAAGTGCCGCCACGGTGAAGCTGTCCATCAGCCTGGCTGCAGAGTGCAAACCACTGCTGTGAGCAGAGCTGCCTGCTGTGTCGCTCGATCTCTCGGCCGAGTTCTGCGATCTTCTTTCGTAGCTTTCTGTTGTGACGTTGCCGCCGCCAACGCTTTTGGAGCGAGCGCCTGGCTTTCCTCCACCGTGATATTACGGATCGATCCGTAGCGAAAAGATCTCGCTTCGCTAGGAGTGCTCAGCACTATAATGTTCTGGGCGGCGTTCGGCGCAAACGAATCGTCCTCCGCTTCTTCGATCTTAATGTTAGCCGCTGTTATGATGGCTGTGCGCAGCGTGGTCATTTTGGTGGCACTCACTACGAGTCCCCCACGAGGCCTAATAACCACGCGGTGTTCGTCTTTCTTGGCGAAAGTAGGCATGCGGGCTGACTTTGCCATATTAGCGTTCACTTTCGCAACGTACTGCGCTTTCTGTTCGCGCCTACGCTCCTCCTTCAACTTAGAGTTCGAAGCCGATAGAAACTTGCTCGGCTCACCTGCGGTGTGGGTATCCCGCTGCGATGGGCTGCCCGTTTTTTGCCGTTTCTTCTCGCGTCGAGAGGCCACTACGGTCCAACCCGCACACGAGTTCGGCGGGTCACAGTCACTGTTCACCGCGGTAACACACTGTCCGATGCCGGTGGCGGTCGGAAAACCGTCGCCGGAGGGAGCGGCTACGACAGCTTGCCCTCGAAACTATCGACCTTCAGAAGGACCCCTACTTCATGAAAAATCACTTGGGTAAGACTAGTTGTCTTGCGTGCTTATAACACGGTAGTAAATAAGTATTGTAAACACGACGGAAACACAAGAGGAAAAAAGCACAAGATACGAGTGCCATCTTACAACATAAGTTTGTTGAAGCGAGACTGAACACACGAAAAACCGAAAACCATTCGTGCGCAAGAACGCTAGACATAAAAGAATTAGCTAATCGTGCGTACCTCGCAACCTAGCAAACAAACGGCACGTGCAGACATGCAATCGTCACCAATCATTCTCATGAACATTTCGGCGAGTTCACGAGCCTATCTTTGCTTGTGAACATTTTCTTTCGTTTTATATTCATTAAGTAACGGAATTCTACAAACCCGTGTATTTTGGAGCTGTAAATTTTGTAAAATTATAGATGCCAGAGATACATTTTCAATCTATTCAAATTTTGGTTGTACTTACATTTGTTTTCTCCACCAAGGTTTGCATAGGAGATGCTTTATGAATAAGATTTCTTATTATTTTGTTGCTACTGCATTCATTTAGAAGAGGTTTATTATTTTTGCTTGTAACCTGAACACCTACAGCCGTGACTGGCCCAACACGCACACAAGCCTCTGGCTTGCGCAGACATACTATCTGTTAGTGTAGATATACATATTGCCACGCTGTGTTGGTGGCAGAAAACGAGAGCTAAGAAGTGAATGGCAGCTGTGGCTGAGTAAACAGTCCTCCACTTCGAGTTCCTGCCTATCGTTTCCTCTCGCGACAGACTGGTGGACGTCATATGCCTGCTGGTCCTGAACCAGAAGCAACCACCGCCAATGCACCAGGGTCTGCTGACATCTATCGAAGCAGCCGCCGCCTTCAAGGACTACCACCACAGTACGGCCTCTTGGCAAGTTTCGTGAGGACAATGTTTGCCACATCCGCAACCCAAACCGAGCATGACCCACTCGCTAGCATACCCTGTGTCATCAACACGCCTCGCACACCCAACCCATTCCATGGTGATGCCAGTGAGGATGTCGAAGACTGGCTTGATCATTTCGACCGGGTCGCTGCCATCGACTGGGACAATCGCCGTAAGTTGAAGAACGTGTATATCTTCCTCTTAGACGCGGCAAGAGTGTGGTATGAGAACCACGAAATTTCCTTCACAAGTTGGCAGGAATTTCATTGGCAGCTACGCGAGGCGTTCAGTAACCACGAACGGAAAGAGAGAGCGGAGCAGGCACTTTCTTCGCGATTTCAAATGCCGAACGAGAGCGGCGCCATGTTTGTCGAAGAAATGTTGCGATTGTTTTGACGGGCTGACCCACACATGCCAGAAGACAAGAAAGTGCGCCTGCTAATGCGAGGCGTAAAGGAGCAACTTTTCGCGGGCCTTGTGCGCAACCCTCCTGCGACTGTGTCCGAGTTCATACGTGAGGCCACAATTATGGAGCGCATGCTTCGGCAGCGGGTGTCGCAGTATGAGCGTCAGACGGCCATGTCCGCTGCGTGCTCGCTTGTACCAGGAGGTGATAACAGGGAGGTCCTCACAGAACTCATACGGCAAGTTGTATGCGAAGAACTTCGGAAACTTCAAAACTTCGTTCAGCGTGCCAAAGGCGCCCGGCAGCTGGCGCGCTTTCGCATTTTATTGCGGCAAAATCAAGATGCTCACCGATACAACACCCACCACAGAGCAGTAATATACGAACCCGGTGACCTAGTCTGGGTTTGGACTCCTATACGTCAACGGGGACGCTCAGAAAAATTGTTATGTCGGTACTTCGGACCCTACCGAGTTCTTCATCGCCTCGGCGAAGTGAACTACGAAGTTGTCCCAGCAGACACGTCACACCGTTCTCGCAGACCACGCTCCTCGGATGTGGTTCACGTCTCCAGGATGAAGCCGTACTATTCGCGTTGACTGCAAGTCAAGAACATTGTGATATGCCAATAGCCTTCAAGACAATTGTGCATTACTTTCTTGCTTCGTTATTTTTTGTCTCGTCCTTTTTTCTTTTCAAAGGACGCAGACATTTCTGACTACCTTTCGTTGTTTTTCGGAGCCGTGGTATTCATGCGATGCTTCTTCTTTTTTTTTTCTTTGGGGAGAGGGTAATGCCACGCTGTGTTGGTGGCAGAAGACGAGAGCGAAGAAGTGAATGGCAGCTGTGGCTGAGTAAACAGTCCTCCACTTCGAGTTCCTGCCTATCGTTTCCTCTCGCGACAATATTACACAATGAAGATTTCATTGTTGTTATCATAGGTTATTCTATATCGCTTGAGTTCACACTGTTTTCCTGATGTTTTGCAACGAAGGTTAGAAGTTCGTGTCTTTCCTTTCTTGTTGTCTCATTACTTTGCAATATTGTTTTCTCGCAGGTTCTTATGAATGTAAACTGTGCCTGACATTGCACAATAACGAAGGCAGTTACCTGGCCCACACGCAAGGCAAAAAGCACCAAGCCAATCTTGCGCGCCGAGCAGCCAAGGAAGCCAAGGACTCTCCTATCCAGCCCGCACCAGCGAAGCCTCGTGTCGACATCAAGAAATTTGTAAAGATTGGACGACCAGGCTACAGGGTCACCAAGGCAAGATAGCTCAAGCCTATGTTCCAGTTGAAATTGCGTATAAAATGGCGGTGTTCCTTTTTTTTTTTTTTTTTGCCAGTGCTTTCTTGACACGGCTGAGTTGAATAATTTCCTCCAAGTGAGATATCAATGACAAGCCATAGGTCAGGAGGCAAATCTGTTAAAAGGTGCCATTGGTCGACTGGTGTTTCTGTTCTATACAAAGAAAAAGGAGGTGTCTATAAAAGTGGCTACAACAGCAGCACAGTTGTATGCAGGGTGTCCCACATAACTTTAGCTAGAGTTTAAAAAATATGCCAGTACACGTAACTACAACGCGTCCAAATGCATGTTGCTCACCGTTGCCTGGAGTCAGTCAGACTATTTCTTGTGTTCTCAAGTACTGTTTAATTATATCTGTTTAATTAACTAACTTTTGAAGGAACGAAGATGGATAAAAAGTTTCATTGAGAAGTTGTAGATCGGTTTGCAAAACGTCCAAATAGATAGTTTTGAACTTTTATCCGTGAAGTATTAGTGTTTTCCTGCATATTACAAATGCCCGTGAAATGAAAAAATAATACCACGTGACAAACCCACTCGCAGGTCAGTGCGCACGATGATTCCAGTGCTCACTAACGTTCTGCGTGCGAAACGACACACTTCCCTCACACCGGTTCATGACAACGATAAGCAGTCACAACGGTTATCGTTTTTGTGGCCGTTAGCAAAACGCGTTCATCGTAAAGTCACCACCATCGTTGCCGCCCTGCCGGACAGCACAATGGGGCAAATTCTATGGTAGTTTTTTCGCGGAATGTTGTGACCAAGCATTTTTGTGATCATCCATTAGAAAATGGATTGATGCTCCTTGATGGGATTGCCTTGACACGAATAAAACAAACTTGGGATTAAGGATGAAATTTCATAACTTGAAACTCTGACATCAGCTAATAATAGTTTGTGCCCTTCGTCTTGGTGCTACATTGGACACATACGTAAATTTGGCAGATTAAAATGTCATGTGCATTTATTTTCCATGGTAAAATATACAAAAGTGTCTAGAACCAAAAGTTTGATTTGGAATCCACTGTTCTCTTTTTTTATCTGCGATATGGTGCAGCAAAGGGATGGCGACACTGGGCAGCAGTCCTTGCTGTTTCAAGTGGACTACCCTGAAGTGAATGACAACGTGGTGCCTCGGCATCGATTCATGTCGGCCTACGAACAGAAGGTGGAGCCGCCAGACAAGAAGTGGCAGTATCTGCTTTTCGCTGCTGAGCCCTATGAAACCATCGCCTTTAAGGTGAATATCTTTCTATTAGCAGCAAATTCTGCCCTTCAGGGAACAGGGTAGGTTCTACACCTCCCACGTATTTCAAGGCTTGTTAAAGGGCCAATCAAGAGGCTTCAAATTTTTTTTACACACCTCCCAAAGAAGCTCGGCAATTCATAGAGTAGACAGTAGTGATCAAGTTTTCCTAATATTACAGTGCTGCGCATCGCACAGAGACTCCATCTTTAAAAACAATTTCCGCGCTCCTACGCCGGACCAATCCTCCTTTCACGCGCAGTTATGCAAAGTCATCGATTGGTGACGACGTAACACGCAGCTCATCGATTGGTCTAAAGCAGTCACGTAGATGGGCTATGCCTCGCCCTCCCTGTGAGAGGGAGAAGGGTAGCCTGATGGAACTCGTGTTATAACCTCCTAACTTCCTTAAATAGCACATATTCGCAGCATTATTGTGGCAGCATGTGCGCAAAACAAAAGGGCACATATTTCTCTTCACAGCAATTTCTGGGCCTCGGGGTTGTTTACTGGCCCAGTTTCTCTTAAGCTTTTACATCTAGTAAAGCCTTCAGGTTTGTTACATTTCACTCGTCAGTGCCCTTTCTTGCTATTGAACTAGAAATGCAATTTTTATTGTAAAGAAAGTAATTTTTTTCATTATTTTTTATACTAAACAGTAAAAACAAATGAAGGCTGTTCCACATACACCATTCTGGTTCAGTAGCTTCGTATTGATGTTTGGATTTTTCTGGTGAAAAATTAGCCTTCTATTTATTTCAAGTTATTTAGATAATGGGGCAAATGCAGTGAAAATCTACAACATGGCACTAATTTTGAAAATGAGACTTTGACCTTCGTTTTGTCCTTTACTAAGCTATCATGTCGAAATGAATGAGATTGCATTTTTTAGATTAAAATTTGTCAATTTAAATGGATAGTTTCACTTTAGCATCCCTTTAATACCTGCTTTGTTTGAAGCTGAGCAGAGTAGAAAGGACTGCATCCGAATGCCGATTTGCATGGTTAACGTTAAAAAAAAGATAAAGGTTAAATATTGTGACAACATCGCAGGTGCCAAGTAGAGAAGTGGACAAGTCCGAGGGCAGGTTCTGGACTCTCTGGAATCGAGACAGCAAGCAGTTTTTCCTGCAGTTCAGCTTCAAGTTGGAAGCCAAGCCAAAGCTTCCGACCCTCACCGGTCACGGCTTGCCAAGTCTTGCACCGCCACCTCCCCCGCCGCCACCTTCTTTGGGAGGCAACTAGCTTGGAAGCCATGGAATAAATATGGCATTCTCATTAATTTTTAGAATTGTCTCCATGCCAAGTGAAGCGTTGTGGTAGTTGCTGTGCATCAAAAACTGTGCAGTGGTTTTAAAGCAGCTGCAACACCTAACACCATTTGCTCTCTAGTGTGCTGGTTGGTAAATGGTAAATACTATGCACAACAGGGCATCACAGAAGGTAAATACTATGCACAAAAGTAAACAAGTGACAAGTATGAGGAAGTACAGGGGAAAAAATGGAAGTGGTAACGTTCCTTCAACAGATTATGCTGACTAGCGTGCTGTTTTCTGCACTGTGATACGTACTGACAGTAGGTATTCTTTCGTTCTGCTCAAACTCTAAAGACGTAGCGGTCGCACTTGGTGACAATTAGTTTCGATGAGATAGGTAGGCTATCGATAGAGTAGTTAGGGTAGGGGCCAGTTGGGTGTAGATAGCGTAAATGTTTTTGCGTGCTGCAAAGAAATGAAATCGACCTAAAAAGAAGCTACTGAAGTTATTTTGGCGTCTCTTGTAAAAGACCAAGATTTAAACTGATGTGTTAAGAAGTGGCAGTACTCTATTCTTATGGACATTTAGATGATAAAGTCTCTGTACAAGTTTTACAATGGTTACAATCTGACTGATAGGCCTCCTGTGGCGAATTTAAAACAATAAATGTTCGTATTCTATAAACCAGAACTTTCAGTGCTTTAAAAGCAGCCGCCCTTAGCCAGGGCCTGCAGGAGCTTATGAGAGGAACCACTATGCCGACAACTAAAGCTTTTTAACACTTGCTGTAAAACTTGAAGCACAAGTGACAGCCATCATTTGAAGTACTAACACCAACAACTGCTCATTGCAATTAAATGCCCATTAAAATAAACCTGCTAGATATTTTAGTGTAAGGTTACACGTAACTAACCATGCAAAAAAGCTAACAATTCGAATGCAAAGTCCGAAATATAGTCTGTTGGGTAGCAATAAATAGAGCATAAGCAAAAGGCTGTGCTTTATCATTAATGCTAATTGAATTACTTAAATATACTCAATTTATTGCATTATTTCCTGTATGCCGAGACTTTCAGTGAGGTGTTAGTAACATAACTGTTCACTTATAAAACGCCCACTCTTTAATAGACGTTTGATTCACCTTAAACTTTTAATCCACATATGTTTCTCCCTTAACTTCACCCACCTAACTTTTGACACTAACAGTGTTCATGCTGCCGGACCTTTGGACTTGTGAACAATATAGGGCTGTCAGCTTCACAATGACAAGTAGAACATTACCTGCTTTGGATCAGCCAAGGCTGTTGTGAAGCAATGCAAAAAAAAAGTCTCTTTAGGCAAAGTACAAGACTTGTTGTTCCTGATAAGACCACTAACAGTTTCAGCACGCTCTGGCCACTACAGGTACCCTAGAAAGAGAGCTGAAAAACAGGCAACATAGCTTCAAGAGCTGCACTGAACAGCCATGGTTACCTTCAGCTGCACATGATGACCAAGCAAGAAACACATAAGGTGAGCCCCGAGTGTTCAGTGTCAATTCATCGCAAAACCACCCAATCTCTCCGTTTTCTTCTAAACACTTGTAGCATGCTGTTAAGACATCACGGACCATAAAGTATCACAGGAATTCTTCTTTCTGTGTCCACATTTTATCAGCCACTGTGCTTGCAAATGCTACAACGTGCAAGTCTAAAGAAAGAAATAGAGCTTTGGCACTTTCAATTCGTATGTCACGGCTCCAATACTATCACAGTATAAATAAGGAAAGAGCTGTACAAAACTAAACTACTCACGTGAGAACTGATAGTGGCACACTTGTAGTTCTGCACCCAGAAACAGCATTAAATTGCAAAGATGAAGTGGCTCACACTAATGAATAAACATTCATGATTTTATTATTATGTACACTTTTGTTTTAGAATGCACACAAACATATATTGTGTATATATGTATGCTATGTACAAGAGGAAGCAGTTAGATGGCATATATACAGGAAGTGATGAGGGGAGTGGTGATGGAGAGATGATAGAGCTAACTGCGTTCCTCGGTCCACGAGGTGAAGATGGGCACCGGCTTCACACAATGCAGAGCACTCGGGTCAACAACAGTGCTTGGGTTCAGCACGGTTCGGAACCATTCTTCTGATCGAGCTTGTTCTTGTTGTTCTTGACCATGTAGATGAAAAATGTGATGGCTTCCTTTTCGGCAATGGGAATGGTCCTGAAGTGCCGTGCCAAAGTCTGCATGCAAATGAGAGACATTATGATGCTGCACAGTGTACTACTGTTGAACGACATAGTTAATGGGAATGACCTGCCACCATTCAAAATCTTATGTTTAACGTAGCAGGGCCCCCTAAGCAATTTAGTAGGTTAACTGAGTCAGAGACCAAAGAAAGCAAGAATAAGTTGTACCAAAACAAAAAATGCCAAGCACACTGTAAATTGTTTGAGTAAGGCAAGGTGCAATGAGAAGTCCTAAGTCATATAAACACGCAATGAATAGAATTACGTTTTTGGGGGGTGCACAGAAGAAAAAAAAAGCTGTACATTCATTCTCTATCACTATTGCATAACCAGGCTACACCATTGATCAACAAGCTATGCCTTTTATCTCCTTGTAGGAAACCCCCTGATAATGCACACACTGCACCGATAAGAGTGGCAGGACAGCTACAGGATCGGCTAGTCACATTACAGAGACAAGCCTTCTGGCCAACTCTGTGAAAGCAAAGTGCTGTTCAGATTAGTTACACAAAAATTTACTTTAATGTTTAATAATAAAACACAGCAAGTCATCTTTTTGCCCTTTTATCTCAAAAACAAGTACGAATCTGTAATAACCGAAATGTGGGGAAATACTTTCATGAATCCATAACTTCACTACGCTCACATGCAATTAGCATCTGTGCCATTAAAAAAAAAACAATAAATAAATAAAAATTTAACCAGAAAACATTACTTATTGTCTAATCAAGTCAAAGCAAACAGAGTTTGGCAACACCACCATAATAATTCGCTCTGACCTAGCACTTCTCGAATCACTCTGACACAACGCGATGAAAAGAAACCAGCACAAGAAACTCCATAATGCTCCACAGCGGACATGAACTGTTGAACGTACGAAACAGCATATGGTGCAATTTTCTAATAGCACATAGGCAACAAATTTCAACAAGTGTCAGCCAATTTTATATCAACGAAAAGAAAGAGTCATTGCATTGTGGGCTTGATAACTGAATGCGTGTTCGTCGCTACAGTCAGTGCAAAATTCTAGGTATACTTTTGTAAGCCATTCACTCACATCAGCCAGCTCCGCCTTGTTGAGCCCAGGCCGCATGGGGACCTTGTAGTGCCGCTTGTACCTCCGCAACGTGTTGACCTGAAGCTGGAAGAGGTCCACCTGTACATACAGAAAAGTCAAGGGATGTTTGCAAAGCAAGCATGGCTGTTCAAACACACAGGTCCTTGTTACAAGACTGTCACTTGACGAGCAAATGGTTTGGCTAACCCGAAAAGCTGCAGTGGCATTCGCCTGACGTGCAAAAATACATGCCCTGACATCCCGACATGCATGCTTAATTCGGCTATACAAAGCAAAAGAGTGGCCCATCGTCGATAACCTCACTTGTCTGAAATTGGCGGCTTCAATTTACCCCCAAGCAGCCGATTAGTTTGATACTGTGATGTCACATGCAAGCTCCGCCATACTGTCCTACTGCCTGCAGAAACAATGAAAAAGAAATTTTGAAAAAGAATCTGAAAAGAAACAATGAAAAAGAAAACTGCTGCATGAGGAGCACAGATATGCAGCATTTTCAAAAGCAATGTTTTCACCCTACACCGTCGGACATCCGCCTTTCTTACGATGCCACAGCGCATACGCCCTTCTTCTGGCACAAAGGTCGCAAAATATCTCCTGATCTCGGAGGGGTTTCGTTCTAGCAATAAATTGCTTGCACTTGATGTCAGCTTGTGAAAGGAACAGAGATTCCACGATGGTGGCTTTGATTTCGTCTAAGTGAAAGCAACGCGGCTGGAATGTCTCCGTGTGTGAATAACGAAATAATGTGCAGGTGCATCTTGGCAACGTTAAGGTGATGTCAGAAACGTCGCGTCCCCACATGCTGGTGCTCCAGCACGACGCTTTCAGTGACATCAGTTCAAGCCTAGCCCCTACCAGAACGGCAGAGGTCAGCACTGACAAATGAAAAAGGTGGATTATGGTAATCACCAGTTCCACTACAATTAAGGAGAGGGGGCGGTGGTAAACAGAACCAGTGAAAGAAAGAGGAATCAGTGAAGAAGTTAGCAGATCAAGTGAACCTCGACAAAACTAAACTTGCCTCGGGAATGTCCATTTCTTGCTCGTTGGAACCGTTGTCATCATCACTGTCCTTGCGCTTCCTCTTGGTGCGCACGCTTTGGATGACACCTTTGTGGTAGTCGCAGATGTAGATGTGCCGCGCCTGCGAAAAAAACATTTGAGAAGACGAAACTCAGGGTTAGTAACAGTGCTGCGAGCACGAGTCAGGCGCACTGCATAAAACCTAAATCAACGCCCCTGCTTTCGAGAAATGCGGAGCGTGACGCACTTACGCTGGGATCGATGTTGAGCTTCAGCTTGCGCTGAGCTACGGTCTTCTGGATGCGTTTGCTGTAGCTAGCATTCCCGGCTGGCCGCGTGCAGCGCTCGGAGTCGTCCAAGAGACAGCAGATCTGGTTGTGACCACTCTGCGTTTCTTCTTCCGTACTAAATCCGTTCATCGAGGCTTCCTGAAAAGTACACACAGCGCGTAAGGTGCGGTCCACAGGAGGCAACGGCTTGCATGCCTCCTCGAACGATCACCAAAACCCGCGGCATCGCTTTCCCGATGTGCCAGTGGCATGCGGACAGAAAGCAACGTGTCAGTAACGTTCGCCGCAATCTGGGAGCACCCTTCAAGAGGGAACACTGGACGGGTGCTGTAAACTATGCGGACTGTTCGCTGGGGGGGGGGGGGGGGGGATGTAGCGCGTGTCAGATAACATCCAGACCGATACAATCCAGGCACAGCCTCTGGAGAAAAATTAAACCGCAGACGTAAGTGCGATTCCCCGCACGAAATCATATCGTATAATAAAACTGGATGGCGAAGAGGCCCCGAAGAAATTCCGTGAGATTTATTGGGGCACTAGTAGGCAAAAAACTGCACACGCACGTTCGCAGAAGTGAACTGGATGCCCAAATCGCCAGCTGCATGATCAGCTGTCCCAAACGGGGAGGCCACATGTCACGCGAGCAGCGAGTGCCGGTACGAAAAAAATAGGTCGCCGCAGCGCGAAGAAAACAAGATGCCGTCCTTTCGCTACGACGGGGGTGCCTACCGGTGAAGTGTCTGTCACAGGGGTCTTCGGAGCGGAGACCATGCCCTGTTTTCGCAACAGTGGCACGGCCGACGAGAGTCTTGAAACCGACGCGGGGCGAAGTAAGAAAGGCCTCGACTTTCCGCCGGCGCGGCCACGCATGCCAACCGCGGGCATACTACAAGACGTCGGAGAGGGCGCGCTCACGGGAGGGCGACGTCGACGTAGGCCTAACCGGCTGCAGCGCAGAGCGCTAAAGACAACGGCAGCAGCTGAGAGTCGATCGCGACTGCTGATGGGGAAGGCGACAAGGGCTGCTCGAGCAATCGTACGCCGATTGGCGCCAAATCGCAGTGGGTACGACGCTGCGGCTAAGCATGTGATTCTGCCGATCGGCGCACGGCTGCGACGACGGGTCACGGAACATCGCGATTTCTCTCACCTTGATGCAGAGACCGAAGTTGTGTCGGTCTTGTCACAGCAACGTAAGAGATTAACTGGGCTAGTAGCTGAGCCGCTTCGGTCCACAGAAGATGAAGCCAACGTAGCGCACTGCTACCAGTTTGTTTACACTCGGCGTAGCTGACAGCACAGAGGACCGGCGTACTTACGTGCTTCCAAGCGCAGCGCCAAAGCGCGTCGGCGGTGGCGGCAAGGTAGTAGAGGAGAATAGCACAGCGAAACCTGTGCTTTACAGCAGGAGAGCGAGAGCAAATTGCTAAACCGTGCAAAACAAACGCAGAAAACAAGTAGCAGAAAGCCGCGAAACCGGCGGTTCTGTTATGACGTCACGAAACTCTCGGCTCGTGGATATGGTGGCTAGCCGCCGACAGGCTGCACGGCTCACCAAAAAAGGCAGAGCAACATGTTGCGACTGTTTCGGCATTTTAACCAACAAAATTCACGCCGTTTGCTTTACATGTCGTGGTGCCCCACGTCAGAGCAATTAGCCAGAATAACATGAAAGTATATCAGTCCTCATTCGCACATTTATTGCAGCGTAGAATACATGAAGAGGAAGACGAACACAGATTTAACCACTACAGCGCGCAAGATTTAATAACAATGTCTTTTACGAGCGAGATTTTTTTAAATATTATCATCTGAAACATCCAGCAACGTTCGCTGACCAACCAGTCTCGCAAATCAATGTTGGCTCAGATGTTTCGCATATAAGCCGCAGACAAATCTATTTAGGTGTTTAAAGCTGGTTTTTTTATGTCTATGTATTGTTTTGTAGGTTTAGTAAAAAACAACGCATTATAGTAACCTACTTCTATTGCATTATACTTCATGTATAGAAGAAGTCTGCATTTTTTGGTGATGCACACTTTACGAGGCAACGTCGTCTGCTTCAGGCACAAGAAAACTGCCGCCGGCCGCCGCCACCGCTATTCGCGCCAACCGTGCCAACGGTCGCACGCGCGATTCCCGCGCTAAATCCTTACCCGCACGCAATTGGTCAGAAAAAATGCCCACGTGACTAAACCTCGCGCTCCTATAGGGCTAGGTTTTGCGCTCAATCCAAATCTCGCCAATCACGACTTTCCCAATGCTTTCCTGTGGCGAGAATTCAGCGGCGTAGCGTTTGTGCTCCGTGGGTCGGTTGGTTCTGAGGAAGCCATCGCTGCGGTGAGTGTCGACTTGTTTATTGCAATTCTCCCCAACGAAATACCTTTAGGCCTCCATCTTGTGCGCAGTAAGTGTGCCCTAAAACACTGTAGATGAATGTGATTTTTTTTCATCGTGACATTTTTCTACAAGACCAAGTAATTCGAGAGTCTGTAAACTGAGTATTACATGTAACTCTATGGGGCCGTAGAAACCCTTGGGTAGACGAGGCCTCACAAAGGAAGCCTATGGACGCCATAGTGTTTCTATGGTGGGGTGCGGGCTGAGATACCTTTCGTTGGAAAAAAATTTCGGCTGTGTCTGCTTTACATTTCGTTATTCTGAAGCCGTCCTTGTGAAGCAGAAGGTTTGAACTTAATTTCGATTTGTTTTCCGGTGCGAATACGAACGTTCTTTATGGCGCGAAAATTCGCTGAAATCCGGCGTTTTTGCCAGCCTTTGTTGCATAGCGCCCCATGCTTTTGCTATGGACGTAAAGCGGCCACTCATTGGGAACCTAAAGCTTCCTATATGCTCTATGGGACGCCCGCTCCATAGCAGAGGCCGGCTGTGCCAGTGCACACTTTTGAGTTTTTTACCTAGTTTGCCGCAAACAACCGCCGCTTGCAAGTCTTAGCGAGGGAAGCCATGATAACGTTCAAGGGCATATTTCGACGGGGCTTTCATTGATGAAGACGGGGATTTCTTCCTCGCTCATAGCTATTTACAGTGCTTGCGACTCCCGCGTTGGCTTCCATTACGCGCTGCGCTTGCAGGCCCCAGGTAGGGACGTGCCGCGCTGGCGTCTCTGGTGTTATTAACCTGCGCAAACAACTTTAACGACTCGGAATTAACTTCTATTGCGTTACAACTGTTCTGGCGGCGCTGCTGCTTTTTCCTAGGCAGGTTCTTGAACTCTACTTGAGTGGCGTTTCGGGAGCATGCTGATATTGTAGTCTGCTAGCCGGTTGCAGTCCCGCTGGTGGGCAATTAACGCGTAGATATTTTCTTAAAAAACTAAATGTGTATTCTTTTGTGCAGTCGCGTACGCTTATTTTAATCGGAATCGAGAGCTTTTGTGCGGCCAGTCTCTGCGTTCGTCAGCGCTTTTTCGCGAAGTGATGTAACAGTAACCTGCGCGGTGAATTACATTTGGCGCGCGATTTTTTTTTTCCAGAAGTTCACTCAGTATGTTTGCGAATGATAAGTTGTTTGTCGGGTTCTTTTGTTTTTTCATATAGATTTGTTCCGTTAATGCAGTTGAGACTTTTCCGAAGAGTCGCGAGAGGGTTCGACGTAACTATTTGAAGCAGACGATCTTCCGGCCGGAGAGTTGCGCTTTTTTTTTTTTTTTTCTCCCGCTTTGAAGAGTAGCTGTGGCGTTCGCTTTTTCTGGCGTCATATTTTTCGGTGCACACCGGCGGCGTTCGTGCTGTGTAGTTTAGTAGAGTTCGGTTTGCTGTCGTGCTCCGAGTGAACCTGCACTTCGCTGATGCACGCCGTCTTCGGCACTTGCGTAGCCACCTGAACTCATCTTCAATCTCCCATTGCAATCGCAGATTTTCGTCTTGACGCTCGGCTGACTCGAGTCAATCGACATGGGCAAGGGAGACAAGCCTCGCGGCCGGATGTCGGCGTACGCCTTCTTCGTGCAGACTTGCCGGGAGGAGCACAAGAAGAAGCACCCCAATGAGAACGTGGTCTTCGCCGAGTTCTCCAAGAAGTGCGCCGAGCGCTGGAAGACCATGAGCGATGGCGAGAAGAAGCGGTTCCACCAGATGGCCGACAAGGACAAGAAGCGCTTCGACACCGAGATGGCCGACTACAAGCCTCCCAAGGGGGACAAGTCCAAGAAGCGCAAGCGCGCAAAGGACCCCAACGCACCCAAGCGTCCCCTGTAAGGCTAACAGATGACAAAGTTCTAGTGTTATAGGGGGACACTAAAGTGAAATGGCTTAGAGAACTTGGGATACTGGGCTTAGGTACTAGGTACCTGTTTTCATTAATTTTGGTTTTGAGTTAGTTTTGGGTTTTTGTTTTGAAAGTTTGATGTGTTAACCTTGCCATCTGAACCCCCCCCCCCCCCCACCTTTTGTTGTATGCAACTTGCTCAATTTAACAATGTACTTAAAGAAAAGTGATTGTAAGTAATTTCAAGTGGCTGTGTCACCTGTAATTTAACTTCTGAATATTTTTCTGGCTCGCCAATCGCCGCCTGGCGACAAGGGGGTGGTTTAACTTTGTGGATGCTGAACTTTTTAACTTAAAAAAAAAATCTTACTTTGAATCTCTCTTTAAGCACACTCCTGTGCAACGTTACTTCACCTTACCAGGTACTTTGTCGAACCCAATTTGAAATATTGGTCTCGGTATAGCAGCAGCTGTACCCACGAACAGCAACCATTGTGAGAGTTAGTACTGGTCTCAAGTTGCCTGCTAGTGTGAATCAGAGATTTGATGGAGCTTTGTCGCAGGTCTGCTTTCTTCTGGTTCTGCAACGACGAGAGACCCAACGTGCGCCAGGAGAACCCAGATTCCTCGGTTGGAGAGGTTGCAAAGGAGCTTGGCCGGCGATGGAATGAGGTTGGCGATGACGTCAAGGCAAAGTACGAGGGCCTTGCCGCCAAGGACAAGGCACGCTACGAGAAGGTAAGTCTCGAGTAAACCTATAGCTATTTCACCATGGTGCACTGTTCAACTGCAGCACTGAAGTTGGCCGCAAGTATTGAGCATGCTTCTGGCGCTTGCTTTGCAGGAACTGAAGGCCTACAAGGGAAAGAAGCCCAAGGGTGCATCTCCACCAAAAGAGAAGGCCAAGAAGAAGGAAGAGGAAGACGACGAGGATGATGAGGACGAAGAAGATGAGGCTGAGGATGCTGAAGAGGATGACGACGATGACGAAGATTGAGAAGCGCGTCACTTCTTACGCATACACTTCATTTTCTTTCCCCCCCATTCACCCCTTTGTTTTACTTCTTTGTTCACTTTTGGCCTTGTGGCTATGCCACTTGTGTTCATAGCTGCTGTTTGCCGTTTATTGTTTACCTTTTTTTGTTCGCTGTTCAGTTTTTTTTTCGTAGGGTCCCGTGTTCTTGCATCACGCTAAAAACATGTTGAGTTTCTGATGGGGCCCCAAAACGGGTGTTACACATAACATTTCTTCCCTGTTTGCAGGCAAAAGTGGCTGATTTTTATTTTATTTTTTCCTACTCCCTCCTTTATTCTCCCGTCTTTTGTACATGTGTGCCTGTGGAGTTAAAAAAAATACTGTTAACTTAATGCTGTAAAGATGTAACTAAATCTCTTCATCATTGGTGTGCACCAGGCACGTAGCCAGAAATTTTTTCGGGTAAGGGGGGTGGAGAGATCACCCCTTACAATTGCCAGCTCTCTATGCCATGGCGGGAAAAAAATTTGGGTGGGGGGCACTTGCCCAATGTGCCACCCCTTGGCTACATCCCTGGTGTGCGCAGTGTGAGTAAACCACATCGCTGCCCATTTTGAAGATCACTTAGCCACGCCCACCGCAAGTGGGGTTGTCAATGTATTTTCTGCACTGATATGTAAGCCTGTATATATCTATTTCTTTTCTCTCCCGAGGCCCCGCTTGGCCCACATGGGTTTTAAGTTTCCGGTGCCACATGTACTGTCTCGGGCTTTCAGTTGTGTTATCATCATACCTCATTGCTAATTATTCACCTCTTTTGCTCATTCGCCATTGCTATTCGACAAGACTCATTTTAGTGGCATAACTATTTTTTTGTATCTATGGCTTTCAATAAAGACGTTTAGTATGTCACAGTTCTGGCTGAGAATGATTTGCACTTGGTCAATCATTGAGACCCTACTCCCTCTACCTTAGTGCTTGTAGTCATTTAAGTTGTGCTGTTGTACATTCCGATGTAGACAAAAATGGCCCTTCAATAGCGAATCCAACTTAAGGGGCCCAGGTAGACCGATATTGCTTGGGGACCCATGCAGATGGTTCCGTGATGAAGTTTAAAACGGTAATACGACAATATGTGGAGTAAATTGCTCTACGAAGAAAGTGCAATGTTGCCTTTTAAGTTTTTTTTTTTTGTGTGTGTGTGTGCAGGAAGTGCTGTAAGCATGTTAGTACGAAGTCCCAAAATACGTCCTTGCATCTTGGATTCAGAGACTGCTAGCTAAAATGGTGGATATATCGATAATTTCGTTATTTTCACTACTATTGAGGGGAGGACCGTGTCAGTTCAAACGGTGATTCGCAAGTACGAATGGAATATTCGTGAAACATCGCTTCCAGAATGTAGATTTATGAGCGCACGAGAACTAAGTACACGCTCACAATGTGCACAAGGGTTTGCCTTTCGTCTCATTTGGGGCTTAACACAAGCTCCGTGTCGAAAGTGATGACTGCACCACCATAACAAACAACGGCGATTTCGGCATTGCACTCACGAACGACTTCATTCCACTTTCAAGTTCAACTAAGCCCCGCCGCGGTGGTCTAGTGGCTAAGGTACTCGGCTACTGACCCGCAGGTCGCGGGTTCGAATCCCGGCTGCGGCGGCTGCATTTCCGATGGAGGCGGAAATGTTGTAGGCCCGTGTGCTCAGATTTGGGTGCACGTTAAAGAACCCCAGGTGGTCGAAATTTCCTGGAGCACTCCACTACGGCGTCTCTCATAATCATATGGTGGTTTTGGGACGTTAAACCCCACATCGATCAATCAATCAAGTTCAACTACCATGAAATGAACAAAAACAGAATAATAAGGCACCCGCAGGCACAGAGCCTAGTGAGTATCATAGTGTATACGTGTTCTGTGGAATCATCACAGAACACCTACACACTGTATCATCATCAATGTGCATCCTTTCTTTATCATGCTTGGCTTGGCTAAAGTCTCTGGCTAATGTGAGACCATTTTGCGAGATCTTGCAGAGATGGCGGACGAAAAGTACGGAACGCTGCCCCCGTATTACGAAAAACTATTTACTCCTGAACCTTTCAATGAACATCGTCTGTTTATGAGGCGCTTCTATTTTTGGGGCTTCCCTGGATTGGCCGGTGTACTCTCAGCTTGTATAGCAAACTATTTCATGAGGAAGCCAGCGTTCAGCGGTAGGTTCCCAAGCGATTGTTTCGTGTGTCCGGCTTGCGCGTTTGCCCTTGGACAAGCAGTCCGCACTAGGCAGTGATTTAGTAGTACGGCTTCGTTCTGCATTTCTTAGCGTTGCTGAGCGCAGGCATGTCGTCCGGGAAGAGATCATTGTAAAGGTTCAGATAAAAGTTTTTTCTTTTAACTCCCTGCATATCGTTAGCGCAGCACAGGCTCGAGACGTAGAAACCTCTGCACGTGAAACCTTGCAGAAATGTGTAATGCGTGCAATCATCTGATGGTAGACGAGTGCGTGGAGTTTATTATACGCCGAGTGTTTGGCGGAAGTACGAGACATTTTTATATGCCATTTTTGCCATCATAATGGAGTGGCTACATTCGCTTTATTGTTTATTGTTTATTGCAGGCATGTTCAGCCTCTACAGAGAGGCTTCTTTCATTAAAGAAGAAAATGGGTTAATTTCTGTGTGAATACTGCGAGACAATTGATGAAAGCCGACTTTACGGCCAGGGTAATGTTTGGTAAAGACAGGTTTAAGGACTGTTCCACTTCCGACATATTCTACGTCAGTATTCTTGTGATAAATCAAGTGTGCAAAATTTGAAAAAAAAAAAAAAATGGTTTGTTGAGATCACTAATTCCTATAGCATGTTTTGTATAAAGTACATTAATGACCTAAATATCCTGGATTTTGTACTTTTCGCAATCAGTACACGCTATTTCCTGAAGGAGGCTTGATCTTTCTAGGTATTCAAAAACACATTTTTGGTGCGGCTTTATATGTCGCCCTTGGAGAATCCGCCATGCGCTACGCCGACCACCGTTCTATGGAGCGAGATGCCATTCTTCGTCGCTACATCTTGCTGCATCCCGAGGACTTTCCAGAGCCTGGTAAGAGGTCGTACACAACATTGAATTTTGTGGAAACTCAAATCTTCGTTGGGGATGCCCACTTATGCGTAACTAAGACAGACTGTAGATCTGCAAAAACGAATGCAGTGATCATGCTATCAGGTCGAGCAAGAAAGTTGCGAGGAGATGATCAGTGTCATCTGTTGCATAAAGCACTTTATAAAAAAAAAGCAACCGCCATGCTCCTATAGGAGCATTTACAGGGGCAATAAATTATCACCCCACCTAACGTCTTTCGGTACATAAAGTGCCTCAAAATGTTAGGTCTCTTGTTCAGTGCGTAGGCGTAGCCTTGCAATAGAAAACTAGGGTCATGACTAGGGCAGCGTTTCAACTGGACAAAAATAGAATGCAAACCCAGGAGAAAAAAACATCTGTGCCAAAATTGGAAAGCATTCCCTGCATCTCTGCTCATTTATTTCTACAAAAACTTTGTCGAATTGCGTCAAGAGCTGTCATCACTCTGTTAAAATAAGTTGATCACCACAGTGAACCTTATGGGCACCTGCCTGGGAACAGAAATCTCGTCATTAAATTGTAAAAATCGTAAAGTAGGGTTTCGCTGTAGATTCCAGCTGTAGATTATTTTTCTTTTTACACTGAGCGAAAAACACTGTGAATGCTAAATGCGAGGCTCTGGAGCCTGCGACTGTTTTATAACTTGAAAGGCTCGCAGCACGGTTCAGCCACCTAGCAGCCCTGCTGACTAAAAAAAAAAAAAACCTGGAAACCTCTGGCACACATCCTGTATATATAACTTCTGTGAGAAGTAATCAGTATTTTAAATATGTAGTTAATCTTATTTAGCATTTAATGACCACTCATCTGCTTGTTTATTTGCTTTCTGCAGTGTACAATATGCTTAATAATAAATATTAATGTGTATGAGATGCCTTAGTGATGCTTTAAGCACCAGGAGTCATTCAGAGTATTTTGCCATCTGCTCCAAAAGCACCAACAGTTGCTCCTAAAAGCAAAATGTTGCTTCTATCATTGCATTGGTGTTCTCAGCGGTGGAGCATGATCTGGCGTCATGCAGTCTATCGCTGAACACCTCAATACGAGTTGCAACACAGCGGCCATGGTTGAAGGGGCCCTGAGCCAATACTGCAGTGACAGTAAATGTGAAATTGGTTTGGAAATGCGAGTAGTTGAAACAGCTATTGTATCACTGGCTGTTTTCTACGTTGCTGCCACTGCACAGTGTTGGAGCTTCTGTGACCACAGGCAGCAAGGCGCAGCTCGCATCTGGTGTGACTGTATGTGCAACCAACGTGTAGCTCCTAAAGGGACACTGAAATGGTTTTTGGAAGTTTGCTCAGTGTTTAAAATAGAGCATCATCAAACCATTTGCACCACAACTTTAGTGACACCCTGTGTACCTACCTAGTCCGCTACGGACAATTATACCCTGTGTACCTAGTCTGCTGCGGACAATTATATTGTACCCTCCTTCCCACCTCTGCCTCGTCTCCTCGGCTAATGAGGCACCCTGGTGATCGCAGAGCTCTCATGAGCGTGCTCGATGATTTGAGCTTTTACAAGTCTAAACTTCCGAGATGGCACGCTGACAGGTTGTGCGCAGTCTCGGAGGCCGTCACATAGTGCACCCGGCAGCACGCATGCTATCTAGAAACAGACGAAGATCGGGAAGTGGTTCATATTTGCTCCGACAAGTGCCACCACCCTACTAGCCAATATCATTTCCACGCATTTTACAGTCGATGACAGCCAATCAGATCAGCAGCCACATCACCGTGCCTACTGACATGTTCTGGCCTCGTCAAGTGGCCAGAGCACATCAGTCTGTGAATGAGTGGTTCGCAGCTTTAAAGTGTTGTAATAAATTACAAACTTTACGCCAAGAGCTCAAGTCGGTCTTTAATTAACCCTTGGGACTTGGCGTACTGGCCCAATGCATTTGTACAAAATCACCAAAACCGTTTCAGGGTCCCTTTAAAATGGCACTCTTGAAAGGTTTTGTATTTTGCCTACATTCGTTTTTTAGTGTGGAAGTAGCTTTTTTGGTCTATTTAGCTTTACTTTGTTTGTGCTTCATCTGTGTGCATAATGGCATTGGTGCTTGCCTTTCAGAGCGGAAGAAGTACAGAGATGTTCTTGAGCCCTGGATTCCAGTGCGATGAGCTCTGCTGCTTCAGAGTCTTCTTTTCATGTGCTGTCATAGCTAGGTGATTGTTAAATAGAAATAAAACTTTCTCTCTAGAGAGTGGGTAAAATTTGTACTGACAACATGCATCTAATTAGCCTCTCCTTATGTTTGTCGTTGCCAGTTTATTTAAACTTTAATATCACATACCTTGCGAGAATCTTATGGGGCTTTGTCTAGCAGCTGCTAATAAGGACATGGTTTCGGCCTCTGTTACATAGTACACGCATACATGTCACAGGTTTGCGAAAGTAGACGAAATTATAGGATTATAGAAACTAAAGTTATCATAGGTAACTACTGCCAAACAGCCCAATGAATAAGCTAGGTTGCTCTCTGTACTTAGGTTCAATAAAAGGTATATATACACACATGCAGGTTTGAGTTGGATGATGTCTGGTATATTTTATCTTCAAGCCAAATTTTCATATGTAGGGAACACATCATAGACATTTAGTTTTTACCATGTACCCAATCTCAAAAATGTTCACGCATTCGCTGAAGCAACTGTTTTCAATTATACATGCTTGCTATGGAGAGGGGCTCAATTCAGAATGCACGTAGATGACACTGCCAGTTGTATGGCAGGCAAATGATTCTTATGTTGACCAAAATTACACCAGCTTCAACAGTAATATGAACTTGCAGGTTTGTGTATTTTCACAATTTTTTCGTGTCTGGAGCTTTCATTAAGTTGAATTTTTAAATCAAGAGGGGTAGTTCGTACAAGATAAGCACACTGCAAATGCATCTATATGCTTAAATATATTTTAGAAAATGATGGAATATAATTGGTGGCAAGTGGCTGCAGAGGACATGTCAGGTCAGCCAACTTTTTATGTTGCATTCATTAAATTTTAGAGTAATGGTAAAGTAATATATAATAATTGGTAAATGTAAGCAACTACAATATTGAAGAAAGTAATTATAATGTTACATTTCTTTTGTAAACCATACAAGCCTTGTACTGTCCTGTCAGTTGAATCTGATGTATGCTATCACTGTGAACTTGACTAGTACTTGGTATTGCGTATTCTTCTCACACTCGCCCCTGATTACTGAAAGATGGGGTTTCAAGTCGAGATGAGGTGCACAGAGGCATTCTTACCCCCATATTCTAGAACGTCAATTAACTTAGCGCTTCACCTTGACTTGAGAAAGTCAATGGTAGCGCTGTCTCTAGGCAGAGAAAGTCGCTGCATATCAGCTATGATGTGCAGCGACTTCTTGAGAAGTGCAGTTTCATTTTCACTTAAGCAGCGAAGCTGTGCTCAACTCTGTCAAGTGAAAGACGAAATCGGGTCTAGGAGCGTTTGTGAATGCGATGGTTAGGCTGCTATATGTAAGCTCTTTTGTTCTTTTTAGTGATGCGTTTTGCATCTCTCTCTCTTTATTATGGTTAGTAGTACTACACACTGGTGAAGAAGTGGGTGGGCAAGGTGTCTATGTCATGAAAGAAATGCCCAGTTGCTTCTTTATTCTGTGTTTATTATATCTCTTCATACAAGTAGCAGTGTAGAACAGCTTATAACATCTAACAAAGCGAGCCTAAAACTTGGCTAGTCGGGCTTTATTTTAATGAGTACCTAACCATTATAACGAAACTGAAAAATTTAACATGCACTATCTGCAAAGCATGTTTAGTATTTGTACACTCAATTCTCACTACTTATGTTGTGGCTGGAGAATCATTGAAGCTTGTGCTTGACTAATTTTAATTAAAGGGACACTAAGTTCAAACAGTAAATCACATTATACTTATACTCTCAAAATTGTAGTGGCATTCATTTTACCACTATAGGTTTAACAATAAAATGGAAAATCAATATTATATGTTTCACTCGTGAATTTGTTGGTTGATGGTGACGTCTCAAATTTCCAAGTTTTTTTTTTCCTACTTTGATGACATTGGCTCCTCTGAATTTTCTTTGGCTCGCCTAGAAGACATTCTACTTAATTTTTATCAATTAGCAGCCAGGTAGGCCCTAGTAGGTGCTTGCTGTAAAGTATGTGGTGTTGCGACCTGTATTTTCTTTTCGCAGCGCTTTCCCATCTCCCCACAAGCATGGTGTTTTTGGTGTTGTGAAGGATAATCTACTAGCATGAAAAAAAAAATTTCTCTCTTGTGTTCCTTGAATACCCATGTTGCATTCTGAACATTTCTCGCATCTTGGCTCCCTGTCCAGCATGGTTGGCCTGCTGTTGTCAAAGCGCCATGCCGACTTTTTGTAATCACACAGATGACACAGTTTCGTATTAACAAGTGTTTAAACAACATAACTTCTTCAGAGGCATCACAATTCCATTTCTTTGCATGGACTCAACCACAAACTCTTTTCGCCTATACGCTTTACCAAAGATAGGATAAAATGTGGATACTTTTTATGTCGGGTGCACGTTTTGTCATAGCACAGACTTAATAACAAGGTTCAGAGAGCGACGCGCGTTAGTAGGAGGCTCTAATCCTGTGGGCTGCTGGATGCTGCCTGCTCTGCGTTGTCGTCCTGAGGAGATGAGTCTGGGGAGGCCAGCTTGGGCAGGCTGCGAACAGCTGCAGTTTTGCGAATGGGGCCCTTCCGAGGGTCGATGATTCGTTGGTCTGGCTGAATGTTGCTGTGAGAAGCAAATCTGCTAGCATTAACGCCATGACAACTTCTTATCGCAAAAGGTAGTGATGGTTAAAACCAAACTGCTTACAAAACAAGCTCAGCTTTCTGTGTTATCACATTCCAAAATTTTCTGAATGTGGCTGGTCCGTACTGTGCAAGTAGGGCGGGTACCATGACATGCAATATATTCATGCATGTACTTAACTCCACATTTATGCTGTCTAATATGTACAATGCAATCGTATTTGTTCCACTGCAGGACTAACTAGACTAGTTGGTGCATCATTAAAACGAGAAAAACCAGCGCTAGACACTGGACATTAATAAAACGAGAGACTGTACACTGACTTTCTGTTATATCACCGTCCCTAGTTTAGCTCTGTTTTTTACCTCATAAATTTGATGGGATGAAGCAATGACGTACAAGGACATTGGAACATTGCAAGGACAGCATAAAGCAACAAGCAAGATCAACTACATACCAAAAAAACACACAAAGTAGTGCTGTTGCATTTGCAGCTAATGCATCTCACTCAAGTAGACATAGTCCTGAAAAGCATTGCAATCACCAAGCCAAGCACTACTTTCACCTGTGGTAATAAATGTAGAAATATTTGGTAAACCTATTCATCCTACTGGCATGTTCAATCTGGACTATATTCATCTGAAACAATAACTGTCATCCGAATGCTGTTTCACGTATATTTCTGCTGAATGCTTTTGTTTGGCATTTTGGGACGATTGAGTGCTGACTGTGATTGCAGCAGCCAAGAACCTGTCAAACACATTCTTTGGCTTTGATGTTACATCACGCAGAGGCAGTAGCCCATGACCACTTCAGTACACCTCCACAACCAGCTGCTTTGAGAGCAGAAAGTTTTGGAATATCGGCACATGCTGACCTCAGACCAAGAAGCTTCAATCACAATTGAAGTTCATTAGTTAAAGTGATGCTAAAGTCAGAGGATGAATCAGTTTAGATTGATACAGTGTATTTTGTAAACTGTGATGTCAATATTTTCATAATTATAGGTTTATTAATGAAAGAGAAAATAAAAGTCAATGGTTCTTTTTTAAATTTTACGTAAAAATCTCCACCTGTGACGTCAAGGTTTTCGAAGTTTACTCATAGTTTGGCAACATTGGTGCAAGAGAAGTTCCTGAAACTTGGTAAATTAAGTCTACGGCCTCCTAAGAAAACGGTAGACTTGATTTTTACTGCTTGAAAACTGCGTAGGCCTTAGCTAGACGCCGTCAGAATCTAGGACTTCACAGCGAACTTTCAAGGTGGTGTCGCTATCCAAACTTCCTTTGTGTGTGTTTTTTTGCTTCCCAAACATCTGCTGGTGCCAAGCTTGGCAATTTAGAAATTGGGAAAGAGTAATTTGATAATATTAGAGAGATCGTTTTGCTCTTTAGCGTCCCTTTGTTTAGCTGTTCTAACACAGCCACATTTCTGTTTCTGTGTGCCTCTATGCTCTTGCTTTTAGTCTTGAACATGCGATTCGCTTCTCTGCCTGCTTCCATCATTGAGGCATCAAACGAGAGGTTTCTTGCAGTTAACCTCTCTGCCTTGTATGTCTGATTTCTTTATCTTCCTGGAAATAGTGGGGGTTCCACAGTGAAACTTATGGCAGCATGGTTCAAGATGGATCCTCTTTAAACTTTCTCAGCATTTTTGCTGTTGGAGATACTTACAGATACTTGAGGTGTCTTGGACATTTACCCAAGAGGGGATTGGAATCAGTCATGTCGACAATTTTTATGCGGTTTCGGAGCGACTCCAAATTTAGCATAGCATCGGTGATTTCGGTCATGTAGGCCTTCCTGGTGTCGTTAAACTTGTGAAATGCCTGCGGGAAGACAACTGCTTGTAGTAAAAGGACTGAAACACAAAAAACTTGCGATAAGGTGAGTGAAGTAAGGTGAGAGTAGTGTGATCACTCAACCTTTGATTCTTGATCCAACTTCCACTCAGTGTCGCGTATCTCGTTGTACACAGCATTTCTGTCTTTCTCTAGCTGTTTTAGGTATCGAACCAGCTGATTCTGGAAAATTAGAAGAAAAAAAAACATATTCTACGATTTTTCTTGTACTGAACTTGTTCACTACGGTTGGTTACAGCAGGCTCTAACTTGCACTGCCATCGACTCGTGAATTTCTTTGTGAAATGCTCATTATCATCCTTGTTCGCCGCAGTATTGCCTGCTGTGTCCTTTGGTTTACACAAATAGTTGTTACTACCTCCCCCTCGCCGCGGTGGTCTAGTGGCTAAGGTACTCGGCTGCTGACCCGCAGGTTGCGGGATCGAATCCCGGCTGCATTTCCGATGGAGGTGAAAATGCTGTAGGTCAATGTGCTCAGATTTGGGTGAACGCTAAAGAACCCCAGGTGGTCAGAATTTCCGGAGCCCTCCACTTCAGCGTCTCTCATAATCATATGGTGGTTTTGGAACGTCAAGCATCACATATTACATCACAGACTACCTCCAAAGGGTGCATGAAAGTATAGCACAAGTTTCGAAGCATTCATTCTGCACATGGCTGAATGTCCCCTAAGGTTGTGTAGGCTAAGTTTGATTGCATCATCAGGATTTCAGAGTAGCTGGCCTGTTGTTGATGTTGTGATAAGGGTGACAGGGACGATACAGGCCGTAAAGACTGGACAGATGGTCCCAATAAGCGTAATTTTAGAACTATTAAAGTGCTATCACAATCATTGAAGCCTTGCTTTAATGAAGTTGCATCTGACATATATATATATTATACACACACACAGATATATCTGTGTGTGTATATATATACAATATTTAATTTTAATAATGTGTTCATTAGATGCTTATAATAGTGTGAAACAATCAAAATTTACTTTGGCACATTCACTAATTTCTTGGCTTTTACGAATAGTGATATTGGTAGAACAATTTTGTATCAAATTCGAGTAGTACATGTTGCATTTTATAAAGGAAAATGGGCATATTTGTCATGATTCGACCAACCTGAACATTGTTTTTTAGAAATTGAAACAAAGACTGTGCAAATGCCCCCCCCCCCCCATCCTTTTATTTTTTGGTTCGAAAGGAAGTGAAAATAACTTCAAATGGTAGCAATATTTGACTTTCAGTAGAATAAAAGTAATAACCTGTAAAATATGTTTAAATCTTCGTAATAGTTAAGCCACTATAAAAGGTCTTAAATGTAAAAACAATATGAATCGTTGTGGGTAACATGTTCATTTAACTTTGAAGTGGAACTTCGCGGCAGAGCAGATTTCCCTTGGCTAGCTGCTTTCACGGATTAACAATCTTTTACTGCAGTGACACCATTTTTACAGGGAGTTACATGTAAATTAATATATATTTATTTGTTCATTTCAAATACTTCAAAATTTTGAGTATTGAAATTTTAATCAATGCGAATTCGAATACTTTATTCGAATATCCGCACAGTGCTTTCTAATTTTTCCCATTGAGACCTGATGTACTCATTAAAAAAGGTGTCTGACACCAAGCAGCCAGTGCATGTTATTTTTTTTGCAAAGTTCATAAAAAAAGAAAGCTGAATTTTCACAAAACCCTTGCCAGCTCCTAGTGCGCTGTACTAAGTACTGCAGGTACAGTGTCAAGCTTCTCTTACAGGCTACAATAAAAGCTGCATAGAACTTTACCTTTTTCGCAGAAGCCATACCCTAAGGAATCTTTGTAATTGGCTAAACATCTCAATTGGTGCAAAAGTTTTACTTGCCTCGGTCAGGCTGTCCAAGTCGAGATCTGCGAGATACTCAGTCAGGCCTGTACGTTAAAAAGAAGACAAACTTGTATTCACTTTTGGTACTCAAGGCACAGCATGGAATGGCATGTTAAGTTGGTAGAATATTTTATTTAACATGTACTGGCTGCTTGACATGTTATTAGAGAACTAGAAGCATTGGCGTCCTATAGTACTTCCCAAGTTGCGGAAAGAGGCTGGAAGGAAACGTCAACATTATTTATGATAATAACTGAACATATTCAATAACAATAAATTACTTAAGATGTACAGGTCCAGCAATGTATTTGCAAAACACTGCATCAATACAACTTGCACTCAGCTGTGCTTTCTGCAGCTAGACATATATTTCAGTTGCCCTATTTTTTCTTGAATTACACCAATAAAGGTATAGAAGCTAAAGGTATAGCAAGACCTGATAAAATGCCTCTGTATCAGTTTTGCAAAAATAGTACACAAATACATTTCATAGCATAATTTTGAGTAAAATAGCGCATTGGTTTGGAAATACGAGTAGTTAAAACAGCTATTATATCACTGGCTGTTTTCTACATGTGCTGCCACTGCACAGTGTTGGAGCTGCTGTGACCACAGGCAGCAAGGTGCAGCTCGCATCTGGTGTGACTGTATCAGCCTCAGAAGGATGAAAGAATTTTTATAAACATCCCACGCATTTTGCCTGTGCCCCTGATAGTCTGCCGATATGCACATTCAAGATAGGTTGGTTGGCACAACTTTATTCAGGTCTTGCGGGACGGGCCCTAGTGCGTATCAAATATTACACCGAGAAATTTTTGCGTGGCAAATCTATTAGTACACTCCCATTCAGATGTAATACTCAACTCGGTATATAGGTATTTATCATTTTATGCACTGCATAAAATATGATGTACATTAGTCTTTCTTGTGTTTACTGGCATATAATTGTTCCTTAACCAGAATGAAAGAGGTGACAAATAATAGTAAACATTTGACTCAAGTGTTTTGAGCTCTTCAGATTAAAGGAACATGTTTGTGCCATCCACAAGCTCAATTATTTCAGGGCATTCATGGATATTTATTTACCAAATCATTTTTATAAAGCAAGTGAGGAGGTCATACACTTTTTAATATTCAGTTTATTGATATTCATTGAAAGTACTAAGAACCTCAAATGTTTGTTTGAATTGTTCCAAGCCGAATGCATTGGGGTGCGGAACAATTAAGATAACTTATAATCGAAGACCAAGCTTGTGCATACGTGCATGCAAAACAATTTTACTAGAAAGTACAGTGCAAGTACATGGGAGCTTAGATACACTGCAGGATGCAAAAAAAAAGTATATATGCTTTCAATTAGGCACTTCTGCTAAAACAAGGTTTCTGCACAATGCACCTTGTTTTTTTCTTTCATTCTTTCTTTTAGCACTGCATGAAAGACCTAAACGTTTTGCCTTTCCTGGGTCACACTTCTCTATTAATTTTTAATTAAAATAATTTACCCAACAAATATGATACAAAGAATAAAAAACGAATGACCTTTGGTAAACAAAGAAAGCATGGAATATCATATGTTCATTAATATATTCAGCTGCCAATTTACACTTCTTTCCAAACTTTCTTTAATTTTGCTCGATTGTGTAATCATAATTGTGTGGCTGTAGCTTTTATCATTTCTTGTTTTTTTTTTTACCTTCCTTGTTGTTCACACGAGCAGCCTCTGCCCTGCTTCTCAGCCAGTCGCGTTGGTGTTCCAACTGCTCGTTCACTTCAACTTGAGTGTAATAGCGCACTTTCCATTCATCTTCTGTAAGGAAAAAAAAAAAATTATGTAGCTGCGCAAGCAGAGGCGACTGTCGAGTGCAACAAGCGACAAAACGAACACGTAGAAATGTGATACATACCGTCACTCACGTCAGCGCTCTGCGATTGAACTTCTAGAGCCTCTACAGTCTTGCAGAGATCGTTGATGCTCTGCTCGAGCATGTGCCTGGAAAATAAAGTACATATGTTAAGCAAGCCGCTTGTTATTCGTTAAAACTTGACCGCGCACTTCATCTTCTCTTCATTTTCGATTTCGGACTTGAGACGCTTGATCTCGGCGTCGATTTCGGGCGAAAGTCTCATTTCTAAAGTGCGCGACGCTTCCGCCGAGCAAGAAAGTGAACTGTTTGTTGACAACGACAACCGTTGCTAGGGTGATTGTTGCTAGGTACGGTCGTTAGGGAATCAACTGCGGGCTAGTTATATAAAAATGAAATATTTAATTTAAACAAAACAAAATTTTAGCTGCAAAATAGTAAATACAATAACTTCATTATAACAAAATTGTTAAGTAAAATTTAACAGTACAAATTGGAAAAACTATCTTACTTTGCTGCTGAGCTTTCTTTTCAGATTGTCCCTTCACGGCGGTACGTAGCCACGTTTCGTTCATCGTGGCGTTTTACGTTTATTGCGAGAAGTATACGTTACCTTTTCGTGAACTTTCTGTAATATCTCGAACCATACTGCTTTAAGACCGTTTCACACTGCGGATTATCGCGTGTGCGCCTGTCAAGTCTCTGATCAGGGCGCACGTGTCGTGACGGCTGCCCTCTGGAGCTAGGCCTTGTTACATACGGCCCTGCTTTACCCCGCACAGGTTGAACCATGGTGAACACCAAGGGTTACCGGAGAGGAACGAGGTACCTCTTTGCGAGGGACTTTAGGAAGCATGGTGTGGAGCACCTGTCCACATACCTGCGGGTCTACAAGAGGGGAGACTACGTAGACATCAAGGTGAGATGCCGGCAAGGAAAATGCATGCACTCACGACGGAATCGCTAGGTGACTCAGTCAGCATTCATTCCTCATATTGAATCGGAAATTTACCGAGAGTAAGAATGTTGGATATTTGGCAGGGCTTGAAGCTTACCTCCTATTAGAGCACGTCTGCGTCTTCTCCGGCATGTAGTGTGCCTGTTGTCACTGACCGTGGACTGTATCTGTTAAAGCATCAAAGTATGATTCTGTTGGCTGAAATTTGATTTTCTGTGTGCTTTAGAAAGGAATCTTTAAAAAAATGTTTTGAGGTAGTGTGTCAAATGGTCTGCCACTGATATATATATATATATATATATATATATATATATATATATATATATATACAAAAACTTTTCAACATAAGTGATGTAGATAGTTTCGGAACATAAAAGGTAGATCTCATGGAAAATAGGGCTTCAGAACACTTTAGTAATTAAATGTTGAGGCCTAGTTACTGGCGTTTTTTTTTTTTTTCATTTTTTGTCTGCTTAATTAAGGTGCATGTTACAGAAATTTGGTGCTTACAGAATAAAATTTCCGGGGTCTTCCCCAACAGCTTCCCTGATAATCACATAGTTTTGGTGTGTGAAACCCCTACAGTTATTATTGGTGTGTTCCTTTAAGATAATTTGTTGTCTATTTTTGTGCTTAGGTGTCTATGCTGTGAAAGGCATTTATTTCAACATATGCAAAGGTATTCATTGGCTACGAACCTCACTGTGCAGGGAAATGGAGCCTTCCAAAAAGGCATGCCACACAAGTTTTACCACGGAAAGACTGGCCGAGTCTTCAACGTAACTCCTCGTGCCCTTGGTGTCATTGTCAACAAGCGTGTCAGGTATCGCACTGTTATTTGCATTTGTAATGAGTGGCAAACTGCCTGGCTGCATGAATCAAGGAACAGTTAAGGTAATGCAAACAATATTTCATGCAGGCATCGCATCATCCCCAAGCGCATCAACGTGCGTGTCGAGCATGTGAAGCACTCCAAGTGCCGTCAGGATTTCCTGGAAAGGGCAAAGAAGAACCGCGAGCTCCGAGCTGAGGCCAAGAAGGCTGGAATCCGGGTCTCCTGCAAACGACAGGTATGGTCATGACTTTCTATGAATGTTGAATGGTTTTGTAAAATCTTGCTGCACGTAGCTTCCAAATGAAACAATGTTTGACGTGCCCTCCAGTGGTCAGACAGCTGCATATTTTTGATACGTTTCCGTTTTCTTGTGCCAAGCTGCTACAAAAGCGTAAAAATTGTGCCGAACTGCTTTAAGACTGCCTCAAAAGTAAGGATTTTGTTACTAACCTCAGCTTCGGTGGGGGGAAAAGGCCGAGTTACAGTGCACTAGAATGAGCTGAGTTGACTACATGATTTTTCGAGCCGTGCCCGGAACGCCAAGAAAATAAGACACGCCAAAGCGTGTTTTTTACTTGGAACCTTTCTGGTGACACCATGAACTCCTTTGGACTGTTGTAAATATGCGTGACTCTGCAAAAATGTGCTGCCATCCATCGAGTGCACTGCTGCTTCTGGCTAGGCTGTGTGTTCTGGCGCCACTGTCATCTAGCGAAAACCACAAATTTAGCCACCCTAAAGGAGTAGCATGCAGTGTGGGGTTGACTTTCGGGTTCTTCGTTGTGTGTAGCACGTTCCTTCAGTGCTGTAGTTATCGGGACAGCGCTGTTGCTTGCAGTCACCTACGCACATGTGTTTTGCTGGAGCGAGTACCTTGTTGCATAAACGTGGAGTCATCCCCCTGCATGCGAAGAGTCTCCTACATGCTCTGGAGCATGGGTTCTCAAACTTGGTTCTGTGAGCGACAGAAAGCATGCAACATGCTCTTGGTTTACCCCCATTAATAACTAATTATTTAGACAGGCGAGTTTTCATTGCATTTTGCATTTAAAGAAGCCATTGCACGCCTGATCCGCACGTGGGTGTCTGCAGGTAGCGAGAGACCCACTTGGTAGCAGCATGAAAGACAAGCTTGCACTATTTGCGAACTCGTGGTAACAGAATGCGCATGCAAACTAGTTTAAATGATACCCCGCGCCTCCACCAAATGTGTTACGAGAAGGAGACGGACTCGAAGGGGTAGTCAGAGATGTATTTTCAGCCGGTTAAGCGAGCAGCGCCAGCCACACAGATTAGCTCGCGCCAGTCCATATACTTTGTCTTCTTCAACTCCCTGCACTGGCACGTAGCAATATTAATGGGCACCTCGGTGCTTTATTCACGACTCATGATGCGTCGGCAATCGCACGACACAGTTTTCATAAATTGTGATTTGCCACTGCTTCGTTTGTAGAAACTCACTACAAGCACTCTAAGAGGTGTCGCAGCATACACCGGCTTTGGGCAACACGAGCTTTCAGGCTTAGCTTCACATTCAACCGGTGTTTCGGCCGGCGGACGTTCTGCAGTGTGACTAGCATACCTCCTCTTATTCCTTTTATTTTTCTTCTTTTTCAACAATCCGGCACCTGTACGTTCGGTGGTTCGTTTGTGTGGACATATTGCTTACCTGCGCTGCACAGTGTGAGCGTTATTTGCAAGGCGCAGGTGGCAATCGCCAGTCCATGCATTATCGGGAGTGCTACATGAACGGTGATAGAACAGGCCAGTGTGGACAGTAATAATAACGTGGTTGCGTGCATCGAGCGGTGTTGTCACCTAGTACGATATTCGCTTATTGTTCCATACGCACGCGCTTTACGAAATAGTCAAATGCAGCGAGGTTTTTTGGCTCCCGCAGCGCACTCTTGAAAGCGGTCCCGCACGAGTTGGCTGCGAACAGTGATGCAGCACGGTTTTATTGTCTGTACACTTGATGTTATGCCAACCGTACAGCTGAGAAGATAGAGAAGCAGACGTAGAAAAAGTCAAAGCAGCAGTATGCTAGATCACATCACTGTTCTTGGCCCACTGTTATGTAACCACGATTCTTGTGGAATTGCAATTTTTTAAATTCTGTCTGAGTGTGATGCGTTTCCTTTTCAAATGTTCCATAAAACCTAGTTTTCAAAACCTTTTTTTAAATAATGTTTCACACGTTTGTTACAAATGGTAATGCAGTTCATACCTGGCAATAATCTGTTCAAAAGCTTCTTCAAAGTCTGTTTCAGTGTAATGTATACTAAGCCAATTAAAATATGCACTTGTGCTCCCACATTGCAAAAAATTTGTTTTTCAAGCTCCTAGGACGACATAACAAATGCCGATAGCTGCTACAAAGCAAGGTCCAATTGGAATTTTACTGCTACAAAAACTGCTCCCAATTCAGTCTCGGCCAACTTGCCCTTGAATATCTTTTGTGAGGTGGTTTGTCGTTGTTGCTTCTTAACCTAGACTTCCTTCTAGAAACTTCAAGCTTGCCTTAAGAGAATAAACTCAAAACAATGACTGACAAAAGTGCCTTCACCACTTCGGAGCAATGACTGATTCCATCAGGTCCATGGTCTGTAGTACTTCCTATTCCGATGCAAATTTCGTTTTGCTCGTCAGTCGTCCTTTTCAGACATTGTGGCTGCTGGACTGGCTATCTGATGTTACCCTGGGGGGCGGGGGACGGCGCTATTACAATTTTCTTTACAGCACCTATTTTGGCACTTGCAATTGTTTTTGTTCTTGGCTTGTCGCTTAAATGTGCCCTATATAGAAGTGCAGTTATTGAAAATGATAAATCGTTTGTTCTTAAACTGTTGTAAACAATTTCATCATTTGGTTAGAAGAGGTCAAAGTTGAATTGGAAAGGTTAAAGTTGAATTTTTAAAATTGTGCCATCAAAACCCACCAGCTTTTAGTGTCACTTTACAGGTGTCTATATTATCCCCCATTATTGGATCACATTTTTCTTGTAGCAGTTTGTAAAACTTGCCATGTTTTGTCTTCCAATGTCTTAGAACATGATTAGGGTCATATTTACTGTCAAATAGCTTCTTGGCCTGAGTAGACACTTTTGAAATCCAAAATTTCATGGTGAACTGGTGCGGGAATTTACCAATGTAGTGTCGCCACATGTCTTTTTTTTTTTTCACGTCTTCTAGTTCAGAGCTGTTCCTAGCAGTAAAATTAACATTTGCATTACTGTGAAATAGTTATTGTGTGCTAATTAGTGTGTTGCATGAACATTGTCCATATGGGTACACTTATACATCACTTTCACTACTGCTAAGTTTTGTAAAGTCATTGTCAGGATTGAGTCATTAAACTACGTGTGCGCATGTGGTTTACTTGCAGCCTCAAGGTCCCAGGCCGGCACACTTCGTGAAGCTCAATGGCAAGCAGGAAGTGGAGTTGCTCCAGCCCATTCCATATGAATTCATTGCCTAGACTTCCAAATAAAACCAGGTCAACTGGGTATTGTGCTGATTCGTTTGTGAAACTTAACGACTGCCTCAAATGTGGAAACTGCCTTACTCAATGATGGCCTAATGGTGGCCACGCATGATCATGCATGTTGAAATCTTGAGTGCGAGCTCTCGATGTAACATACATCCTGTGGTGTACTATTTAAAAGCAGAATAACGGCAATCTTGTTCATAGAGAAAATGACTCCTAAGTAAAAAAAATGGTAGTTGTTTGAACACTTTGGATGACAGTACAATAATGGTATAGTAGATTGAATTACCAAATCAAGTTCAGTATATGCGAATGAAGGGGTGACTTGCACTAAAGTCAGTTTAAGTTAGTGCAGCTATTCGGTAGACTTTGGAATTACATCTTTATACTGTAACAAAATGTCAAACCAGAAAAGGAGCCAAAAACATTTTATAACCAACTTTTCTTGGCCTTCGAACTCGAGCAGTTTTCACCTGGAGAGAGTTGCAAAATCCATTAACTTCGGTATTACACCGAGAAGAGAAACATGGCAAAAATGTTACAACCAATATAAGAAATGGAGTAAAACTGCATGGTGTCCTGCTTATTTGACAAATGGGTGCTAGTTTGAGAGAATTCTGGGGTGAATGCGACAGCTGCTAAGCCCTAACGGTAACAGGTATACAAGTCATGTGCCTTTTTCCTTATGTTTCTAGCTGAGTTAGTTTAGTAGGAATGCTTACGAGGAGAAGTGGCAGCTCTTAATTAACGGGGGCACAAGATGACACGCAACACAGGCGCCATTTATGTGTCTCCATTCATTCAGCGCTATTGTTTTCGTCATCAGTATGTACCAACAAGTCCAAATTTCAACATTGTTGAGGAATGCTTAGTTTTTTTTTGCATTTTTTAAACTTATAGAGTGCTGAAACAAGCCCCCAATTGTAGTGTTGCCCCGCCGCGGTGGTCTAGTGGCTAAGGTACTCGGCTGCTGACCCGCAGGTCGCGGGTTCAAATCCTGGCTGCGGCGGCTGCATTTCCGATGGAGGCGGAAAAGTAGGCCCGTGTGCTCAGATTTGAGTGCTCGTTAAAGAACCCCAGGTGGTCGAAATTTCCGGAGCCCTCCACTACGGCGTCTCTCATAATCATATAGTGGTTTTGGGACGTTAAACCCCACATATCAATCAATCAATCCAATTGTAGTGTCTTTATTAAGTATGTTTGTAGCGACATCTAGGTAGAGCTACACTATAGAAAAAGCGCGCAGGAGACGAGCCTGACCTACGAAAGGGCTGTGCCAGCTGCTCGAGGACTCCGTGATTGCAGTGAAAGTTCGCAAGTTTGATTTGATGCAAAACTGATGCGACTCCCGCATCGCATTTGGAGTTTGTGCTGCTTGAACCGCCGCAAGGACGACAAGCGACTCGCGCCGATGTCGACCGCTTACGAGAAGCGCCAAGACGAAACAGAAAGCTCGTGGGAACTTGTTTGCTAACGGAAAGAAAATGCAGACGCCCTCGTTGTTTAGCTTTCTGTTTGCTTCACTCCTGGCTTTTTTCGACAAACCAGCAGAGTGCCTTGACAATGGACAGGCGTTAACTCCGCCGATGGGATGGATGTCGTGGGAGAGATTTCGGTGTAACGTCGACTGCTACAAGGACCCGGACAACTGTTTAAGGTAAGGATAACATTTGGCCCCTCGGAAGCACAAGATGCCGCGTGTCCGTTTTTTTTTTTTTTAACTGACGCTTTATGGTTTCAGTGAGAAGTTATTCATGAGGATGGCAGATCACCTTGCCGACGATGGATATCGAGATGCGGGCTACGTTTACCTGGTCATCGACGATTGTTGGTCCGAACGACAACGAACCAACGACGGCTACCTGATGGCCGATCTGGAAAGATTCCCGCGCGGTTTGAACTTTCTCTCAGACTACGTGAGTGGTGGAGTTCTTCAGAGCTCTAGACTAGACGGTAAAGTTTTAAATGGCCTAATTTCGCTTACAGATTCACAGTAAAGGCCTGAAGTTCGGTATGTACACAAACTACGGGCATTCCACGTGCATGGGTTTTCCCGGCACCGAGGATCACGACATGGAGAAAGACGCCGAGAGGTTTGCCGCGTGGAAAATTGACTACCTGAAGGTGGACGGTTGTCACACCACAGCGAAGCAGCAGAGTAAAGGTAATCCGGCCGCTGTCTTTCGAGTGCGCGCGTTAATTGCGTCAGTGGTAGCAGCAGTGGCGTTCCCAACGCTTCCGTCACAGGTTACACAAGATTTTCCGAGTACCTCAACAAGACGAACCGCCCGATCGTGTATTCCTGCAGCTGGCCGTATTATGATTTGTTCCTCAACAAAGTTGAGGTATGCAGTTTGTCTTGTTGTTTGGTTGAGTTGCTTTAGTGTACAATTTGGATGAATGCAAAGCACTGTGTCGTATTTTTTTTTCTAACAGTGCCTGACGCCTGCGAAATTTGATAAGTTACTGAAAAACCAAGTTCCTTACTGAACTTGAGACGGAATAAATTGTTTTTGGTTAAAATGAAATGGTTCAGTGATTCGACATTTTTGGTCCACCTTATATAGATTCTGAATCTCAGTGAAGAAAATTTAGGATTGAAGGCTGATCAAATCTGTTAGTGTTTGTCATGCAGTTTGTGCATGCTCACGAAACACAGAATGGCAGAAAAAATGTCTGTGCACTTCTTCTTTCTCTTGTACCACGTTTCATGCTTCGTGAACTCTGCATAAATCACAAGGCGGCCAGACTTTTAGGGGTATACTGCCTAAAATGGTGTTTTAAATGATCTACTGGTGTTATGCGTAATTTACCTTAACATAATGTCCTTTCCACAGCCAAATTTTCCTCAGCTGGAGAAAGACTGCAATCTATGGAGGAACTATCATGACATACGTGACAACTGGTTCATGATTGAGTCAGTTATAAATTTTTTTGGAGACAACCAGGAAGTCTTTGCAAAGTATGCTGGTCCAGGCCATTGGAATGATGCAGATATGGTAATGAACTTGTCATTGCCTTTATTTCTTTTTTCTTGTAACCAACGAAGGATGAAAGATGCTTTGATCAAACATTACCGAAAGTATGTCTATAGCACTACGTTAGTCCTGCACTATGTTAGTCAAGGTTTCAAGATTCATGTGTCCACATGTTTTGTAAACTTTTTGTTGGTAGATCAGCAGGCAGTAGTGCCTTTTTTTGTTTCCTCTTTGGAATTGCAACGTAGCGGCTAGGCCTCACTGTCCCTGCACGGGAGTGTCCCGTGATCCTACCCTTATAAAAAGGAGATAGATTCCCTCAGGATATCAATAGTTTTTTTTTTCTATCTTGTGCTGAATCATCACTTAAAATACACGCACCCTGACATGCCAGTCTTGTGAAGATAACTATTCAAGAAAAAGCATGACTGAATATATTACTACTAAACTTCCGAAGACATGTAGATTTTTCTAAGATATCATTTTCTTATACACTAGCAACCTAAATGAAAGTCTCTGGCTGGAAAAAGAAAAAGAATGGTGCTTACTGTAACAACTCGAGTAATGTTTTTCAGCAGAGTAACTTGTTGGGCGAGTTGTTTTATTCTTACTGTAGCTTTGGCACGAAATAAACATGACAGACGGACAAGCGCTTGTCTGTCTCTCGTGTTTATTTCGCGCCGAAAGCTAATGTAAGTTGTGTAATGTCTCGGGTGAAAAAAAGGAAAAGAAAAAAGAGAGATAGGCATGTTGTGAAAGGGCATGCTCTGGAACATTGCTTTACATATTTTGCTATGTAATCTAATTCATCTGAAGTAACATTCAAGTTTGTTTTTGTACCTGCTAAATACTGTTGCAGGTATTCTTTGTAAGCTTAGCTTAGCTTGGCAACTTCATAAGACTTTGAAAGTAAGCACTTAATATGTATTCTTTTCCAGCTTATGATAGGAAACTTCAGGCTGACACAGGAGCAAGCTGAAGTACAGATGGCATTGTGGGCTATCCTTGCCAGTCCGCTGCTGATGTCAAATGATCTAAGGAAGATCCCAGAGGCAGCTAAGAAGCTATTGCAGCATAAGGAAATAATTGCTATAAACCAGGACCCACTTGGAATTCAAGGCAAACGAGTCTTTATGGTCAGTTGCCTCACCTGTTTTTATATTTTTATATTTCGTTGGAAACCTTGTTTACCAATAGAAGCTGGAAAAACACAGGTGCTTAGTCAGTATAAGCTAAAATAATGTATTCCAGGTAGTGTAGTCCGTACAACGTAAAGATTGAAAACATTATTAAATTAATTGATGCTAACTTGGTGGGTAAACTTCAATTTAACCACCAGGTACGTATGTACCAAGTTTAACACACTTATTGTAGGTTAATCACTGCTCAGTATATTTAGCTTGCTGTCACCGATTAGAAATTACTATCATCATCCTGACTATGCCTACTGCAGTGCAAAGGCCTTTCTCCATTTCGTTTCTACATTAACCCACTCCTGTGCTGCGGCCTTGTTATCTCCATAATGTTATCTGCCCTCCTAACTTTCTGCATAAATAGAACCACTGTCGATGTTTGAATCTCTCAGTACATGAAACATTCTTTCCTGATCTCTTCAGGTTCCATTTAACAAGAGCCTGCTATACATTGAAATACTTCAAAAACCTTCAGCAGCTATCCTTGCATAGAAAAGATAGTAGCTCACTGTCAATCTACCAGCCAAACGTATTGCCGCGAGGCGTATTGCGGATAGTGTTGCGCATGCCGATACTGCCGGCACGCGGCCTTATCGTGGTCCAGGATGCACCGCGACTCATCTGCGAAGATCATGGCTCGCACGTCGGCCATTCGTTGATAACAGAGATAGCGCCAGACGCGACGGCGACTGTATCTCGGATGGTGAACGCGCCTTGCGTTCCAGTGGGACATTTCTGTTACCCGACGGCCGTCGAACGCGCCTTGCGTTCCAGTGGGACATTTCTGTTACCCGACGGCCGTCGAACGCGCCTTGCGTTCCAGTGGGACATTTCTGTTACCCGATGGCCGTCGAACGCGCTGTTCGCCTCCCGCTAAGCCGGTGTGTCTGTTTTCCTTTAGTGGCAAGTCCATCAAATAAACGGATCTCCTTCTATTTCTACTAACCTCCCGGTCTCCTGTCTTCGGGCTACCCTCAATCTTACGTGACAGTATTCATATTTTGTCTCGACATCCCTTTTGGTTCATGTACATATATTACTTTGTATTCCGAAGGTCATTAATCTCTTGCAGGACAAGGATGTCAGCGTCTGGTTGAGGCCCATAACACCTGTGGTAGATGGGATGCACTCGTACGCCATTGCCATCATCAACCACAACACATCATACTCTGCCCAAGTGTGGCTGCCACTGGATCAGCTGGGCTTGAACTACACAAAGGGCTACCAGTTCCGGAACGTCATCGCTATGCAGGATCTGGGCACTTACTTTCCTCACAATCGGCACGAAGCGGGTGTTCAATCTACTGGTGTTGTCCTGCTCAAGGCTGTGCCTAACAGAGGTTGAGAATATCGCGGTGTACGAGCTTTTATTACAACAGTACTGAAAGTTGGGCGAGTTGGTACTCATTCATGACTTCTTTGCGCAAACACGTACACGGACACAAGGAAAAGAGGCAAACAACACGGGCACAACAACACGGGCTTGCGCCCGTGTTGTTTGCTTCTTTTCCTTGTGTCCGTGTACGTGTTTGCGCAAAGAAGTCATGAGCTTTTATTGTTGTTGCATTTCTCACAAGTGCCGAAGGTGGCCGTTTCTTCAAAAGTTATGTGTGTTGTAGGAAAGTCCAACAGCTCTGTGCTCACTTGCAACATAAGAATCATCTGCATTTTTTTTTTCTTTTATCTGCCCACACCTGGTAGACTTGAAGTTGGCCGGGGGTGGTAGCATGGCCTTCATGCCAGAAATACTGTTGTGTTGTTGTTATTCTTACATGCACATAACGTTTCATAATCTTGTAAATAGTGTTGAATGTATCAAAGTTTGGTCTACATTGGCTTACAGAGGAGCTAGGCTATTTTCTTTGTACACAGACTTCCTTCACTTCATCCATTGTACAACTGTAAGCCCATGTCAGAGACTTCTACAAAGCTCAGTGCCTTAATAATTATGTAGTTTGTGTCGTTTATGGAGTTGTGGACCAGTTTTTTCAATGCATTTTTTGTGCTGGTGCTGTATTGGCACGGTCAACAGTTCCAATGCCTCTGAAACATCAATATTTAGTCTGTTATTTGCCACTGTGCCTCATCGAAGCAGATTCAGTGCTTGCATCTAGCTGATAGCTATAGTGCAGACTTCTGTGGCATCTATTTTTGATGCTGTCTTGACTTGCACCGTTTTAAGTGGATGATGAAGTGCTTGTAAGTCGGCAACCAAAAGCTGGTATCTCTTATGTTCCAAAGGTTTCAGATATCACCAGAATTTATACAACCTGGCTTTTGCAAAAGCACACAGTGCTTTAAAAGATGTCATTTCTAAAGAGTGCTGAATTTTCCTGCAATAGGGAAGTAAGAGTGAGGATGACATCAGAAAGGGGACAGCAGCATGACAGCACGAGATTCGCACATGCCAGCTGTGATAGAGGGTGCCATCTTATTTTGCACCATAGGCGACTGGTACTGTCAAAGCACATTCACAGCATGCTTGGATGCACAATGTATTTAGTCTTCCATTTACAGCCAAATTTTGCGAATTAAAACGACATGGAGACAATTTCTGTGTTATCTGGAGCTGTATTCTGAGAATCGGTTTGAGGGCTGGTTTTACTTCCACGAGATTTCACAACTCGATCCGAAGGAACCAATATAGCCCTAAAGGTTTCGGGGCCTATCTTTCATTATAGCACAACGCTTAAGACCCCAATGAGGCATCCACATCGCACACAATTTTTTTCTATGCATTTTGAGTGTGGTGTCACCCAATGTCAGAACGTCTATTCACTTTCTGCAATGACTTTCTACAATAAAAGTCACAATGCAATATTTGACAGTACTAGATTAATGTTACAGACATGCCCATGATTTGTATAAATTCAAGTCTGACTGCAGGAAGTTATGCAGTTTGGTTGATATTTGCATACTCAGCATTATAAGTTGACATACATTATGATAATATTGGAAGGTCTAGGGTAAAGACCAGTCCACATAGTGTTGTGTGATATTCGCTGCTAGAATGATAGAAAATGCAAACGATGCACTTTGGCTGCCATGTTCTACGCTTTCATTGTATAAATATCATGTCTAAGTTAGCACACTTCATCTGACAATGTCTGCACTGTTTACTGCTTCTCAACACTTCTGCCTATGAAGTGGCACAGTGCATTTACCAGTTACAGTCATTGGGGCAACGTTTCCCAGTATGTCAAAGTTTGCACACTTTATGTGACAAGGTCTGCACTGTTTGCTGCTTCTTAATGCTTCTGTCTGTGAAGTGGCACATTGTACTTACCATAACAGTCATCGGGGCACCGTTTCCTGTGCATATTTGTGCTATAGTCACGGACAACCTTTCTTGGCAGTGCAGCGAAGGCTACGAAAGCCAAATCACGCGTATCCGACAGCTAATGTGCCTAGTCCTACAATTGCGTCCTACATTTTGAACGCGAGATATGAAAAATACTGCCTTCAATTTTTGCACGAAGCTTTTTGACACAGGACGCAGCTCCCACCAGTAAGATATTCGTCTTTGCTTTAATTTATTTGTTGCCGATTAGTGTTTTTGAATGCGTGGGAAAGTCGAGCCTTTGTCGCGTACCTCGAACGCCAATTGGAGTCTGCATCGATGTGAAACGCTGGTTGCCCGCAGCCATAACTTCCCACAGAGGCGCGCAACGCGTGACATACCATACTACTTCGCATAGTAGCACATGTGCAGTAGCTCCGACCCTGTAGCTTCCCCTTCATTGCAGAGAAGTGTTGTCCGCGAGTATAGTCGACTGCTAGTTCCCATTACTGTGACAAAAATCGAGACAATTTTTTTCTATGTACATGCGCAGCTCATGCAGTTATTTGTGCCTTGTGCTAGATTAACCAGTGCAAGAGAACTGGCTACTGTGATATTTTAGGATGCATTCAAAGGGCCCACCAGAATCTGTGAATTCTTGGAGTCTATATTTACGCCCTCTCAAGGCAACCTTCCTCTTTTTTTTGTATGCATGCATTTTTTGCTCCTTTCATCATGTTTGTATTTCTTGTACCAAATTGCACATTGTCACGAAAGTATTTTAAGCACCTGTACATATAATGTTGCATGAAAGATTTACTTGTTAAAATGTTGACTTAATGGTGTATTCATGAGCAACAATTGTGTGTTATTTGAAGATGTCGATCAGAAAGTTCAATCTCTAGCCTTTACTATCTATGCTGTTCTCTTGAAACCAGCAGTAGTGCCAGTCTTGTGAAAGCGGTCTAGGCGAATGTTGCAAAAAAATCGTTAATCAAACAAGGTTTCCCTGTAGCCTGAAGCCAACTGAAGCTGTGTTCTCCCATTGAAATATCAGCTCTTGGCCAAGGTATTGGGCCCTTTGTCTCGCTATTACTAGAAGCATTTGTTGGACTAATCATCTCAAAGCGCTTTAAATAGTTGCTATTTAAGGAGCGTTAAGGTTAGAAACTCTGCCACTAGGAAGTGTTCCACTGTCGCATAGCAGAGAATGTAGAAGTGGGAAAGAACACAGAAAAATGCAGCAGCATTGATGTGCAGCCTATTGATTGCCTTTCCGATAAATTACCTGTGTAAATTACTGTACCCTACCAAAGTACTTCAGACTTCTTCGCATGTCAACTTTGAACTAGCACCGGAGAGTGCTGGTTCATGACATACCCATCCAACAAGCGCAATGCTACGTGTTAAGAGCCAGAAAAGTGACCTTACCTCTGTGCAATTATTAATTTAATTAAAGTTTTTGCAACTTCCACTATGTGCTACCTTGTGGACTTGCTTCTGCTGAAAGGCAGAGAAGGAAGTGGCACCCTTTCATGCAATTTAAAACCATGTGGTGTGGATTTAAAGTTATGAAATTTTCAGTTGCATGTAAACACCTCTCAGGAGTCTGAGAAACCTCTGTAATTGCCCTAAAACGACATTTGCGCTGCTTACAATGTGGATCACAGCTTCCTTGGGACTGATAAGCTGCCCATGTTCGTTATGCAAGGGCTACTGCACACTTTGGGAACAGCAGATGTCATAGTGGGCTAGTAGACAATTGTTATTACCAAGACGACAGCAAACTTGCCAATGAATTGAACAAAATGCATGTCGGAGGATAGTGGAATTTCAGTGCAAGTCGTCACAAAGTTCATTCATGGCAACAGTACTACGTATGAAAAGCTAGTGCACTTGCATATACTGGCATGGAGCTTACTTGCAGCAGGTACAGAAAGTGGGGCATTGCTATGAAGACGGCTTGCAGTAAATTTACATGATCTCATGGCTATGGTACTGCACAGCTAAATTTTGACCGACATCTGCTCTTTAAGGTATTCAATCTCACTGTGGAGAGTGACAAAAGCCGCGCACTGTCTACAGCATTAGCCAAAGGGAATGGCCGGCAAAGAAAAAAAGAAGGCATGTTGTCATCGACTAAATTCGCAATTTATGGCTATGCACGTAATTGTTTTCATTCAAGCAACAATGACACTTTGTTGCCGACATGCGGTTGCAGCCGTCGCGATGCGATAAAGCAAGCTTGTCGCTGTCGCTAGGAAATCAATCACGTGCATGCGGTTAGAGCATTACTGAAAAATAAAAGATGCCAAACACATTTTTTAAAACCAGCCATTAATTTATGGCAACGTTAAAAAGGTATCACTTTTTTTTGTAACGAGACTCGTTGAATAATGACATGTACTTTGTCACGCAAGCAATTTTATTGTTTCATAGAAAAACAGCAGTTATATATACACAATGCATTTGTCATCACTGTAGCATCTGCATGGATACAGTTCAAGCATGCTGCACCTAAGCTGAGATGAATTATTCTCAGCTTCCACAACAAACCCTGCAACGTTAATGTACAAGCGAGCAATCGGCGACTGCTCCTTCAGGTTGTACTTGTGAGGAGACATTCACACTATTCTTAACGGATGCGGTATCTTGCGGACAGGGAAGTTACAACCACTCCAGACTTTTTTTCGCATGGCCAAAAAAAGGGGAGAATTGGAAGCAGCTTATGAAATAAAAGAGAGGTCTTGCATGGCCAGCTCCATAAATATATCACAGTAATATTGCTCTAAATGCAGAGAATCCCCCAACCCCGTTTCTCTGCACTGCAGAGTTCCAGTGAACCACCATTTTCCAGAGCCTCCAAAACCAAAAACATGACAATCTCCACTTATAGGCAGCACTACTGCCTTGTACGCTAAAAAAAGTGTAGAATGTTAAGAGATTTCAAATGTGAGCAATAAGGTGCCAGGCTCAAATAAGAAAGAGAAGGAATGAATGGGCTCGTATTACACCACTTTGCTTACCCTGGCCGCGCAACACAAAGGGCGAAGACATGAGACAACACAGTAAGCTAAATGACAGGTCTGCAATGTTCTATAACTTTGGTTTGGAGCACTGACAGGTGTAGCAGGAACAGTTCGGAGCAAATTTGTCAGTTAAGTCTTGATATTATATATGGATGACTTAGAATCTGCAGCATTTATAAATCGGCCAGCACAAAGCTCCAAAGTGAACCACATATGGAAACAATGCTCTATAATCCAAAATGAACCAACACGACACCTAATTTCAACAAATTCCCAGAGAGAGCTCTTTTCCAGTTTGCATATGGCAACAAGGTCACTAGCTTCAATCCATTGGCACCAGACTTTGAAACATCTGAAGTATATTTACTTAAAGGGGACCAGCATGACTTTTCTAAGTAGTCACTGAATGACTTCACTGGAGTTACCGGGATTTGTTTCGCACTTTAAGGGTGTTTCGCCTCTCCTTTTGTCCCGACAAGCGTGACAAAAGCTACACAGCGGGACGCATCGTGAACTTCAGCACTCTCTTCTTTTTCTTTAATGCATTGCCTTTTGGTGTGATTAAGAGCGCCTTGTGCTGTGCCGTTCAAGCACATTACAGTATGCACCAGCATGTGCTGGCACCTCGAGGCAGGCACGGTAACTATGAAGCTCACTAATGCTCAAATCAGCCAATGGTTGTGTTGGACTCGCAGATGTTGGGCCCGTCAACAATGCAATTTACCAAGATTACAGTGATTCGAAGCAGTCTTTGAAACGTAATTGTCATAGAGTGTGCAGCACTCTAAAAAGTGGCTCACATGTTAACAGGATCCTCGAACACTTGCAGTGTTTACTGACAATGTTAAAAAAAGTGTTGCACGGCCCCCCTTTAAGGAAATGTTACACTTCATCCAGAGTGCTGCCTTGCAGCTACGAAATATTTTCTCTGGGATACCACCTGCTGGCATGTTGCAAATTGAACTACAACACATACAACTGCTCACATCAGAACAAGCCCAGCTTTGAGATGAGTGAGAGACAAGGGACAACACAGAACATCACTCTGCCAATGGGAGCAGAGCAATGGGAACGATGCGCTTATTATTTTTTTGAACTAAGAACCAGGAGTACACACCATTCATCATCGGAAAAATAATTATGAAAAACCCATTGCAAAATGCTGCTATTAAAAAATATAAAATGCGCATGGGCACGGCTGCCTATGGCGTGGCATTTTTCAGTAACAACCGTCACTCCAGTCGTCATCCGGTTCTGCAAACCTTGATGGCATTGCAGCATTCCTGCTGAAGGCAGGGATTCCAGACCTGAGAGTGAAGTGCAGTAATGAGCAACACTAGCCTTCATTTTTCACCAATTAAAACAATAAGTAATAAAGGTTATGAACTGTGCACTTGGTGCAATAAGGGCCCAGCAAAACTGATTACTAAGCATGTGTCATTTAGTGTTCGCCCTCCTATATGCAGGTTGTTTTAATAAATGCTGGACAAAGTTCAGCTTTTTCGAGATATAGCGTGTTTTCTCCTGCAGGTATAAAGGGACCGTTGATGAACATATCAGAATTTTCTGTAATTTATTACAAGGAGCTGGACACTATATTGCAATGTAGTTAAGGTGGTACAATGCTGCTTTGTATGCACTCTAACTCCCTATGACAATTACAAATTAATTAGACACCTATTACACAGTTAATTATGATAAGTTGAAGAAAATGCTGCCAAAAGCAAATGAAACATTTCTTGGTGCAACAGCCATCAAAGAAAAAAAGAGGTATGAGACAGTCAAATCGATATATAGCCTAGGTTTTTTGTTTTTTAATAAAGCTAGCATGTTAAAACAGAGCAGTCGTATTTTTGTCCTTTCCTAATTCACCCTATATGGCCACAGTATTTAGCAATCAAGCCAAATATTGTTAGCTTAGCCCAGATTGACTTAACTTAAATAAATTTGGGAATAAAATAATTAAGTGCAAGCCCAATCTCTAGAAAATCGTAAATAACATATTCTTGTTACTGCCCTTCACCAAATAACAAAGTCTCAACAACCCGGAACACATTTTTGAAATATTTTGGTGTGCTGGACACGCCGACTTCAGCAACAGCATAAAATGGTCAAGCATCAGCGTATTCACTTCATCGCACTGTTTCAGGGGAGCCCGTAACACCCGACTAATCCACGTTTCACTTTATACTTATGAACGAGAATAACCTACGGTACCAGACTATAGTAGCGCATGACAGCAGTGCACTGTCTGCGTGCCATGAAACGCGCACATTGAAACCTGTATTTTCCAGAAGCATGCTCCACTAAGCAGACGCTTAAACACAAGATAGACCACAATTTATCCTGCACACACTCCCATTTCAGTTTACATTTTCGTTACATCCTCCGAAGGCACAGCTTAATCGCAAGACATTTCTGACACTTTCCTCTCTCATTTATGGCAAATAGAAGCACGATCAAAAGCACGCATCAGCTGCCATTTCCCAGGCAGCGGCAACTTACAACAAAGCTCGTTCTCTTTAGAGCGCAACATTCCATGCATCTACGTTCTGCATAAAAGGAAAAGAAGACCGTTAATGCAACTGCAATCAAATAGTGCATGCAACTATCAAAGCACACACGCAAACAAAAAGGAATCAAGAAACCAGGTTGTCACACTCTTGACCAGAGTAGCACTCCCATGCAACCACACCATGGGCCCAACAGAAGTAACACCTACATTTGAGAAAAATGGCCATGGCTTTGTAAAGAACCTGGTGAACATGTCCCTTCAATGTGCCTCATTCCATAAACTTTACAACAGCATGTAATATCGCTCTAAATATTCGACGAAATGTTGTGCCTCCACCAATGTGCATTCTTGCGAGTTATTTGATAATCATGCAATCATTGCTGTTTCATTTGAAAAATGAGAATTTTTTCTAATGACTAGCAGCACAACAACAAAGCTAAATGTTCCTTGCAAGGAAAAATATTTACAACTTAACCTCAACTATCTTAACTGAGTTGCGAGGAAAAAAATATGAAGTACAAAAGGAAGACACCTGGACATAGTGCACGGTGTCTTCCTTTTGTACTTAAAAATTTTTTTTTTCGCGCAACTCAGTTAAGATGAATTACCAACTCGCCCAGCAGACCGTGCTTCTCAACCTTAACCATACTAGTGCAGTCACAGTAAAGATTGCCCACATTAGCACAAACCGGAACTCCCATAAGACAGATGAACACAGAGCTAGCGGAACATACATTGCTTACTAAGCAAACAACATTCACCTGGTTTGTACCAATCGAATAACTACTATTCAATGAAGCTATTTCTTTGTAGTCCGTTGCCTAGAACTTGGTTGTAACTAGTCTTCTTTCCTGCAAGTTAGCAGTAAAGACAGCCTTTCATTTTGTTAACGATAAGATTGAGAGGTGGGGTGTGCACAAACACTGAAAACACGACAACCGCTGTCATGATGCAAGCTGTCCCATTTGTTACTGCTGTAATTAATGTCCCTAGTGACCTTGAGATGCCTTCTGTACCGAAAAAGTTATACCAAAAATAGTCATCAAAATTCATTTATTAAACTCCCACTCCCCCCCCCCCCCCTTTTTTTTTTTGAGGATGCCAAGAGACATTATCTGTGATGGCCGGTAGTGTGGTACTTTACTGTAAATGTCAAGGAAAGAGAGCAGTTGCGGAGTTACCTTAGTTGGTTAAGTAAAGTTAGCAACTGGAACGTAAAGGGCCCCTTACAAAGGCCTAGAAGAAATTTTAGATACATAGTGGCAGTAGTTTGTCCGATGAGCATTATGCCGCAAGAACTTTCTCATTCGGTTAATTACGAGCCGAGAAAACGATGCAAGGAGGTGAGCTCGAAACTCTTGCCCCTCGTCCCACATAGCCTCCGCTAGCAGAATCTCTTGCCCGCCCTTTCCGGCATCCGCGCTAGAGGAGCACGTCATGCCCATTAAGAGCGCCCGCACATGACGAGCCCGAGCAAGCCGAGCCGCCGAGCAAGCGTGCAGCATTGTTTTGCTGACCAGCATTACTTTGTGGTATACTGACTCACCGATCATCAGGCTTGCAACCCATTACCGAGCACAAAAACTGTAACAATTCACAGGCACGAGAGCCAGTGCTACGAGCCAGTGCCGCATTAATGTTTACTTGAACACGGTAGAATGAACGAGGATAATGAGTGCTTGAATACGCCAGAACATTACTTTCGTTTCCAGGGCTGAAGTCTGCTTAATGCGTTTACCGCGGGGCACCACAGGGACACGAACGCATGCAAAACGGAGGCACATTAGCCCCATTATCACTGCATTTTACGGGAAAAAATGAAACAGATGTACACATTCCCTTTTATTTTATATATTCATATATAACTTTTATTCATATATTCCAGCAACAAATTGCAAGAACTACGCTATGTCGTGTGAAATAATTTTAACCTTGTCACGTGCTACTGTTGGCGAAGTGGTAGAGCACCTTTGTCCACGGAGAGGACAGACTTCACAGTGCTACCGTCTACATCCGGCGATTCTATTGTGTACGTCATCCCCCTTATTCTTTTTTCACGAACATGAATTTTCAATGTCGCAACGTGGTCCTGTGTTTCCTTATTTCCGCGATGCTACTATTTGTACAATACCGAATGCTTTGCCATGGGACACGTATTGTTAACCTGCAATTATGGTTCAAAAATTTGGTGTTATTAACTACTGATCAACGTTTCCCCTTTTCAAGTACAGTGGAATCTCATTAAACAGGAGTTCCATTTACCGAGAGGGGAACAGGATTGATGATTGATACGTGGGGTTTAACGCCCCAAAACCCCCATATGATTGTGGGAGACAGCTTAGTGGAGGGCTTCGGAAATTTTGACCACCTCGGGTTCTTTATCGTGCACCCAAATCTGAGCACAGGTGCCTACAGAATTTTCGCCTCCATCGAAAATGCAGCAGCCGAGATCAGAGATGAAGAGGGGTGAAGAATATGAGTATGAAATCAATCTTGTCAGAAGCACTTCTTCCCTTTAAGCAGCAATTCTTGTTAAGAAATTCCCATTCATTGAGAGCCCACTATGCAGTTAGGGTTAACATTAATTACAATTAAGGTTCAGGCCTACCAAAAGAAGAGCTATTCAAATCTGCAATGAGTGCCGCAACCTCTACCAATCTAAGAAACTTCCTCCAGGCTAGCTATTTCTCGCTCTCCAAAGTCATGAGCCCACGCAGAGACCCTCGAAACACGGGGAGTTGCTGCAGCCGATATTTCAACAAACAGACTAGTTTTTTTCAAGTTGCAGTTTCTAGGAGGATAAGTCTGCGTAGCTCCATCAACGTCCTGTGTTGCAAGGATTTTTCATTGCTGCGATTTCATATTCCCCTACACTTCTATTTTGTTCAAATACCAAGCAGAGAACTTCTGAACAGTTAATAGCTACGCTGAATATCTAAATGTAAAATGTGATAAAAACCCTGCACAGCGGTAACCAGAAATCAACACACTCATGTCGCCCAAGCTTCAGCACAGTGCCTATAACAAGAAAAAAAATATCTTTTACACATGCAAAATAGTCCCACCATCATAATGCTCAATAACTCCTGAAGTAAAACAATCAAATACAGTAGGACATGCACGCCAGCCTCATGTGCATAAATTTGCATACATACACATATACATCATAGTTGAGAAGTACTGTTGAACTCCAACTGACGACACTTGTGTAGGACATCTGTCTATATATGTACACTGGCTGTCCCAGCTCACTCGAACTAAAAACAAAACCAAAAACCATGTGCTCTGGGAAAGTTCTATGTGTTGTATATTAGCGGTAGTCATGTGTGCATACAATCTGTACTTCGATTGATTGATTGATTCGTGGGGTTTAACATCCCAAAACCACCATATGATTATGAGAGACGCCGTAGTGGAGGGCTCCGGAAATTTCGACCACCTGGGATTCTTTAACGTGCACCCAAATCTGAGGACACGGGACTACAACATTCCCGCCTCCATCGGAAATGCAGCTGCCACAGCCGGGATTTGATCCCGCGACCTGCGGGTCAGCAGCCGAGTACCTTAGCCACTAGACCACCGCGGCGGGGCAATCTGTACTTCAAGGTGAACATATTCGAGAGATCTGTCTGGCTGGATAAAAATTTATCCGAACAGACTAAACTCTCCAGTCACTTTTAGTCCAAAGTTTGTAATGTTAAAATTAAAAGCTCCCGTCAACTTGAACGACACTTGGGTCATCAACACAGAAGCCAGCAGCACACAAAAAAAAAGACAGTTCATAGAGTCCTGGCATACCCAAACAACCCCTGGAAAGGTTACCCACTGAACAGGGACATGGCCGAGTGTATTCGTGCACGGTCTGCAGAACCCGTAGAGAAAACACCGCAGCAACAAGGATGGCGGAAAGAACGACTGAGAAAGGAACGCCACTAAAAAAAAAAATAGTCGCTAGCTTCGGAGCCGGCCAGATTTCTTAAAAAGGGACCGAATCAGTCCCAAAATGTCAGGTCAGTTCTTGGTCAATTTTAACATTAGAAACTCTGGACTAAGAGAGGCTTGAGAGTTTTGATTTTATCCGTATAAATCTGCATTTTTCGATAAATGCTAATTAATTAACTTTAATTAGCTAACTTTCTAGTTTTTGCTTGAATCCGTAATATATTAACTTTATTTTGTTCATCTCAAATAACACCAGGAACGAGCTTTTATTTGTTGCCGAAATCTGCCTGTATTTTTATTTTTTCAAGAGAAAGCAAAAGTGCACAAGACAGGCCAAATAATAAATAGACGCACAGTGGTGCGCCACTACTCTAACGCTTCCAAGCGTTCTTCAGTACATGCACAGCTGCATTCGTTCATAACCCTTTTGTTCGGGGCTTCACACTCAATGATAGATGCATCAGCGGAGTGTTTTCATGTGTGTCTATGTGTGTCTATCTAATAGCATGACGTCCTGTATAATGAATGAATGCGGCCATGCATGAATCAAAGAAGGCTTGAGTAGTGGCGTGCGCCAGCACATCCATTTCATATTTGGCATGTTTCGCATGCTTTCAGTTTTTCTTTAAAAAAAATAAATGGTTGATTCTGGATTTATTTGAGCCAAGGTACAGCATAAAATTAATATTTTACTTATTCAAGTAAGAATGTAGTAGTTGGCTAGTTCAATAATTAGCAGTCAGCCAAGAAAAAAATTGGCCCCGTACCTGCATGTTACACTGGAAATGTCATCAAAAGACGAGTCTTGCGTCTGCAGAGAGTGAACAAAACGCTTATTTAATGTTCTGCGCAAGAAAATCGGTGAATGGTATTCTGGAGGCGCTGCGTCAGACTGCCTCGAGCATGCAGCGGAGGCGAACGAGCGCATCAAGTCACGTCACATGTGAAACATGAGCGCTATCAGGCAGTTATCTTGAAAAACTAAGCGCGCGGAATGCCTGCCTGTCTTGAAGGTGATCGCAAGGCGATGGGTAGGTGCTGCCACCGTGTCGTCTTAGCAAAGCATTGAAAACTCTTGCCTTTTCGTGCAAGCGTTGCATTATCAGCGCAGCCCGATAAACACTACGAGCCTTAGAATTATGTATGCCTTTTCTAGTATAAAGCACACATACAGCATATTGACGTGTTGTTATGGTACCGCAGATATGCGCAATAATCGCTTTTCAATTGACAATCACACAAGTATGAACGCTAAAACTTGAGCAATATTGGTGGGCGCTGGGGATGGGGTCCGCCGTTTGGGGTATCATTTGATGTCGAAGTACCGTTAAGAGCGAACAAACAGACGAATGTACAGACATACAGACCAAAATTTTTGCGTTGAAGGTCCCCAAGAAAGACTATCGTCCTTGAAAAATTCAGGTATGTACACATGACTACCACTATAATACATAACAGGAAGTACCTTACTAGAGCACACAGCTTTTTTTTTTATTCTTGGTCCAAGTTATTTGATACACCAGATGATCTATACCGTATACGTGAATGCTTGTCAAACACGAGTTTTTAAATGTCTCACACCTACTAGCAATACAGCAACATTATATATATATATATATATATATATATATATATATATATATATAAAATTCATACTAAATATTTAGAAAACAAAACAAAGGTGAGGCTTGAAATGATTGTTACCAGTTGTTGAATAAGTCACTGCCCAGCAAACTTTCTGCATGCAAGACCACCAAAAATACAATGTCATGCATGTAAACACCAACAAAAAAGAGAAAGAAGCAAGCTTTTTCGACACTGTAATCAAAGGGAAGAGCAAAAACAGGAGCCCAGTCATGATGCACACACCAGAGCTTGCCATGTTACCACCAATTCTTTGACAAGCACAACCCAATGCAAATTATGGTGCTTAAACTTTCACTGGACAAAAAGAAAAAAAAATGGCAAGAAGGAAAACCCCCTGGAACTTCTACAAGCTCTTAATTGGGTGTACCAATGTGCCAATAACATACTTCACCGATCTTGCCAGGATGTAAATATGCACCTTCGTAGTAGACACCTCCTCAATAGGAGTACACTTGGAATAGTAACAGTGGCTGACAAATGCCAGCAGAAAACTGGTAGAAAAGAATAAAGCCTTTCGAAACTGAAGCCACCCTATGGTTCATGTAGAGCAAAGTTCCCAGGAAATTTCTTGCCTTCGGACCATTTTTGTTGCTAGCACCAGCAGCAGCAGCAGTGGAATACGTATACCAACAATGCCAGCACCAAACGTCTTCGCAAGCGCAGGCTGGGGAGAAGCAACAAGCCAGTCACATTCTCAGGCACAGTGGGAGCAGTTCTTGCACGGCGCTCACCTCTTCTGCGAACGTGGCGGTGGAATCCGAGAAGGTCGCGGCAGCCCCGACCTCTGTGGAACGGAAGTGGCCGCAGGAGTTGTCGGAGCTGTAGGTGCTGCTGATGCTGCCGGAGGGGCTGCAGGCATGTACCTTGCAGGTGGCGGCATACGAGAAGGGGGCGATGCGTGAGACACTCTCTGTGGCAAGCCCAGAGAGCGCCTTCCTGCATGGGACGTCCTGGAGGCTGAGGAAGGCCCCGATTGTGGTGTTGAGACGGCGGCCACCACGGAGGACGAGCGGGTGCGTGCCGACGTGGGCAATGCGGAGCGGCCTGTGATCTGCAAGTATGGTGGATTATCATGCTTCAACACTTCTATTTCTTATAAGCCACAACATAGAAGCTTTAACCAATCACTTTGACCGTGACATGCACCAAGTTACAGCACACAAAAGCTTTTAGCGCAATATTAGATCAGTAGAATCATCGTTCGCTTAGTGGAATAAAGTTTCACTACCAGAAATACTCACTGATTATATACTTTAATTAGTCACGATTTTTTCTCATTTTGTAACTCAATTGTCACCGATTTCTCAGACATGTTGCGTACGCCATATCCTTTGCAACTTATCTTAAATTCACGCTAACTGTTTCAGGTACAGATGGTTGTTCTACAGTTGATGCCAGAGTTGTATTAACCAAGTTTGCTCAATAACCTCTGGGCTATCACAAACTGCATGCTTTCTTGGGCAAATGCTGCTAAGCTAGTAGTTAAAACATGTTTGCTGTCACACATCAAGATCACGAATGCTTAACAGCCTACTTGATTAAAGCAGCAAGAAATGGTTACGCTTTCCGCATTCACCAATCATACATTTTAACTATCCTATTTGCTGCTTCTGCAGCTCAACTGAGCCAAGTATGCAAGTTGACAACGATCTCTCACTTGGTCACGCTATGCATCACACTCGCCTCGGGCTGAGGGAGCTGGCTAAGGTTGTTTCGATGGCTCAACGACGATTGTTGTTGCTTGGACTGGTGGCCAGTTGCGCTGGGATTGCGAGTGCCTAGTCCATTCAGCACCCTGCTCAAGTTGGGCAGGCTCCTTCGCGTTGCACCTGCAACACAAACAGCACCCCCCTTTTTTTTTTTTCTTCAGAAAAGATACATATTGAATGCAGGTACTGCTATCACCAATGCTGCCTCATCTTGCAAAGTTCAGAAAGTCGGGTGCAACACCAATAAAATGCTACGATACACAGTATAAAAAAATAATAATATCTGGGTGTTTTTGTGCCAAATTTAGGATATGATTACGAAGCACACCATATTTGAGGGCTCCAGAAATTTTGACCATTTGGCGTTTTCTAACGTGCACTGTACACGGGCCTCCAACATTTCAAATGCATCGAAAAGCGACCACTGCTGCCGGGTTGTACCCGCACTCTTCGAGCCGACAGCCAAGCACTGCAACCTCTAAACCACCATGAGCAACTAGTATAAAGAATACTGTACTTGACATCAACCTCAATGACAGCACGACATTGCAGCATCATCAATATGTTTAGGTTTCCACATTTTCTCTGGGATAGCAGCAAAATTATAAAGCACTGGTGTAAAGTTATACCAAAAGAGACACCGTCACTAGCATAGTATTACCACACCGGCAATGACATGGTAATGTGCAGCTTGGCCTGCCCCGTTATCCCACCTTTGCCAGTTTAATAATCTAGAAAGGTTCCGCAGAGCTGCTTGAAGCATAGGTCCAAGGTTGTAAGTTTACAAGTTATGATCTATCAATAAATACAACAGGGCAGCTTGCTGTCATGGTCACGATGAAACTAGCAGATAGGCAACTTGCTCATACCTTTACTTGGAATTTGAGACATCTGGTGTAGAGAAGAATTGGAGCCATACGGACTACTTCCAGGCGATGGACTCTGGTTCTCCATAGTTCGTGCCAGGGACAACGGAGGTGTGCGAAGTCGTTGCCTTGCATCACCTGTGAATCGTGGATGATCACCGTTAACCAAAAAATGCAAAGGAGAAACTCATGGGCAAGTTGAAACAAACCTTCTGCATTCTGCACCCTGCTCTGATGAACTTCGTGCTGATCATCCAAGGAGTCGTCCGGACTTGATTCAGCAACCCTACCACTAGTTGCTGCACGAAAGAGTCTCGTTAGAGAGATCTTTTAGATAAGCTTCACTTTTGAATCCACATCCCCATGCTTCAAAGGGACCCCAAAAATCAAAATAATTTCTCTGTTAGTAAACTACTCTTTCACAATTTCGAAATCTCCTTGCTTGCCGCAAGAAGACACCTGGTGAACGCAAACAGAAAAAGCACGAGGCAACGTCACCTTAAAATTTCCACGCCAAACACCATAAAATCATAGATTTTGATGGCATCTAGTATTTCGGCCTACTAGTTCCTAATCAGTAAAAATTAAGTAGATTGCCCTCTAATGGGGTCGGAGACTTTATATTTCACATTTAAGAAAATCGTGTTGAGTGAATGTTGCTGTTATATGAAAAATTCATTTTAAAATTCCCCAACATCATGGCAGAACCTTTGGTGCCTAACTTAAAAATGAGAGAGGCCTCAATTCCCTTTTCTACTATTAAAGCTGTAATGGTGAAACAACTATGGTGGGATCAACTTCAGAGGTCCATTCCTCCTCAAAGGCGGATGCACACAAGCCTGCACCAATAGGTGCGCACCCCACCCTAGACTGACGTCACGAGCCGGACGGCCAGTGACAACACATTCGGTGAACATTGCCGATTGCATGGCCAGGACACATCTTCAGCACCAGAGGTAATTGGCAATCGCGCTTTGATTGTCTAGGTGGGGCCTCTTCGGACTTCTCAAGTTGTATCTGATTATAGATTGAATTTTTTCAGAGCAAAATTTGTCAATCTAAACTGATTCATTGTATCCCATCAATGCCTCTTTAAAGCTCTATAAGAAGCCACATGCATGTCTACACAACATTATGACGCTATAATGCAGTGTATGGAATCCTATATTTAAGACACCAATATCATCAACAACAATAGTGCACCATCATGTTTCATTTCCTAGATTTTCTGCGTAACAGCAACAAAACGAAAATAATGGTTTAAAGGTAATGCAAAAGATGTAGTACAGCAGCAGGGCTTTGCAATATTTGTGCAGCAGAAGTAGTACACATTGTTTATGAATAAAATTGTGAAGAGCTAGTTTTGGAACATGACATAGTGGCACTAAAAAAAGCTGTGAGCTTGCAGTAAGCAAAGTGAACTGCCCTACAAGGATAAAAACTCAGTAGCCAGAGGTTTTGCAAACAAGCAGAAAAGAGATCGCAGAATGAAAGTCACGAATGTAACAATCCATTATCTCCCTGGTCCAAAAAGTTTGTATGGCATTAAAAAAAAAAACTAAATACGCAAGCTGTATGACTGGTTATGAAGGACAGTATGAAATGTACACACAACAACTCTTCACTTCCTTTCTTGAGAGCTAAGGGCAGTCAATCTGTATCAAACAGTGATGATAAAGTTACATGTAAGTGACTCTTTCAGCGAAGCTACAGGGTAGGTCTAACCCAAACCTTGAGCAGTCAGCCTTTACAAATTCACTTAGCAACTCGGTACTGCCTCATTTGTTTATATGGGCCACATGAAAACAGAAAAGGCAATAACACTGGCATCCAATCAGGCAAGTAGTTTACTTACTGGATGTTCGCTTCGGAGAAGATATGGGAGAGCTCAGTCTTAAACCTGAAGCAAAGAAGATGGGTTAAGAGGAAATGTTAGCAGCCTTTCAGCATTTTTAACACACTGTTTCAACAACCAGGGCAATGTATTAAGAAGCACTTGCCGAGGTGGTTAACAGGTTATTGCAGATTACTAACTAGAATGCAGAAAAATAGCGCATTTAGGAAATTTTGAGCTAATGTGGTAAGCACTAGAGCACATCAGAATGGCAATCACTCATGTAACTAACAGGATAAATGGTTTCATAATTGTCCTTATCAGACTTTCATTAACAAGCAAGTTCCTTGCAAAGAGATATATGAGCACTCCTAGCACCTGCATATGGCAAGAGACTTTTAGCTGGAAACAAGCGCAAAAAGCATGGAGCTTTTCCTGTATGTAGTATTACAAAACGTGTAACAAAAGTGCCAGACATGAATCGAGTGAGACTAACACTATCGACACTCACTCTCTTCCTGAAGTCGAGCGATCTCGTGAACACTGACAGGTGCACGGGGTAAAGTTTGTGATGGGACCACTGGTGGCACGGAACTATTTGGCGAGGCCTCCTCCTGGCTTGGCGACACAACTTCCGGGCTAGCCACTGGCTGTACGGCTGGCCGAACGGGCAACTCCCTCGGTGATCCTGCTTCCACAGCGGCAATCGTCGGCATGGCCTCCAGGTCAAGTGCGGGCCGTCTCCTCCGTGGACGCGTGAATGTGCGCGAATCAAACGTTCTGCTTGGCCCTGGAAAAGAAATGCAGTGAAATACCACTGCCTAACTAAATCCTAACTATGCTTGCCATATTGTGAGAACATCGGCTGATGGGAAGGGGGCTGAATTTTCGCATAGAGAACTAATGCGGTAGCAAGGTATATGCAAACGCTCTTAAACTTAGTCATGCAAGTTTATCAACCATGGGTTCTTTTGCCATTAAGGCTACTTTAACCCTCTGCGGTTAAAACAGCTGCAATGACCCGTGGTCGGGCACTTCTCGACAAGTTGTTTCATTGTTGATTCATCAGCAGATTTTCTAATTGCATTATGCACAATCTCTAAATGAGTCAGCTAAACTCCTTTCACTTGAGCTTTGATTTTTTTTTAGTTTCAGACCAGCATGGATAGGAAGTAGGGTAAAGGTGTTGGACAGCAAAGGGCACAGCACCACTAAGTGATACAATCAGGGCCGTAACTAGAGGGAGGTTGAGGGGGTTCTGACACCCACCCCAAATTTTTTAATGCCTTAACTTCTCAGGTGATACTGAAGTGTTTAAACGCCTTCACATCGACCACCAATAGCCAAAGTTGGCCGTTCTACACGAAAACACCCCCCGAAAAAAAAAAATTCGAAGTATACGCTACGTAGATGACCACACTCATTGAAATGTAAATAGAAGCAGGCGAATAATAGCAGAGCCTTAGATAACTGTGCTAAGTGCCTGACATCTGAAGCCTGTACCTAGACGCTGCAAAGGATAGTTTTACACACCAACTCTAGCAAATTTTTTCTTATGTCTTTCAAACATGGTCGCATTATGCAACACTCGCTAGCATACATGAACAATTTACACAACATTAATGCTAGGGGATGTTTTATCCCTTCAAACTTAGCCTTGTTAAATAAAACTAATCATTAAACAGTATATATTTTGAAGTAAGCAAGGCTTCAAAGATACTCCAAGCATGCTGTAAGATTGAATGATACATGTAGGTAGCACAATGCAGTCCTAATTTCTAGTTCTCAGAGCATAACAAATCAAACAGTGCTTGGCATGAGCACATTCTTTTAATGCAACAACAAAACTTCATTCCATATCAGGCATTGATACAGTGCTGCAGAAAAGCAACAGTGTTTAAGCGAGAAGATGACATTATCATTTCAAAACACGTTTGAGAAACCAGGCTCTAGTGAATTACAGAACAAATCACTACAGCAAAATATAACAAGTGCTTTAACCTGTACAGCCATTCAGGGCAGATCTCAACAAGTGGATTAAAGGATTCCGTGCAGCACCTCTCATGCATGGGTGCAATCATGTTGACGCAGAACATGCATCAGGGGAAAAAAAAAACAGAAACAAACCATACGAAGCATGACAAGACAACGTTGAGATTGAGTCTGGAACAAACCTGAATTGCTCTTAACACAAGATAGCATCTGTCGTAGTTTTTCGGCAGTTGACGCCACTGAAAATGCAGCATTTTCTGGGATCAGCACAACAACCAAGCGAGATAGTGATGTTCAATAAACGTTGATACGTTCACTGATATGGGGCAGGTTATTGAACTCGAAAAAACAATGCGGTATCATGTTTGCCAAGAAGCCCCACTAAGTTATTTACTAAACTTAATAGTACAATGAATAAGATATGCACAGCGTGAAACATGTTGGCGCAGGTTACTCGTGCCACCCTGCACTTCGAGCCAGTAAGACGCCTTCGTTATAATTTAGAGTCCCTCTAAATCAACGCAGCTTACCAATTACTAGAGCACACTTTGGCATGCACGATCTTTTTCGTTTTTTCGTATCGCTAACATTCGGTTAGCCGTGCAGAATATACGCTTACTGTTTTATAAAACGCGCTATGTCCACGCCCGTTAGCAGGCATCATTTATGCAAGCGTTGTCGAGACGGCAGGTATCCGGACAACGCCTAAAGCATTGCTTACACATCGAATGCAGCGCCGAAGTAAACCTCGCGTTAACACGTACGGTACAGAGAGATCGCGGGAGGAGTGACTCACATTGCGTGATTTCGTCCAACTGGTCGGACAGCGAGGGGAGAGCGCTGTTGACAGCGACGGCTTCCCTGGGCTGTACGGCCACCCTTTCACGGGTGGTGCTGGTCAGCGGAGCAGCCGTCGCCTCGCCGGCTCCCGTCTCTGGCGGCTCGTACAGCCTGCGCAAGGCCCGAAGAGCACGCGTCCATCTGTCACAACACCCGCGGCCGCCACTACGATGCAGCTGTGCATCACAATAGTGTGCAAGGACAATCAGGCATGCGGCGGACCGTGACCAAAATCCACAGAAGAGAGTTGAGGGGGCGTAGTATGGAGAGCACGCACACACACATAAGCCGCGCGCGGCGGCGTACATCTCGATTTAGAAAGCGCGCATAACAACGAAACGCGCACTCGATTGTCGCGCATCGGAAAGAGGGGTTGCTCCTAATTTGGGAAGTTCGGTCTTACCAGGTCTCGTCGTCCAGCTCGGACATAAACTCGACGTCGATGATGCCGAGGTCCTCGAGCGAGCTCTCTTTGGAGGACTTCTCATTGCCTTCGTCCGACATGCTCATGTTGAACGACTGCTTCAGGTCCTTGCTGTTGTTCTCGACCGTTTTGCAAGGGGACAAGGACCTGAGGTGCTGTTGGCTCCGGCGGAGCTGCTTGTTTTGCAGCTCCAGCTGTCGTACCTTATCCTTGAGCAGCCGCATCTCTTCCTGGGGGTCGAGCGCGAACGTGGACGACACGTCTTCCATCACGCTGTTCATGGTGTCGTCCTCGCGCTCGCGCTAAACTGCTCCCAGAGCACGCCCGTCAGCGCGGCCCAGCAGTAAACGCGGCGGCGGAAAGGAAAGATTCGGCAGGGCGGAGCACTTGCCACCATTCATCCAACTGGTCCGCCGGAACAGCCACAATCATTACCGCTACTTTTTATTTGCATTATGCGAAGATGACGAAAGGACGACGAAGACCCGAAACACGCCGAAACGGTTTCGATCGCCTTAGGGACTCGAAATCAAAAAAGTGTATCATCCTGAAAAAAAAAAACACATTACAATAATTATTCATGCTATTCGTGCCGTAGCTCAGTCTATATGCGCGTTACATGACGTACTTATTCCAGTGCTTGTTCTCGTTCATTGTTTGTTTACTGTAGGTATCTCGAAGGCCATGCAACGTTAGGCGTAGTTTAGAAATTGTTTACGTCAAAAAGAAACTGTGGCGCTGCAATTGTATTAGTTTCGGTTTCGTCAGACCAACGCCTCCTTTGGTCAGACGGTCGTGTTGAAGTATTAGTACAGTGTCTAGTATATTTCTAGACACTGTAGCATTAGATAAATCTCCACCCTATAGAAGCTTTGGTATGATCGACATCGTGAGCTGACCAGAAAGAAAGAAGGGTAAACGTGGGAAAGGAATTAATCAGGCGAGTGTTAGATTTGCTACCCCATTCTCGTCCCGTGAATGGAAATGGGGATCATGAAGAAAAAAGAGCGAGAAAGAACACATGCACACACTGGTGGTAGAGGTGGAAAAAGAAGAATGGAAACGTAGGGATAAGCTTCAAAGATCTTTTGGGCGACAAAACAAACAAATAGTTGTTGGGCCAGTTGGTAATCTTGCGTACAGGTGAGCGAGAACGCTGCTTCTGCAATACCCTGTGCAAGAGGGATAAGCTCCTTGAACTGGATAGGGGTCTGGTTTGCTCCTTTAAACAGAGGAAGAAGTGAAAAAAAAAAAAAAAAAAAAGACTGAGCTGCTTGAGCGAAACCAAATGTTGTCACAAATGGTGCCACAGGTTGGGCCCTATTTCTGCATTTTGGGTACTGAACTCAAGATCTTGGTTTACTGCTCATCGAAACAGGGACAATGAAAAAGACAAACTTGCAGACGTCTTGATCTCTTTTTACGATGGTACCAGTTTGCGTTTGTGCACTACATCAGGGTCATTTCGTCAGGACCAACTAGCTGAATTTCGCTAGCCAATCATGGCTGCCTTGAAGTATATTCTAGACACTATAGTTGAGCAGTTCAAGTCAGTGAAAGATTTTGACAATAAAACCATTCTGTGTGGCAAAACACATACAACAGAAACCTATCAGTCACTGAAGCAATTAATCTACATGCAGACATGTAGGGTAAGAAACGAAATGAAAAACAAATCAAACCTACAGGAAGTCATTTCTGAATAGCTCTGTCCCAAATAGGCAAATACAGTCGACTCTCGTGAATGCAAACTTAATTGGAGACCCTTGAATTTTGTTTGAATTACCAAGAAGTTCTCACATATGATTCTAGGCAAGGTGACACCACATGTCATGATTAAGCTGTCAGAAATTTTTCCACGGTTCGTTATGATTATACATAAGCATGCAAATTTTCAAATAGTTACGGGAAAGTGGTTAGAGATTTTCTGGTATGGATATACAAAAAGTATGAATTGACCAAATGATGTAGTTTGAATTAAGCATCTTTTGAATGTATTAAAAGCACAGCTGGCTCACCGAAAATTTGAAGTTTGTCTCAACCAACGGAAAGTACGAATTGAAAAGGGCTTGAATTATCTAGAGTCAACGATTTGTAGCCAATTCAAACGACCAAGTGGGAGTATTTGCATGTAGCATGACCCTCAGAATTAAACATCTGTTTATGCTTTTTGGTGCCACATAAACCTGCATCAATGTAGCCGAGTGCCCGTTTTTCCACCTCCAGTGTAGCCAGGATGAAGTGCAGCTATAAGACTGTCAACTTTGCATAATAATAGTTCAATAAGTTTCCCTTTTCTGTGAATGTTTCCCATCTGAAACAGATGCAGTTAAACCTACAAGCATGTGTATGCTATGATTTGAGCAGTAGCACTACAGCAGCACATAGGTAAGACTTATTTGCTTATCTATAAATAATCATGTTGCGTAATAAATTAAACATGACTAGAAAAAGTGTGGCAATATTTTTCACAGAGAACAGCAGTGTAAAAAGTGTACTATTTAAGTCGAATTGATTCCACTGGAGTCTTCATCCTTTGTTTTCTCGCTGACCAATGGTCCCTTCTTGTGTAACAAATACAGAATGAGTGCAACAGTGATCTGTGAACGTTAATGTATGTCCCTATATGCCTTCATGTTAATTTTCTAGTAAGTGTAGACGAAGGTGTACTTGACTGGCTATGCACTTTTTTTCAGTCCAAACATGAGATATCAAGGAAATTTAATAACCTACTATGCCTTTATGTACACTGTAACCTACTATGCCTTTATGTACACTGTTTGCATGACTTAATAGACAAACAATGCTATTTCGTCAAAATGCAGAGCAAGTTGGTACTTACCTCGTTTATGAAGCAAACATTCATCAAAAACTTATTATTGACCATGTTGCTAATCAATTAGAGGCTTGAAGCCAACTGATGTGCAGGCACCAGTCAATTCTAGGTACCATTATTACACCGAAAACGTGATCAAAGATTTACACTCAAAAGTAATCTATTACTTCCTCATTAGTACTATACTCCCAACCTTCATTAAAGTGCACAAAATGCAGTAAATTGGACAAGCTGGTCTAGCTATATTCCATTGCACCTTCTAAAGCCTTTAACATATTGTCTCAAGTCGCTTCAAATTGCTATACAAAATTTTTGTCAGCCATCTTTCCTTTTTCGTTTGTGAAGCCATCAGCAGCAGCGACACTGAAAACTGAAACTGAACACCAAGAAATGGGCATCAAGAACAGTTTTCACATTGCAACAGTAACATAGCTGAAAAAAAAACAAACAACTACACTCAAATTATTTCATTAAATTTGGAATTTCATGAAATTGAGAAATATTTTTGGATCTTTGAAATATAAAATTGCAACACAGTGATACCTAAAATCTGCTGTGTCACTATATTTCCCATGAACCGATGACTGCACATGTCAAAAGACTGTGAGGGAGACTCCATATCCAGGTGATACATGAAGATAGGAGAAGCTTTATAAAAACTTCTTGGGCTAGTTGGTGCATGTTACAAGAAAATTAGACGCTCTTTCCTTTCGCCTGTTTTACCCTGGTAAACCACTTCACCTAATTTTCTTTTAGCTAGGAGAGACTTCCAATATGAGAAGATGTGAAGAATCAATGCAGCGACTGAGCGAGCCGGCCAGGCTAGAAAGTTGTAAGGGGATGATTAATGCTATCGATCGCATCACCCTTGAAATAAGGTATGCAGCCCTTAGAGCAATCTGGCACACAAGTTTGGATTGATAACAGATTGCACCCTATGGACACTTGTCAGAGAATGGGAATTTTTGCTTTAGATTAGAAACTGCGTAAAAACAGGTTTCATTAGATCCAGTTAAACTCTAAAGTTCTTGCACATATTTTCATGGATGTGGAACTATTTTATGAAATAAAATGGATTTATAGTTAGGGTACTAATAGCAACAATTTATTTGCATAACAAATGCACATGTAATGGTCTGGCAGTGCACCTTCTTTATACAATAAATGCATGAGGTTCCATCACCTTGTAGCAGCTTGGGTGACAGAAATTTACACATTATATTTAAGCGTCAGCACTAAGGTCTAAAGCCTCTACTGTCATTTGAATAAAAGATGCAGTGTTTTCAGTGTTTGCCATAAATTAAAATATGCATGATGAGAGTCATCAGTACAGATACAAAAGCCAAAACAAATAAATCAAACATCATTATAAATATTGCTGATGCGTGGGTCAATCTAAACAGTACATTTAGCATTTTCACACATATGTTACCACATAACAAGCAAAAAGTTGTAAAGGACATTGGCATGGCGATGTATGCCAAACAACATGCTCTAACAGTCACAAAAATTTACAGATTGCTAGGCTTGAACACAAACAGCTACATACAAAATTTTAAAGTGTTTATCATTTCCTGATAGTTCTACCATAATTAGATAATATTATATAATTTTCTGATGCTTTTATCATAATTAGATAACAGTCTATCATTTCATGATGGTTTTACCGTAATTAGATAACAGTATATTATTTCCTGATGGTTTTATCATAACTAGATAACAGTATACCATTTCTTGATGGTTTTACCACGAATAGATACCAGTCTATCATTTCCTGATGGTTTTCCCATAACTAGATAACAGTTATTAGACAGTTACACTGTAGAAGTAACGATCCATCTTCAGACAAGTGCAGCAATCTTTGGCAACATTATAATTTCCTCTTACCTCAAAAGTAGGGAAATTTACTAATGAATATTGTGCAGCAATAACAGGGCATTGTTCATGCCGCTTACAGCAAACGATACTATGCACATGGCTTAACTGCCACAAGCTTCAATGAATTCTGGCCGGTATGCTTACAAATAGCACTTTTGGATACCACTTCTCCTATAAGATAATGAACACTACAACATGAGCACATGGTGAATAATGCTGAGATACATATATCGATGAGCACAAATGTGCCCAGCAGGCACAATGGCTAGGTGATTTCAAAAGTTCTCTCCTTTGGATAACATGCGGCTGAATTTGCAGTTTATGAACTGCTTTGCATCAAATAGGCAACAATAACTATACAGACTGAGACAAACACAAGGCAGTGAAGGCACTCACCAAACGTTGCTTTACAAGCATCAAGCTGCATTTTATGCACAAGACAAACTTTAACATAAAAAACATTTAAGGCTCGCACGTCTCTTCACAGAAGGGCAAATTACACTGTAGTTAGCACCATTCTTCAAGGTTAACGACACAGGCGAGTTGTTTTATTTTATTAATAAAAAAGAGAGCGTGAGAATGGAAGGAGGGCGAAGCATGGGGCATCGACTGTCACAGACGTTCATATGCAGGTCAACGCCCTAAGCTGCAGTGCTTGTCTTGTTTTCGTACCTTTTAATCATTGCAATAACCATCAGAAAGAATTGTAAGAACATTGTAATTTGATACATTATTCCAACAGTACAAGTGTTTACAAAAAGTTGAAAACATGTGGTTGCTACCTTTAATGATTAAGGCATTTCCGCAGTGGCTTAGAGCTATTCAAAATCAATTTGTGAGCTTGGACACAACATGAACACAATGCAGGAAGCACGTACAATCCTTCCTTCCTCAGTGTGATGCAGTGCCGGACATGACATTGCGGCTTAAGAAAGATGCAGAATTCGGATTCGGGGGGTTTCAGCCCTCGATGGGGCTGGTAATCCACGTCAAAATGCTCATTACGAATGGTCGCGCGATGTGCTCAGTGCTTCATCTTTTCCAAGATGGGGAGTATCATCTCAAAGGTAGGCCTCTTGCCCGGGTCTTCATTCATGCAGATACGAATGAGCCGGCTCATGTGAGGAGAGATCCCCGGCGGAATGGTCACTCGCAGCTCTTCCAGAGCGACCTACGAGAGAAATGTGCAATCCTTGAGCACAAGTACGTTTGAGGTACAGCAATGCGAATTGAAGCACAACATTTTTTTAGTATAACTACGATGACCTCGTGATAACTGCATCATGTCTCTACAAATCTCGCTACTAAAAGTAATGTTAGCCCTTATACAGGTGTTAAAATAAAAATAAAGACGATATAGCATAAACCGTAAATGCTGGAAATAAAAGTATGAGCACTGCTTAACCATAAACTATTGCATTTCATTCCGCGAGTACTGTAGATTCTATAAAGGCACAATAATCTCAACATATACTAAGAAGTGACATACGTCACTCGTGCAAAGACTCAGAATCAGGTGTAGACATGAAATGTTCTTAGCATTATGTTAGCGTCTTGTTTCACTGTATTCATCTGTACTGTACTGTATCTGCAGGTGCTATAAATAGTACTTCAGTTAAGAGTGCATTTTAGAAAGAAGCTCGAGTTTCACAGCCAACTTTTATACCCCTGAGCATGCAAGGAGCACTGAGCAAGTTGGAATGGATTTATGATGGCCTACGCAAATACAAAGTGGTAATAAAAAGTAAAGAGGGTGCAAGTTCTTGTTTTTTCATAACATTTCCCTTATCTCCCACCTCTTTGTTGTGCAAATTGACCTTCCATGCGTTATCTACTTATACACACGTGAAATGCAGAAATATCCTCATTAAAGATGGACCTATAATAAGAATATGTATGGCGACAATAAAACAAATCGAAGGGCGCTTGAGCTTCGCCTTTATGAGCAGATCGCGATAGCATAATCGGGACTCGTGTTTCAAAGTATGATTGAATGCCCATTGTAAGCACACTAGTTAAACGCCCACTACATTATAATCATTTCTTTTGCGAATCAGCAAAGGGCCCACTACGCATCACGCAGCTGTTCACTCTGTCGGTGCTTCTACTGATGCTGATGATTAAATATGTCCGAGTGCTTTGTAATAAGTGAGCCTTGCTCAATGCACATCTTTTCACGCCTGGCACGATTCTATGCTTCTTCCATGCAACATATGATGCATTAAGGATATGACATTAATATATTGTTTTTTCCAAAGCACTTTTAACAACTCTCGCGACTCTGTGGTAGAACACCCGCGTGCCACGCACATAGTCTGGGTTTGATCCTCACTTGGACCCAGAAGTATTTATTATTATTTTATTTGCATCTTCCTTGATATTTCGGTCACGGACAAGATGAGAATTTACACTCGCAACCTACGACACTCCTGCTAAGGTTGACAATGCTGCCTGAGTTTTTACCAGACAAGCTCTGCGAGAGAATTTCTGTGAGACAATTTTTGTGGGACATAATTAACTGGTACATGTGTTGTTAACGCTATTGTGTATAGTTACAAATGTTCCACAGTTTGAGTCTACAACGTGAAGCAAATGTGGCAGCTCTCTCGACCTGCAGCCTTTATGGTAGGCTTGTCTCGAATCATTTGTCGGTGCAGCAAGTCAACACTGCTGTGACACAGGAAGTTCATGTCTGATATACATATTAGCAAGAGTGTTGGCTCCACCAGCGTATATTTCTCACCTGCTGTTAATTTAGCAATATTTTATAGTTTGCATAATGCACGAACTAAGAAAACTTTCTTTTTTTTACAAAACTCTAAGCAGCTCCCTGCTCTGGCACTGAAAAAAAAAAAACAGACAACAATCAGCTTAACAGCTTCCACATCATTACCACTCACAACACAAAATTATCTGAAAAAAAAAAAAAAAATGTGCGACACTTCCCAAGCAAGTAACAGTGGTCTTGTTAGTACAAGCAGAATAACTGGGAGGACAAAACAGTAAGGTTGCGGCCTATTGCTACCTTCATGCCAATTTCCATTGGAGATAGGTCAGCAAATGGAACCTGGCGGGTCGCCAACTCCCACAGCAGTATGGCGAAGCTCCACATGTCGGCCGCTTTCCAGTTCATCTCGTCCTGTTTCTTCTGCAAGGCTGCAATGATTGTAGCAGAAGTAAGTGGCGGCAACATGAAATAAATATGCAATGGTAAAATACTGTACGCAACAAACAAGCCAGGAGTTTTACATGAAGACAAACTGACTAGAGAAGATCGGTAAAGCTAAGACGAGGTAACTGACAACGAGCCACACGACTTTTCATACTACTGTACCTTGATGAAACTTGTAACAGCGCCAATAGGATTTGCAAATTTTCTCTGAGCACATGCAACGAAATTCCCCTCGTTATTCATACCACATTGCACTGAGTGATATTTGTGACCTGCTTGCAGCAGTAGCAATGCACCAGCAATGTACTTTATCACCAATGTACCACATTTGAGTTGGTAGGCACCGTATGATACCTGAAAATCTATGTGTTGAAACTCAAAACCGAAAAAGTTGCACTTTCTAAAATTTACAAGTGGACCTTCGGCCATGCCTTACTCACAATGCTCACACAAGGTGGGTGAAGGGCAGCAGAAGCTTTCATAATCGAGAGGCTCCATTCATTTTTTTCCTCTCTCATTTTTATTGTTAGAAAGAATTTATCTGTTTGGAATTTGAACATGTCAGCCTAAAGCAATCACCAGTACATTTTTTTTCGAACATTCGATGTCCACGCTTTTTATATTACTCTAACAGAAACATGTACAACTGGTGTAAAACTTCTATCTCAGTGATTATACAAGGCTTCATAACTAAAGGAGCGTGAAACAGGTTCAGAGCACAGCTATCACCGCAGCACTAGCCTTCGAAACAAGTTCTACCGGCACCTAAAAGTTAATTATGCATTTACACAGCTCACCTTCAGGCGAATACCAAGCAGGGTTATACATCTTTCCCCGCTCTTGGAAGGAAAACTTGGCGTCGGCCATGTTCACATAAGCAGTCATTTCCTCATCCACCTGTCAGCCATGAGACAAACAAGAATGTGATTTGCCTTCACTTATCCCTTCATCACGAGAGCATAAAACACGTACTGATATAAAGATGACATGTCAAACAACCAAAACGAACTGACATCACACTCTTTCCTCAGTGATTTTAGAGTAAATACCTATTAGCACCCCCCCCCCCCCTCCAAAAAAATTAATTTTCCGTATATATTGTGACGATGTGGGATCCAAGAGCACACGAAGAACGACGAACAAATACGCTTTATCGATCACAAGAAAAGCCTGCAATGTCTTCTTCGTCTGTTTGCTCAATTAAGGATACCCGCGCTGCTTCGTTGTTGCCGCCACTGGCATATACGCACGGCATTATTCCCCTTAAAAAAAAACATCGCTCCAATGTTAAATGTGCGGGATGCAAGGTAAATCTAATACTGCACAGTTAGTCACTGAAAGTAAGGATTCACTGAAAGTAAGACCCGGCACTCTATGTTCTGTTTTCCCATCTTGATGCTCCACCACAGGCTAGCCAACTAATGCTACCACCGTGGCTATGGCTGGATAGGTATGGCCACCACAGGCTAGCCAATTAGTGCTACCACAGTGGCTATGGATGGATAGGTATGGCTAGTTCAGATTTTAACTTGCATCACCTACTTAGGTTTGACTAACCGCTACCGTAGTCCTTAAATAATTGGATGTGGTCATAATATGTACTCACCATGACATGCTTGCTGCTCAGTTGATAGTTTGGAATCATGGGCTCGAGGGTGTGAAGGAAGGCCATGCCGCGAGCAACGTCAATGGCAAACTTGAGTGCCTGCGCCTGGTCCACTACCATTCCTGTGAGAGATGAGGCAGATATATTGTATTCCAGATAACTGCTATCAGCTAATCAAGGAGGATGCACATCATTGAAGAGGCATGCACATCAGCAGTTCAAGATGATGTGGCAGTGGCTTGCAGGGCAAAGAACACACACACACGCAATGCACTTGGGAAGAGGCACAACTTAGCGGTTGTCCTAATTTAATTTTCAACCGGTTTCAACCGGTGGACCGATCTTTGTCAGGGTTTACGAACAAGTGTGACACTATGCAAGCATCCCAAATCGACGTGGTTGAAAAAAAAAAATGGGGGAGCAATAATACATAATTTATTGCTCTCTCCCTTTCCTTTATTCAACCAGTGAAGACAGTGGAAAATAAAATTAAGACAACCGCTAAGTTGTGCCTCTATATAAGTTGTGCCCTCACCCCCAGTAAAGTTGCTTATGCTTCATGGCACCCATGCATCACATAAAGTTGCTTTCGCTTCATGGCACTAATGCATCGCCGTTAGTATAGGTAGCTTTGTCGTCTAGTGAGATACCGCTGTGCTCACACGATAGTTCCAGACCTGCCACCTGGTGGGAATGAGGTTACACGGGCGCATAAGTACGAGCTCACTCTCTCTTTTTTGGGGATTGGCGCACGGACGCGAATGGACATCTTTTGTGGAATGTTCATGGATGCGATACCACTGCTCGTGCCTGTAGACTCCCACGGCAAGTTGTACGTAGGTGACGCTGCATTTGCATTACATTATACGTTTTATCCTGTTTGTGTATTGTACCGACATTATGTTATACTATATGTCACATTACTAGTTATTTATAGGATTCGGCTGGTGAGCTTGCCATTACGTAAAAGCAGTTGGTGAATGTCCACTTGTTTGTTTGCACTGCAGCCTGGCTGTGTATATACTCTATAGGTGCAAATCATTTTGATGCCCCACAACATAAATGTGAAAAACATAATTTTTTTACACAGCTAAAAAAGTGCATGCTTGTGGACAAACTCGGGCTGTGGTTCAATGAAATCCAAGCGCCATGTTTGTGCACAGTTGTGTTTTCAAGTACATACCTGTCGAGCCATGCAAGATGTCAAAGAGAGAGCCGTGAGGCAGGTACTGCTGCACAACAATCAAGTGCGGAGGACGGTTGACGCAGCCGATGACTGGAAGGACATTCGGGTGTGAGAAAATGCGCAGCCGCGGGTACTGGTCATTGAAGTCTCGGGAGATGCGCGGCGTCACTTCACCCACTTTGAGGATCTTGGCTATAATGTCATTTCCCTGCCATGAACCCTTCCAAGTCTGCACAAGGAAGAACAGTGGACTGTCTTGCAAATGTGTCAAATTCACGCAACGTTATTAAAACCCAACAGATCCAAGAAATTACTATCCAACAAACAAGACGAAGTAATATATTGTTTTGGGCAACTCTGTGTGATTAATTGGAATTAGCATGTAATATATATATATTATCATTACACAGTCAGCATGGTTTCATTATTAAATCAAAAGAATAAAATCGTCTCAAAATGCACGCACAACTGGTTCGGGGTGTATTATTTCAACCAAAGAAAGACGATATTTTTTTGTTGCTAAATCTGAAATACCACACATTGAACAACCAGCCTAATATTGTAGTGTGTTCACCGAAGTGATCAAGACCCATTCACTACACAAAAGGTTCAGTTCATCCTAAGTGCTATGTGCCCTGCCTTTTCTTGGCCACTTGCCCAAAGAACTTATCAAAAACAAGCTGTGTCCATATATGTGGACATTGCACCTGAAGGAGATCAGCTGTCACCGATTTGTCACAATTCAAGTGCCTCATGGCCAGAGATCTTTCATTCAAATAGTAAGAGTGCAAATTATCAGCATTTTAGAATATATGAAGGCTGTAGGCTTTTCAAGCCAAAATGAGGGACTGATTTTAAAACATGACATAACAGGGAACACTAACCTAATTGTGCTGGATATGCAATGACCTTATTGTGATATTTTTTTTAGTGCGACGTTTGTCAACAAATGCAGTAATTGATATGTGGGGTTTAACATCTGAAAACCACCATATGATTATGAGAGACGCCGTAGTGGAGGGCTCTGGAAATTTCGACCACCTGGTGTTCTTTAACGTGCACCCAAATCTGAGCACACGTGCCTACAACATTTCCGCCTACATCGGAAATGCAGCCGCCGCAGCCGGGATTCGATCCCATGACCTGCGGGTCAGCAGCCGAGTACCTTGGCCACTAGACCACCGTGGCAGGGCCAACAAATGCAGTAGCCAGAATATAGCATGCAAACACTACTAACTAGAAATGCATGATGAATAAAATCACCTCGCTAAAGATATGGTCACTAAAGGTGATGTAGACTGAAATGTGTAAAAGTTAATAGTTAAGATGAGTCACAGTGAACTGGAGATGGTGCAAAGTAAAGTATGCACATCAGTCAGTCCTAAAATGACACACTCCATTCTACGGTTATAGAGAGCATCACCAAATAAACATGGTGTCGTGAACCATATATTGGCAATAAAACTGGAAACCAACATGAGAAAGACTGCTACCCAACCAATGCTCCCTAACGATTCGACAAATCTAGGCTACCATTATTCAGGACAGTCTACCAAAAAGAAACAATGTTGTATCGAATATCTAATCAACTCTGCAACAATAGCAACATCCATGATTTTGTAGAACAAGCTAGAACTAAACACAGTTTAAAGAAAAATTTTTAGATGTACTTGCTCTCCATTACTGTGCCATTGCTTTTATGTTCCTAAAAAGGAATGAATGTGCTGTTATGTTGCCAAAAAGAAATCACAGCATTTTATGCTCCATTTTTTATTTTAAAGGTGGATGGAGGTACCGCTCTCAAACAGGTTTGATTGGCCTTTATTTCCTTCAACCGCGATGCGTCTGAATAAGCTGAAAAAAAAAAAAAAAAGTCCAGCTCACCTCTCCAGATGGTGTTGACGCAATTTGTTGAAAGAACTTGAGCTCATCCATGTTGATACCCGAGTGCCTTGAAAGAGTAGCATCCCCTGAAGCAAAGCGGTAACAAGAAAAAAAAAATGCATGTTTCAAAGTACGCTATTATCACTACTATGTCCGCAATGCCTTTTTTTAAGCCTCTGCTTTCCCAATGTTATCAGTGTTATATCGCCTCTGTAATCGCTCCTGGCTTTATTTCTCAAACTCTATCATCACGCTTAAGAACAACCATAACTTACTTCCCCTCACAATCACAAAACACTATAACTGTGCAGCTTTTAGCGATACCGTTCTCTTGTAGCATCGGGTTGGACAATGCTGCACCCTGGGAGCTGGTGTAACAAATGCTGGTTGATGTTAAATGTATGTCATTTAAAATAGTGATACCTAAGCTGTGCCTGAACCACAGATACATATATTAGTGTGCTAGTTGTCATACACAGGCACCACCAAATTTACCACACACAAGTAGTAGCTGGCACTGATAAATGGTTCACTTTAAGCTTCACATGGTTACACTGGCTACCCATCTGCCCATTATAACCATGATTTGGCAATGTTACATATAGTCCACTAGATATTCACATCTTTTCACGGTTTGCATAATTTGCTCTCTCATGAACGTGCCATCACACAGACAAGCAAAGACACCATGAGTTAAAATTCAGCAGGCTGCGGAACTTGCGAGAAAGGCAGCATGCTGCTACATGGTGATGTGTCCGATGACGTAAGGGCAACACACTTGGAGTTAAGCAGTAACTTCATTGTGACTTGCACTTTCATATCCACAAAAAACACACAAACGTGTGTGACAGTCATTATTAACTGCACACAAGTCCCATTATATAAGTAGAGCAAAAAAGTAGCTATTTTCCAGCACTTAACTCATTTTACTGCCTATCTCCTTTCCCTTTACAATGTAAGCATCGCTTCAAAGTGCAGCTTCAGTTACCGAATAAAGTAAATCAGCAAACAAGTGAGCATAGAGCAGTTAATAATAATAATAATAATTGTTAAGGTTTAACACCCCACAACCACCATACAGTCAAGAGAGACACTGTAGTGGAGGGCTCCAGGAATTTCGACTACCTGGGGTTCTTTAACGAGCACCTAAATCTAAGCACACGAGCCTACAGGCGTTTTTGTCTCCATCGAACATGTGCGACAGGGATTTGGTCCTGCAACATGCGGGTCAGCAGCCGAGTGCTTTAACCACTAGACCACCATGGCGGGTGCGTAGTGTGGTCAAGTGAGGATAAAAACAGAGTGAGGCAATACAACAAACAAATGGGAAATAAAAACCTCAAATGCTGAAGCATTATTATCAAAAATGTTGAAATACATTGGAAATAATTTGTTAAATGTTCCAAGAATTGCGGACAGGACACGAAAAGTAAAGAGTACACTTACTTGTCCTTGTTTTGGTGCCGAGCCAGTTTTGATCTTTGTAGTAAATTTTTTTCAAATCCTGGCCGGCTTGTTCAGCCACTTCTGCACCACAGGAAACAACATTTGATCATTTTAGACAGCCATTTATATGTAGGCTATAATGAAACGTGAATAAGAAACAGACCTTACAGCTTATTCTCTTTTCAGCATTCATATGTGTGAGTGTGTACAACACCTGATGAGCCACTGGTGTACCCAAGTTCAGAGGTTAGCAGATTCTTAGCTTTGTACATATCAGTATTCCACATAACAGTGAGTCAGTTATGCTGAAGATGCATGTCACTTAGCTTCTCACTGATTCTGTATTCTAGACTGGACTTACAGGTATTATAAATTTTAAACTGTGCCCTATCAAACAGCCAAAGTGTGCAAGCTCACCTCTCAGGCGAATCCCCATGTGACCTTTACACTTATCGAGTGGCGTTTCCCCATACTTGTTTGCAATAGACACCAAGGCACCGCTGGCAATTAGGTCCTGCAGACACACACAGTAAAAAGAATTGCTGTCACAACTTGTGGCTTATACACCTTCAGTCAAATACATGCTAGAAGTGTAGTTGCCAGTACTTCCAAACTTAGTGGGACAGTCACGACCTTAGAGTAAACGTCCTATGTGCTCACTTGGCCAAGGATGAACTGCAAACATCTCCACGCTACAATTTTTTCGTATAATGAATAGAAAAAAAAATTACAAAAATTTGCATTTTTATACCCTGACAGCTTGGTTGCAACTGTGCTGCAATGCAATAACTAAAGTTTATTTAGCAGTTGTATTAGTAGCTGCATTAGCTAGGAAACTACTGTGCTCTTCTTGATTTAAATGGCAATTTTGTCAAAATAAGGGCAATTAGCTAGGTTGCACATGCAGATGGCAGCCATAACAGTATGTCCAGACTGCCTCAACTTGTGGGTGAGCAACTTAAGCTAGAAAGTGTCATCCATGTAACTACAACAACAACAACAACAACAAAAACCTCAATAATACGGAAAGGACTGCGCTGGTCCTTGTGTTCCCTTCTTCTGTGTCCTTGTGTGTGTGCGCAAAAACTTCAATTATGCAACAAAAACCTGCCAGAAAACAAAATAAGAGATAAGCACAAATGTACTCAGTCAAAATGTATTCAAGAACTTGCCTCTGCTATTGCTTGGTAACCCCAGAAGCAAGCGTAATGAAGTGGTGTGTTTCCATGCTCATTGATGGCATTCACATCCATTTTGCGTTTGAGCAGCTGCGAAAAAGAAAGAATAGTGTGACCAGAGCAAATGTGGAAAAAACCAAACAAGAGAGCTAAAGAATAGTGTCACAAGATGACCAGGAATCATAACAGCTCGAGTACAAAACGAGCCTCATTATTAAAGAATACACAGGCCATATCCTCTGGCATACAGACTACTACTTTTATGGCCTGTCCACAGATCCAAAGGCCACACAGCAGGATTTCGAATGTGACATTCATTTGATAACTGTGCTTTACCAGAAGCCCAAGTTGATAGCCTTTAAAGAATAATAATAATATTTGATGGGGTGTAATGTCCCAAGACAACCATGTGATTATTCAACTACCCCTGCATGCTTTTGCCACACAGAAGCATAAAAAAGAAAGTTACCAGACTTCATGTTCCCAGAGCACTGGGCCAATTTACTGCAGCAGAGGTTAACCAGTGCCATAGCATTGTGCAAGGCTCCTGCCATTCAATGCACAATAACTCCATGACGATAGGGGTAAGATAATATCGTTGTTGTAATGTAATGAACAGAACAACCACCATTTCAACTACTACAAGGGATTGTTCTCACAGTAAGATGTTGTATGAAGCATATGCCCAACATGCTAATCAAATCATACATAGGCAATGAAACAATGGTGCACACCATAATACAATGGTACAGACAATAAAGATGAACAAAGAAAACTGTGTGTTGAGTACTGCAGTGCTGAACAAGTAACATCTGCCATTGCTGCTTCCTTGTGTTGACAGTGAGGATTCTCAGCTATATGCTAAAGGATTTATAATTTTCATGCATGCAAACAAGCTGATGCAACCATTTTCATTGTTCATTCCTTAATGAAAACCTCTCATAAAGTGCATTATGTTTTCACAACAGCAAAGTATAATTAATAGGCAATACAGAAATCAGAAGAGGTGCCATTTCTACATACATATACGAACAACATAAACACTTAGATTTAAAGAATTACTACCTTATCGCAACTATTACACTAATATTTGCATGTATTACAATAATGCCTGATGTAGCACTTCAGAGTCATACATGTTACCTTCAATTCAGTCATGGTGATTACCCCCCCCCCCCCCCCAGTATTCTGCCCTTTTTTTATCAAATGTTACAAACTAATTTAGCTGGTAATGTGAAACAATGTTTCGCTTACTAATAATACATTGCATAAGAATTATATGGTTGGCCTCTGCTTCAGGCAGCTATGTAAGGCACAGCCTCTAGTTGAGCCAGGTCATGTGTGTTGGTGACTCTAGAACTTTTGCCAAAGTGCATGCACAGCAGTTAAGTCACTTACCATATGCACAATGTCACGATGCCCGTGAGCAGCTGCCAGGTGAAGTGCTGTATCGTCTCCCATGTTGGTGGCATTGACTCGTGAACCCCTTGCGATAAGCATGTCCACAATGTTTGCATGGCCCTCCTTGGCAGCCCAGTGAAGTGGACTGAAGCCATGATCATCCCTGTGATAGCAATATTTTTTTTTTTTGCAATCACCGTGTAAACAAAGGGAAGTTATGTTAATTGAAAAGTGAAAGCACTGTGGCAAAGTTGCACTTAGGGAACTGACTGAACAGAAAAATAAATTGTAGAATATTCACTATAGTGGCGCTCAAGAAAAGAACAGCACACGTTTTTAAGCTTTTTTTTTTTTTCGTTTGAGCTGCTCTAAACGTCTGTGCAGCACACATCACATACAGATTGAAAAAAAAAAAAATGTTACACAACTATCTAGCAGCGACTTTTGCGCGAACTGATTTTGCATAACAGAACACTGTCAAGCTCACACAAACAAGGGCAGAGAGACAGGTTGACAATCCAAGCACTTAATAAACAGGTAATTCAAACAGTTTCTGCCAGATATCGGAATAGGCTTTTTTTTTTTCATCTCTTCAGAAGGGCACAGATTTATCAGTTCCAAATTTGCTGGAACATATAGGCGAGCAAAAGGTGTCACGCACGAATTTCGCGACGTAGGTGTATCACGCCGCCACCGCCAAAAAAGGAACTGACCTCAAAATCTCGGTATCCGTCAAACACGGGGAATACGCGCGTATTACCAAACAGCAAGTGGTCTAATCCTGTCTTGGGGATTCAAGAGAATCTGCTACGCTCGGGATCACGGTGGTCGGGACGCACGGAAGTCGACGTGAACGCAAACATCGACTCACCCCTGATTCATGTCATGTTCGGTGTCGTCAAGCCACACGCGCACTTGGAACGCGTTCCCTTCCCGACACCAATGAAATATGTCCTCCATCGCAGCGGGTTTACTCGTTCACCTAGAAACAAAGCCATCTGTTAGAACTGTGTGACAGATCAAAACTCATCCAATAACAGCATGCGAAAGTACACTGTTCTAGCTGAGAGGCCAGCAGCGCTGCACAAGCAGACAGCAAAGGCCGACAGCGATCGCCAAGGGGTTCTTTGCTCGGCGATCTTTAGTTGCAAACCTTCAGCTGCTTAGCAGAGAGTCCCTGTTTCCATGAACCGCATCAGCGACAGCGAAGTAATGACAAACTAACTCACCTATGCTAAAGAAACTGTATCGTACACGCCCAGTCTCAGAACAACATCCATTTACGGAGTCAACCGGAAAGGCGAACTACCATCACGGAAGTGCAAGTGGAGTAACTGTTTCAAACATGGCAGGCTTGTCTCGTTTTACCTCTTGATTGGCGCATGCAGGATGTGAAAGTATTGCCTTTGAGATTTGTGTTTCAAAAGTTTCGAACTTCACCTTTACATGAATACGTTAAAGTTATAAAGTTTGAGCCATATATTTTAAATAAAGTTTTTAACCTAACTAAAAACAATACAATTCAACAGCTAAAGTGAATCAGTAAATGCGTTGCGATTGCGTGTTAAGCTAAGTGTTTTATGGTTTTAGTCATACTTCAGCGGCTCCCTCTGCACGCAATCTGCAGAAAATACATCGCGCCAGTCAGCTCGCCGATTAGCGACTCTTCCCACTTTTGTTTTCGCGGAGAATTTGTTGCTACCGCATAATTCCAAGCCCGGGCTGCGTCTTCACCGCTGGCTGCCGCCAACAATGTTCTCCAGATTGTGAGAGGTGAGGAAAATATCTCCGAGATTATCAGAGACAACGACAAGCTCATTCAGTGATCGCGCCGAGAATGTTTGTCAACTCTGCCGACGTTTTGCGCGTCGCTGCTTCTCTCGATTCGCGGTATGTGTTTCAATATTTTTTGATCGTGTGGCAGCCGTCAGCACTGACAGTACCCACCTTATTGGTCACCACTTCTCCTACAGGAAAAATAATAATAAAATAATCGCTGTTGTGTACCACGGATAGTGACCTCTTGCCTTTGCCTGGTGCGTATGTTTGTATTGGTCGGGTTCGCGCGACGCTGTCCATAAATGGAGCATAAGTTCGGCATCATCTTTGCGATAAGGGTGCACACGAAACAGCTGCGAATTCTCTTCAAGGTTGCGCTAACTTCTCGTGTACGCCTTCGAGAGCTTCTTCGCGCGCATTTCCAACTGTTTTTGTTACCGGAGCAACCCTGCAGTTTCTGACGTAAAAGAGAAAAACGGTAGGGTGCGTGCTGACGCTCTTGGGTGTTGCGCGACGTCCGCATATTAAAGGAATGTATCAATACAATGTCGACTGTGACTGCGGTCGACCGAAAAGGACGCGAAAAACACTACTTGTCTACTCTCCGGTTTAAGTTGATGAGCGTGTCTATCTCTTTTCCCGTTGTAGCGCTGCCACTATTCGGTTTTGTTATTAGGTCGGTCACTGTGTTCTGTTGCCTCGGCAGATGGGAGGGTCGCTGGAATTCCCGGAGGCTAGGTTGCAGCCGCTCCTTTTGTACGGCGAGTCTCGCGTTCTGTCGCAAGCAGACCGCCTCGTAGTCAGCCTAGGGGGCTGGCTGAACGCGTGGGGTTTCTTTTCGTGCGGTCGCTGTGCGAGCTAGATGTCGAGGTTCCGCGTGCGCTTCGTATCGCCACCACTGCTGCGTTGTGGAACTATCGACGCTTGCATCCTCGTGCAGATGATGACCGGTCGAGGCGTCGTCGATGATGATGATGACGAGACGACTAGCTCGAGCGATGGCAGCAGCTCATCGTCGGACAGCGAGGCCCCTCCGAGCGCCCGCAACGGCACGAAGGCAGCCGTTCCTCCCATCCGCAAAGATGGCATGGGTAAGCTGACGTTCCTTGTTTTCTATGTTTTACACCAGTTTTAGGTCACTCTGCAACCAATGCCCGCGCGTTTCTCTACAGAGCAGTGGTGTCAACATCAAAATGCAGGACCCTACACCAACTTGAATGACACGAAATGTAAACATGCCTTTCTTCGTTCAGGTGTCAAGGACATAACTGGCTATGTTATGCATACAAAGAATACACTGCACATAATTGCTCTTAGCTTCTTCTACTCAGCATGCTAAATGACCTGCAGTGGGAAATTGAGATGTTGGGTATGTTATCTGCCTGTTTCATAAAACCTACGTAAGTTTTTATTTGTGTCCTGTCATTTTGTGCACCACCTCTGCAAGTTGAACAGCATGTCCTCTTCGGGTTGTAACTTTTCTAAAGTTCGCTTTGGTTACAGTTGAGAAAAAACACATTTCGTGTGTCTACACATTGCTTCTCTTGCTATTAAAAACTTCTTTCAAGTTGTTTCGTTTGCTGGTCATAGCAGTAATGTGCACAGCGTGAAGATGAGTGATTAGTTTGCGATCTAAAGTGCAAGAGCTCACTCATGAATTTATGAATATGTATGTACATGAATATGTGGCCTTGCAGCTGTCTGTGAGAGATGTGGAACTGTGGGTGTGAAACATGCCTTCTACTCGAAGACGAAGCGTTACTGCAGCGTCCTCTGCTCTCGGGGGCTCGTACGAGCCGGGGGTGGAAAGGTTAGTCACATCGTCTTCAACCTCCATGCCTTCTGCATTGACACTGTTGAACCACTCAGGAAACTAGTGCCAAGCTAGATGCAGTGGTGGCAAGATTATGGCATGCATACTCTTTTGTCTTGCTATCTGTTGGATGTACAAACTTCAGAATACATATGGGTATGTTGTTGCAATGATCAAGTCTTGAGGCTAAGAAAGGCAGCCCTGCATTGCACAGAGAAAAAGTAAAAAGGTGGCTTGATATAAAAAAATAAGCAAGCAAACAGTTCACAGTTTAAAGATGCACCATTTTTTGGTTTTTGTGCTCTGTGTCTAAATAATACCATGTACTGCAAGTTTTCCTCTACGAATTCATGTAGTTGCATATTTGTCACATGCATTGCACTTGTTTATTTGCTGACGAAGGTTGTAGATGAACATTGGTGCGGGAGGCAAGATAAATTACTAGAGGCAAAAAAGTGATGGGGGTAAAAAAAGCAAAGTGCCCCGCCACGGTGGTCTAGTGGCTAAAGTACTCCGGCTGCTGACCCGCAGGTCGCGGGATCGAATCGCGGCTGCGGAAGCTGCAATTTGATACAGGTGATGGATGCAGAAGTGTTGTAGGCCCGTGTGCTCAGATTTGGGTGCACGTTAAAGAACCCCAGGTGGTCGAAATTTCCGGAGCCCTCGACTACGGCGTCTCTCATAATCATATGGTGGTTTTGGGACGTTAAACCCCACCTATCAATCATGTCAATCAAGAGAGTGTTAAGTCCGGTGTTGTGGGAGGGAGGAGATGTTGTGTTCCAAGCACCCCAGTTTCAGCAACCGGTCCTTCGCGGGTTCAAAGGCTCGCTCGTGACACAGGGGTGCTTGGAACACAACATCTCCTCCCTCCTTAGCTTGTCGCTTGGAAGCGATCTGGGGGCCGCCGTGGGCGCGTGGACGCTCTGGACGCACTAGGAAGAGAAGCCTCCGCTCGCTGGGTGTCGTTTCTCTTGTGTTCAAGGCCGGCGGGCGGCGGCGCCGATTCATCTGGTGCGAGATGCCAGGCTAAGTGGAACGAAGCTTCCGTTGAGGTGGCTGCTTGAATGGGAGGTTCCCTTGGCAAATTACCTGAACGGCGTAGCTGATTAAGGTGGCGGCGTGTGGCCTTTCCACCAATGTCGACGAGCCATGACCGCAAACCTATGCGTTTGAGTGCCGTCGCTTCAACCCAGTTGGGCATTCTGTGGAATTGGCGGGCGTATATGCGCTGTCCCCTTTCAATTCTCCTGCTATGCGGGAGCTTTTCTTCCTCTGACGGTGCTTTCGCTGAGGGCTCCGGGACAATTGCTGTCAGCTGGGTTCTCATTTCTCGTCCGAACATCAATTTCGCTGGCGTTTGATCAGTAGTGCTTTGAACAGTGTTGTGCTGTCTGAAGAGAAAGCGCGCGATGCGGCGTTGCATTGTCCCAGTCTGGTCTTTAGTAAGGGCGCGCTTTAGCTCAGCCACGTAGCGCTCGGCTTGTCCGTTCATAGCCGGGTGGTAAGGAGCTGATGTAACAGACGAGACGCCGTTGTCGCTGTAAAACTTGAGAGTCTCCGTGGACACAAACGGAGTGCCGTTGTCCGAGACCACCTTGCGCGGTAGGCCAAACGTTGCAAACAACGACCGCAGAGTGTCCATAACTGCTGCCGATGTCGTTGTAGCCATTTGTTTTACCTCCAGCCACTTGGTGTATGCGTCTACAACCACCAGGAACGAACACCCTTCGATAGGTCCAGCAAAATCAATATGCAGGGTGTGCCAAGGCATGTCTGGTCTTTCCCATTCAGGAATAGGGGCTCTTGGCGGGCTTCTGTGGTTGCATTGGCAAGGCTGGCAATCGTGAACTGTTAATTCTATATCATGGTCGATACCAGGCCACCACATATAACTTCTGGCGTACTTTTTCATGGCAACAATGCCTGAATGACCTGCGTGGACAAGCGACATGGCCTGTTCGCGCAGTGCCGCTGGAATTACAACTCTTGATTCCAAGGTGACGCAACCGCGATGAGTGCTCAACTCCGCAGCTCGCTTGCGGTAAGCGTTGAAGTGTTCACCCTTTAGCTTCTGCACGTTGCCTTCTTGTATAGCTGCGTAGACTTCCTTCAAGACAGTGCACTCCTGCGTTGATGCTGCTACCGTGTCAGCTGTTAGCGGATGGTTCGGCAGCGCCTCGAACATGAGTATATCACCCGGCGGGGGTGGTTCATCTATTGTGGTGTCTAGCGGCAGGTGGCTTAGTGCGTCGGCGTTCTGGTGTTTTCGTCCCCGTGCGATGTACGAGTGGTGTAGCCCATTCCGAATGTTGCGTCGGTTCGATGATCCCTTGTTCCTGCAGTCGGTCAAGCTCATTCTCGACTGACGTTCATAGGGCGAAAGGCACCGACCTAGCTTTCAAAAATTTCGGCGTCGCATCCTCCCGCAGCTCCAGTGTGACTGGAGGTCCGTTGTTCCCTGGTATTTCTTCGGAGAAACCGCTTTGTACTTATCTTGAAGCTGCTCCACTGACGGATAACTGAGTGTGTGGTGAACTCTGCCAATGACCACTCCAAGGGGGGTGAACCAATTTTGTCCTAAAAGGCTTGATCCAGAACCGTGGACGGCTAGCAAGGGGAGCTGATGGGTCTGCCCGTTGTAGTACACGTCTACGTTGGCACAGCCCAGCAGTGGAAGGGAATGTCCGGACCACGTTCTCAGCTGCGTGTCGTCTTGCTGGAGAGCTGGCGCG